CACTGACGCGTTTGCAGAAATTGGACGCCATAGGAAAGGCCAATTTCGCGTGGCGAATGACTAATCCTCTATGGCCAATAGAGTTCCTGTAATTAGCGTGTAGATATGTTCCCGATTTCTCTAGCTCAGCACGTCCTGTGCTCCAGTAGGGGACTTTCGGGGCCTACGGCCCCCCGGACGAAAAATATACATAACATAACATAACATAACATAGCTTGCTTAGAAATTTCGTGGGGCCTAGTTTTCTCCGAGTTGATAAATAAAAGTACTTGGGGTTTGGTGAATGGTGAATGGAGAGGCTTTGGGGAATTTGAGATTTTGTCGAACATGCTGGAAACACAACAGAAACTGCATGTGCTAATTGGAGATTATTACATCTACTTTTATGGAAGGTTTAAGCTCTGGCAATCGGAGATTTTGTTGTGACTGTACCTTGATTATACAGTCTTGAAAAGATTGGGTTTGGACTTTTGATCTACCTCCTGCACTTCGCGAGCTCATCATAATCGGCCTTTCTCTTCATGTTGGAGTGAAAGGCGCTCTTTTGCTATGTAATCCTTGATCCTTACTGAGGAAAGGGAGATTAAACAGAAGGAGCGAGGCGAATGCAATGCAAATTTACATTCTAGGAAACAGCTATTCATACGCATGCCATAGACGTTATCCAATTCTCATTCCATGCTCAAACACAAATGGCCTCCCAAAAATGATCTTTTCTATAACAGTTCGAAAAGAAGTCCTCAAGTAGCTTCTGCCTTGCGACCGTAGACGTAGCGGACAGTCATGTAAGCATGGACCTTGCGGTTTTTGAGGAACTTGCGCATCTCCATGAGGAAGACTTGATACTCGTCCTCGGGCCACTGAAGGATGGTCTTCCAGAGAAGAAGGGTGTAGCCTGAGGTATAGTTAGTGACGGGACTTGGGTTGATAGAAGGTTGGATGATGTACCTTCGAGATCGTTCTCGAGAGTCGCGCGGACGTAATTACCGACCGAAGCGAGTTCAGGGTCACGGGGCCAACCGCCGATAGGGAACTAAACCGTCAGTCTTGCCTCGTAATCTTCAGAGTGTAATTCACCTTGTACTCAATGCTCTTGATGTCAGTGAACCCAGCAGCCTGAATGCCCTTCTCCTGCAAATCGCCCTCCTGCACGAAGAAGGGGTTTCCAAGCGCAGCGCCACCTTCAGTGAAAAGCTTCGCCCAGAGCTTCAAGCAGTCGAGATCATCAGTGGTTCCATCATCACTGCGGATGTGGACGTCTGCTTCGGCGGATTGGATCCAGCCATCGGGGGCGCAGCAGCGGTACGCTTCCTTGAAGAGAGATGACCAGTCTTTGATGGCGCCGAAGAGATAGCGGATGTGGATGAAGTCGAAGGTGTTGTTGTCCCATGTCCAGCGGAGGGTGGCGTCGTCGATCTCGAACTTGACATTGGGAGGAACCCAGCTGGGAATGGTGAGTGAGTTGACTGGGGAGGGAAAGGGGGGACGTACCTAGGTTGAATGGGTGAGAGGTCAGAGCCAATGACTTCAGCCTCAGGGTATTCGTCTGCAAAGTCACTAAGGGGTGAGTCGTCATCGTGACCGAGGGTTCAGATGTCTTACATTGCCCAGATACCTGTACCTGATTAGCCAAGTCAACGTACGATATGCATGCAAGTCTCACCTGTTCCAGTTCCTACATCGAGTACTTTCTAATCGGTGTGAGCATGTCCCAAATCAATAATGTATGCACTCACCTGCACGCTGTCCTTGATAGGGGCAAGGAAGAGCTTTCCACTGAGAAGCTGCGTCAAAGCGTGATGGCTATGGATTGTCAGCAAAATTCAGTCCCGAGAAGGTGCCACGTACTTGATGTCAATGGATGCAGACTGCTGCTCATCGTTGGGAGTAAAGTACTCGGTAGGATGTCTATCACTGTGAAACGTTCGACCCTGAATAGTGCGGTACTCAAGGATGCTAGAGGTGATGGAAGCAGTGGAGCTCGCCCTGCAGAATCGTCAGCAACGGTGAGGTAGTATCAGCAAGGATCCCATACGCATCATCGCCAACAGCCGAGTCGGTTTCACTCTCATCACCATCCTTACAGCATTAGCAAAGGCCGAAATACGTATCTCCATACGAGAAAGTGCTTTAAACTCACCTGTGGATCAGCAGCGGGAACTAACTCAGGCTGCGGCGCTGGAGCTGACTCAATGGCCGGCGCTAAATCGGACCGAGCCGCAGCAGGAGCAGCGGCAGCAACAGGAGAAGAGGGCTGTTCAGACATTCTGCAGTACGTGACCAACAGTATATGCAAGGGCTGGGTTATGTCTCTGCCTGTGTCTTTCTGCGTGTGATGGTGGAATTTGATGTCGACAAACAGCGAAAAGGGGGATTGAGGGGAACTTTTGGGAAGCGAGGCGCGTTTGGTGATACGATAAAGAAACTGGGTTTGGTGGGGCTGGCATGCGGCTTAGAACGAATGCGGTTTGGGCTTGTTTGCTTCTGGAGAGCCAATTGTCGACGGGTATAGTTTGTGTTGCAGTCAGCGGAGAAAAGAGGTTAGCTCGCTAGGACCTCCTTGACTCTTTCGAGCAAAATGAAGGTCGAGAACTCAATCGTTCGCAGCGTAGTCAACAGTGGCGGGACGGAATGACATACATTCCATCAATATATGACAGTAAAGTTTTGGGAGGAATGGTCTCTACTAGATCTTATCGCTTATCCTTTAAGCCAGCCAATCAGCAGTAGGCCACTCCATCCATGATCAGACCAGACCAGTACCATGCCCCAAGTCCAACATATCAATATCCATCATCGTGCACTCAAAACAGTCATTAACACTCATGTAATAAGGTCACTGATTAAGTCATCACAAAGTCTTGTCATTACGTTTGAATCGGGAGACTTTTTGTGGCTCTGTATGTATTGTCTACGAGCTTGACTTGGTCGGGATGTTCCTTTTGAATGAGGTTCCATATCCCATTGGGAATTCGTAGGCTCTTCTTGTCAGTCAAACCGCCCCAGCTTGTACGATTTGCTCGTATAGAGCCTCTCCGAGAGTGTCTTTGAGTGGCTGGAGCCACTGGCCCTCCCCACTCTCCTCCACAACCTGCTGCAATTTGATGATCTCCAAAATCATCATAATCATTATCCCGGCGTTATTCTGAACCGCAAGGAAAGTTTCTAGCTGCGGGAGCACCTCTGCGTAGAGCTTGTCGATCCCCATGAATCTCTCGATCACTTCGCCGTTCTCATTGGTTGCTCCTCCAAAGAGGATCTCGTCCGCCTTGATAAGCTCGGTGCGAAAGGTGTCGATCACTTAGTAAATTGATTTGTTAGTCATGGCTTCTTTTCCGTTGTCTTTCCACCAATACTCACCTGGGAAATCACTAGCATCATTCACCCCAACGACCCGGGCCATGACGGAGGGTGCCTAACCTCGTACGTCGAGCTCCGGGCGAAGGAGAACGCTGATGTCTTGCTCGGCGTCATTCTTCAACTCAGAAACGTCCTTCAAGTCGACGACCACCTCTCGGAAGGCGTTTTCGACCGCATCAAGCACGGGGAATACACCCGGCTCAGCTTGTTCGTCTCTCAGCTCCTCCAGCTTTGTCTGACATTTCTGCCACGCCTCGTGGGTGAAGTCGCCCCTGGAGTTGAGCGTAGCGATTGCGTTTTCGAGATAGGTGGGAGGGAGGTGGATGTCAGGTCTGTCCTCAATGTTAAGAGGACGTTGGGGTCTATGGTCGCGACAAAGAATAAGATGGAGGAAGGAGCCGGAAAGACCCTCGAGAAAATCCATAGTCGGTGCTGCTTTAAGACTTTTAGTATGAAGGTAACGGCATATAAATGGTTACGATAGAAAAGAAAGATGAAAAACTGTTCAAGTGGTGGTATGTGAGTAGACGAAGTTGTTAAGGTGGGAAAAGACGAGAGAGGTGGGATGCAGCACTAACTTCACGTCACTAAATATGGCGGGGCAGAAATAGCCGGATAATTAGTGGCTAAATAACTGCCAGTTACATCAGCCCCTCCTGAGTTGTAGCAATGCCAAAAGATGGGGGCAGCCCATGCATTAATCAAGGTAAAGAGGAGATGCCGAGCATATGTTTCACTGGATCCTCTTTGTTCATTCCACACTTGACATGTTCAGGCTAACCCTCCAGAACAACGTTCATAACTTGAGCCTCCAGCTTCTGCTCGTATTCATGAATTTATTCTCGCTTTGACTAGCACGCCCTTACCAACCTAACAGATCCAAACTCAGAATGCCCCCGATAACTAACAGAAGCACAGCTATCCATACACCACATATCGCTGCAACACCATATCCCAAGATCTTGGCACCAAGTGAAACGTCTTTGAACATCCCAACCAAGAAGGACGATAACATCAGACACCCAAATATAAAGAACCCGGTGATGATCGTGAATAGCGCCTTTCCTCGAACCTTCTCTCTATAAACTCGATTGCGAAGGAACTTACTATCCAGTTCATTCACGACAGACACAAGACTCATCATGATCATGATGACGAGAACGATAGCCGCGAGGAGCACCACCACGCCGAAGAAGTCGTACAACAGTGTTCCTAGATCTTTGAATCTCGTTTGCATGCTCAGAACACCAGCGGCGAGTGATAAAGGTAGAAAAATGGTAGCTAGAAGCGTCAGCTGCTGAACGCCCCTTGTCTGGTTGATGTTCCGCGCGAGTTCAAGGTATTTGAGATCGTGATCAAGTCGGTCTGAGAATTTCTGAAGTTGCTCGTTTGCCTCCCGACAGAAACCTCGCAATTCCATGTCAATGGCCATGAACCTATTCGCATGAACTGGCGAATCGACGACTGGAGATATTGATCTTGCTACATCAATCAGACATTCCGTGGTGGATATCAATTTGCGGCCCATCTCTGCAAGGTCTCGATACTCGTACGACCGCTTGGTGATTGTTTTCAAGTTCCATTGTCGAAGCTCTGCTAAGCTGGGATCCATGGCTGCATCATCTGCATTGTCGATTTCATCCGTTTCCAAGGCATTAAGGAATTCGATAAAGAGCTTCAAGCATGCGTGGTGGAACTGCAGCAGAAATAATTGCTTCCAGTTGTCCTTGGATCGAACGGCGATGTAAGATGCATCTAATAACTTGAGTTCTATGCTGATTTGTTTTGCGGAATAGAAGTCTGGGAAACCATCGCTGGGTCGTTTCCGTGCATACGTATCGCATTTGATGAGAGCTGATAGTGTTAAAAGAAGTCCATGCAGTCCATCACAGTCTTACCGCGTCTCTTCTGATTTCCTTCCCAAACTCTAATGAATCTTGTGGCTTTAACGGGCCATCCAGTCTCATACGTTGTGACATGATACGACACGTCCGGTGAAGCTTGTTGCCATTCCCTAGAAAGTTGCATGAACCCCGTAGCAACTGGAAATGTGTCCTCAGAACCATCAGATCCTGCTTCTATCACCACTAGTCGTATACCCTGATCGTCCTGCGGAGGCAGATGGTGTGTTGTCTCGCCTTGGGGTACGGGTTCCACTTCATCGTCCCAAAGGTATTGCCAACGCGACTCTCCTGCAAGTGCTATATCGCAGGCACCGTGGAATCGCTTTCCGCTGGGACCAAGGCGAACACTGTTCTTCCATTTCTGCCTGTCAAGGAGTCCTTCTCTTCCCTTGACATAGTTGCGAAACAATATAGCGGTCGTGATAAGCCAGACGACATAGGAGACGGCATTGGATGCAACAGTGATAGGATCCATCTCTATATGTCAAGTCGTTGGGGTATTGGTGCGGTTCTCGCATAATGTACAATCATGAGGTGCGTGACTGGTGCGGGGTTTTGGCATTGCATGAGGCTGAAAGACGCCAAGAACTTGAACCAATCACCATGAAGAAGATCCTGACAATATTGATTGCAAAAAGAGGCTGTGGTAGCTCCCACTTGGTATTGAAATCAACAGATAACTCAGATATTCTTCACCGAGATCGTTCCAAAGTACGCGTGGCTACAGAGAACTGAGATCGCACGAGAACTTTTTCCAAGGCTTCTTATTCTACCCAACCCCTCTACTCTGCCGCCTTCTGTCCCATCCAGAAGTAATACTTCTCATATGAATGAATATTCACATTGTTCAAATCCTTTCTCGCATCAGCCAAGAATACCTCAATCTCTTCAGGCCCCAAGATCTTGCGCAGCGGCTTCGCAGCCATGGCGCCGAACATGTCGTTGACCGCGGTCTTGAGGTACAATCCAATGAGGCGAAGCTTCTTATCCTACCGGGTGTCAGCTCATTCTTGTCAAGATTGCTCGAGGTATTTACCTTTGCCCATGTTCCGATGGGGACTTTGAGGACTTTGCAGGAGACGTTGGTGAAGCCCGCCTTCTCAAGAGGTTCGCGCAAGTTCTCACCTGCACGAAACTTCATGCCGAAACTGGCTACGGCTTGTTCAGCGGTGTCGAAGAATTTGGCGAGAGGGGCGTCTGGGGCAAGGGAGCCGTCATCGCAATTGGCGCGGGCATCGAGTTCTTGGATTTCGATCCAGGCGCCAGGCTTCATGTGCCTGTTGCATGTGAGATGAGATGCAGGGGGGGGGAAGATGGGTGAGCGTACTCGTGTGCTTGACGAAGAACCTTGACTTCGTCTTTTAACCAGGGGCTGATGCAGCGCATGTGCACAAAGTCAAAGTCACCGCCGTGCATCCATTCGTCTTCGATGTCGTCGACGAGAAACTTGAGGTTTGGAGGGACCCATGATGGTTGAATGGGACTGAGATCGACTCCTGTCACAGATGCGCTGGGGAATTTATCGGCGACTTGGATGGTGAGTCTTAGGGTCTTGCGAAAGAGCGGTCTGACTTACCGTCGATGGCCCAGATACCAGTTCCGGTTGCAAGATCAATAATCTTCTGGGGGTTTTCGATGATGGGCGAGAAGAACAGGTTGCCACTTGAAATGTCAGTGTCTCAGTCGCTTCGCATCCAATGGTTGCATCCTACTTGGTGAGCTCCAGCATCATGGCGTGCTTCATATCGTCTCGGTTCTGCTCCGCATCATCGTTGGGAATAGGATATCTACTCCTGTCAGTCTTAAACCGCAATGCGCTTTCCGATCTCATACGTTCCATGACGATATTGATGATACTATCCCGAATCAGCACATTTCTCACCTCGCCAAGCCATCCAACTCACCCGTCTTCCATTCTCAAAAGCATGCTGGTAAATACTTGTGTTCAAACTCGTCGAACTAGACGACAAAGTCGCCGAGTCGAAGTCCGACGTCTCAAACTCATCCTCCTCCTCCGCCCGCTCATGCGCGGCAATAGGCTCGATCGGTTCTTGCGTTGTAGTCACTGGTTCCGCCATGATCAAAGAGTTGAAGTTTTAGCGTTGCTACCCGAATATTCCGAGGCGGGAAGCGTAGTAATTTTGAGGAAAGGTGGATTCGGGCGATTTTCTAGCCCCGCATCCATCATGCGGAAAATGGCGCAAGACCCTTGAAGATAACGGAGATTTTACAGAGTGGGACATGTAATGCATTCGGGCTGATTAAGGAAAGTGACTGCATTTTTCGTTCAAGGCCTCATTATCTCTCGTCTACTCTAGGTATCAAACATAAGAAACATAGTATTGCAAAGAAAGAGTCCAAATCATAATCAGGCATACTCGATAGTGAATTCCATGCTCTGCCCAGGAACGCATCTTGTTCCTGGCGCAACAGCCATCGCGACTGACCAAGTACCAGAAGCACAACGCTGGAAAGCGGTTCCTGTCTTGATGCAGTTCCAGTAGCCCTCGGGTTTACAAGCTGTACCGGGAGCGATGACACCAGCGGCGGGTTTGGTCGGTGCAGGCTTGACTGGTGTAGTGGTGCTTGTTGTCTTGCGGGTTGTAGACTTGAGGGTCGTCTTCTTGGTAGTTGAGGGAACAGTAATGAAAACACCGCCAGGACTGTGAAACATGTTAGCAAGATCAAGCAAAGAGAGAAGGCGACTTGCGCTGTAGACTTCACTGGTGGCTTAGTCGTAGTCGGCTTCTTTGTAGTAGTTGTCTTTGTTGGAGAAGGACTAGCAGAGGGATATTGGACTCCTGGTCCAGCAGGGCACTGACCGACCGGCGGTCCAGTCTTAGTCGAGGTGAGGGAGACATCAGGTCCCGGGTTAGGAAACATGAGATCAACCATTTCCGTAGTTCCGCATCCCTTTCCGACGTTGGCGACAAACATAGCAGGTCGCTTCTTAAGTGGCGTCTTCGGTGTTCCACTTCCAGCCTTGACTGTAATAGCCGCGCAATTCATATACATCTCGCGATTTCCAATCTTGTTAAACCAAGTCCAAGCGAAAAGAGCTTCTCCAGCTGGTGTATCAACCGGAAGAGTAAACTGAAAGTTTGAAGTCGGCGCCTTGGGGCAATTTCCAATCCACGACTGGATAACGACCCAAGTCTTGCCGCGATCAAAAGAGAGTGAGGCCTGGCAACTACCGCCTCCGTGGTCTGCACCGCCAGCGATGCTGATGCTGTACGACTTTCCAGCCTGCCACGTAGCGGTAGGTGCACCGGCGGCGGTGCCGAAAAGAGAGTTGTATCCCTTGCAGGGAAAGTTGCTTCCGTCGCCGTTGAGAGGTGAAGTCATGCTGTAGTCGATGTCTTGTCCGGCGTTGGGGTTATATTTGCTCTTGAAGGGGGGAGGATATGTCATCTCCATGTGGGCTTGGGCTAGACCAGCTAGACCGAGCGCTGTAGCGAAGGCGTTGAAGAGTTTCATGGTGAGAAGGAGAGTTGGTGTTTGAAGGGATAGAGAACAAAAGGAAAGCCAAGAGGCTGTTGTTATGTATATAGAAGAATGTGTGATGAGAATGAATCAGTGAGGAAAACGGTGAGGCTTTCGATTAGTTTTATACATTTTCGAGGAAGTGGAATATTGGTTTTGACGTGCCAAGGTTGAAAGGTCAGTCGAGAATTAGGGAGGATTGCGGGTTCGTGTTAGTGCAGCGGGCTAGAACGTTGACCCTTCAAGGGATGTGAAGGGGAGACAAACCAGCCTCAACACCAGCGGCAAGAAATTCAGTGAGCATCACTGTCATGCAGTGAGTTACTCTGTGAGCCTTTCGAGTAGGAGCACAAGTTTCAGAGTGGTTGGTAAATGGTCATATGCTGCGTGATTGAGACATGGCGATGGGTGAGTTTGCATCACGGGGTTAAAGGGATAAGACTTTTTGATGCGACGAGTTTTTCAAGATGGCTGGAGGTGAAATTTTCATGATCTGAAACTTGGAACTGGATAATTGGTATTGTCGTGAGGCTCTGACGTTACGTAGTGAAGTGGTGTTTTGCTGGCGAACACATTGATCCAGATGGCTGGATGTGAGACATGTGTCGGCGACAATGGCCGCCAGGGCTGGGAATACTACGAAACGACCTCGGGACCCTCTCGCAGTGTCTAAGAACGTCAAAAAAAGATTCACGGTCAATGAGAGATCGATTGTAGGGTAACGCATGTGCTGCGCGATCATGGCTCTTTGGTCTCGAACATTTGAAGCGATCGCAGAACAGACAGTACGATGGCCAGTAATTACCTTTGTTCAATGCAGCCCCGGAGAAAAGTCACCGTTCAGCTATCAATACTGAACCTTACCAAAAACATCAATTGCTATCAATATCTTTAATGGTCTAAAAGTTCTCTACGGAAAGAGAAATCTTTAGACCAATGCTCTGCCGTTAACCGTTAAGCCATCCCATAATCTGTTCCTGCATCCCCCAGCGCCACGCGTTAGAGAAAGTGTAAGGGGACGTCCCTGAAAATCGCATTCCTCAAATCCCGGTTTTGGAAAAAGATCGGAATTCTGCTGTGGCTGGGCGGTTGCGTAGCGTGCTTGACAGGAATGTGAATGGGTTTAAAACGGGCGGGATCATCACTGGTTTCGGGCTTCGCCACGGAGAGGATTGGTCTGGATGGTTGGCGTTTTGGGTAGTGAGAGATGGGTATTGGTAAGAGACATGTGATTGAGTTCTTTTTATAGATTTTTGACAAGTTTGTTTCGTCTCAGTGAGGTTCGGGGGACGCCGTCAAAGACTGTCTCGGGCGCGGCGCTTGGTGTAGCGACCTCAGAAAAGCGCCAGACACAGCTAAGTGTTCAACAAAGGCGATGAGTTTTCTCAACGTCGTTATTGGCCGTTTGAAATGCCATAGACGTCTTCTGCTGCAATCAACAGGTTTCTTGAACGAACTCGGGTTTTGCGGAATGTCGGCATATCAACGACGTCAATGACTCTGAGCTGGGGCATATCCCCGAAGCACAAATTTGTCAGCCGGAGTTCATGCATTGAAACGCTTGAAAAGCCGTTACATCGCTAGATAAACGAACATGCACGGCCGTATTTCCGCCAGTCAATCTTGCATCCTAGTTCCAATGTGGATATTGATTTGAACTGGTGACGATTTTATCATCAATTCTTGGCGTCACTATGGTCTCTTACAGAATGCTACCTACACAATTGTGATCGCATCAAGTTTATAACGATGCCGCGTAGACAAGAAAATTCGTATGAAAATTTCTATTTCTTTCTCTTCGTTCAATTATTGCAAACCACCGGGCTTTCAAAATGCAGCCAGATATTCCTTACCGACAAACTCATCAACAGGCCCCAGATGAGTGGAAGCTAGAACAAGGCCTCGAGCCCGCTCGGCTTGGAATCCGTAACCAGAGCAGCATCCAGATCAACACAGAGCCTCATCGGCTCAACCCAAGTGATCACGAAGAGCTGAAGGGCCCCGATATCCCTGAGGATCCAGACCTTGACGTCCAAGATGAAAGACCGGGCTGGAAAGGCTATGTTGAGTGGGAGGACTACCCAGAGAAAAAGGCCAAAGCCCACCAGCGCTTTTCGCGCTTTACATTCCCCCCTCCGCCTGAGTTCCAGTTAGAGCCTCTTCCTGCGACGAACCCTGTACTTGAGGGCAAGCGATGGAAGTTATGGCATAAAGCCATTGGAGGGGTTCTGGATCAAGTCCCCCAGATCAGTTGGGAGACTGTTCTCAAGGTGAATAGCCTCTGAGAGATTGAGTATGAGCAGTGACTAACTGCCGCAGGAAAAACACCCGGAAATGCTTCATCTTCTCGAATTTCCTTACAACGGAGAAGCGCCCAAAAGCCTTCTGACCAAAGACTACATCATGCCAAACGAACTTCATTTCGTCCGGAATCACGGTGGTATCCCCGACATCGAAGCAAGCGCCTACGACATTCGTCTCGATGGGCTCGTCAATAACCCCAAGACGCTCACCCTGGCAGACTTACAAAATGAATCACTCTTTCCAAGAGTCAGCAAACTGGTGACCATTCAGTGCAGCGGTACTCGTCGCTTCGAGCAAATCGTCGAGTATCCAGGCGAAGGCGACGAAATGATCAACGCCCCCTGGGCTGAAGGTGCTATTGGTACAGCGAAGTGGACAGGCGTCAGTCTGAAGAAAGTCATCAAGTACTGCGGCGGTCTGAAAGATGGTACCAAGCATCTTGAACTCTACGGTGCGGATACGTATTTCAAAGGAGGCCAGTGCATGAACTATGTTGTTTCGGTGCCGTGGTCAAAAGTCAAGGCTAATGAAGTCATATTGGCTTGGGAGATGAATGACAAGCCGCTGCCGAAGATTCATGGTTTCCCATTGAGGGCGGTTGTCTTTGGGTATATTGGGGCCAGGAGCTGCAAGTGGCTGTATCGGATCAAGGCGATTGAGAAACCGAGTCTTGCTCCGGTACAGAGTAGAGAGTATCTGTACTTTCAGCAGCAGACTGGAAAGCATAACCAGCTTCCAACCAGTAAGTCTCATTTTCTTTACTCCTTGAACTAGACGCTGACTGTTTTGCAGTGGGTATTCAGATCCAGGAGATGCCTGTCAGCAGCGCCATCATGTCACCTTGGAACAAGGAGGTTGTCGTCCACGACGGTGAGATCGAAGTCAAAGGTAAGTCTCCCATTGCGTGTTCCATTCCAAAGAGGTCTCTGACTCTTCAAGGCTGGGCATACTCAGGCGGAGGCCGCTGGCCCGAGCGCGTAGAAATCTCCTCCGACGGCGGCTACGTATGGTACGCCGTCCCCATCAAGAACCTTTCCCCCAAGCACAAATTCGCCTGGCGAACCTTCACTGGCAAAGTCCCCTGCGACCACGAAGGCTGGACCGAACTTGTCGTTCGATGCTGGGACAACAGTTTGAACACGCAACCAATGGAAGTTCGGCATAGCTGGAATTGGAGCTTGCATGTGACGAGTAGTTGTCATCGTGTCAAGATTTATAGTGTGAATGCAAAGAGGGAGGCTACGAGGAAGAGATTGAGGGAGTTTGATGAGCACGGGCAGGGGTTTACGCCTATTACCAGACCGACGGAGTTTGTGCCCATGAGTTTGGAGGAGTATGAGAAGGAGGTTGCGAATGTTGAGCCGAGAGATGTTGATGATTAGATTATGTGATCGACCTAGAATTTAAGTCACTCAAAATCCAAGCTTGGCTACGATATGCTAGTCGAGGAGCAGATAGTGCTTTCCACTTCCGTTTACAACAATCAATCTTCGTCAACTGAGCAATTTAAACCATAGCGATTTCAATACCGGTCGCAGCTTTGGTGCTGCTATCAGTGAGAAGTGAATGCTTTGTGATCCCTCTGTACGCATCGGTCAAATCGTTAAGCTAGCAGGTGGCGTCTTGAGTTCAACCCGCTCGCTGGCTGCAATGCAACCCAGCACCGCGGTAAAAGGTCCGGTATTTTAGGTGAACAGGGTAAGAAGCGCTGAAACGGGTTTCTAGTTGCTCACAATGCAGTCATAAAGGGCCCTCTATGACGCCTTTGACTTGTGTCGCGAGTTGATAATAATCACGTCACAATTCGGCTGTGGAGTTGACGTCTCGGATATAAGGACAGCGCCTGGGATTTCAACGACCAATCGACACCGAAACGTTTGTCAGTGAAACAAAAATGTCGGATGTGAGTTTCAATTGTGTTCAAAGTATAGTTAGCTTACATCGCTGACAATGATAGTCGAATGAAGCACCCGTATATACTCTCGCAGAGGGCAAACCCGTCGAGGACCCAACCTCATCCGTCGTCCTTCGTGGACCAAAGGTTCGAGGCGGTGGTCTCGCTTTGTTGGCAGACACGCAATTGATCGAGACGCTTGCTCACTTTCCTCGAGAGCGCATTCCTGAACGGTAAGTCTCCTCGGCCTTTCTCGACAGAAAAGCGTGACTAATGATATCAGTGTTGTTCACGCCAAAGCTGCCGGAGCATGGGGCTACTTCGAGTGTACCCATGATATCACAGACTGGTGTTCAGCAGCACCTTTCCGTCGCATCGGCAAGCAAACCCAAGTCCTTGCTCGTCTGTCCACCGTAGCTGGCGAAAAGGGATCTTCCGATACCCTCCGTGACATCAGAGGTTTCGCACTCAAGATGAAGACAGAGGAAGGAAACTGGGATTTTGTCGGGAACGACTTACCCGTTTTCTTCATTCGTGATCCAGCTAAGTTCCCTTCGCTCAACAGATCTCATAAACGTCACCCGCAGACTGCCGTCGCTGATGCGAGTATGTTTTGGGACTTTCACAACAACAACCAAGAAGGCGCTCACTGTCTGATGCAACTGTTCGGACCTCGAGGTGTGCCGGAGTCTCTTAAGAATGTGAATGGTTTTGGAAACCACACGTTCAAGTTTGGTAAGCCCGAAGATGGATCTTTCAAATATGTCAAGATCCACTTCAAGCCTGATGCCGGCATCAAGAATCTCTCTCAAGAGGATGCCGTACGTCTTGCAGGCGAAGAGCCGGACTATCATGTCAAGGATATGTACAACTCTATTGAGAGAGGCGACTATCCTACATGGACTATGTATCTTCAGGTCATGGATCCCAGAGAGGCTGAAACTTACAAGTGGAACATCTTCGACATCACCAAGATCTGGCCTCACAAGGACTACCCTCTTATTCCTGTTGGAAAGCTTGTGTTGAACAAGAACCCAGAGAACCACTTCCATGATATCGAACAGGCTGCTTTCTCGCCTTCGACTTTGATCCCTGGTATTGCACCCTCGGCCGATATCATGCTGCATGCCAGAATGTTCAGTTATCCCGATGCTGCACGCTATCGCGTTGGGCCCAATTATCAGCAACTTCCATGCAATCGACCTCTGGACGCATACTCACCGTATCAGAGAGATGGACCGATGCGCCTTGACGGCAACTACGGCTCTGATCCCGATTATGGTATGTGATCTTGTTGAACAGGAGCTTCAAGAAATTCTAATAGGTACAGTTCGCTCCTCATTCCGCAAGGTCAAAAGTGGCCCCGCAGATGTCGCACACAGCGAATGGGTTGGCAGAGTCCAAGCTTATTCCTCCGACGTCGAAGAAGAAGATTGGGAACAGCCACGTCATCTATGGAAGATCTTCAAGGATAACGGCGAAGATGAAGTCTTTTTGAACAACCTGTCTGGACACGTCAACAAGGCACTTCCAGAGGTTCAGGAGGCAACAGTTGGTAAGTTGCAAACCCCTTGACAAGAATTTGGTGGAATCGGACTAACAGTGTGACAGGCATGTGGGCAAATGTTGATGAAGAGATTTCGAAGAGACTCGGGGAGAAATTGAAGAAGTTGACTGGGAACTTTGACCATTCCAAGGCACCGCCCAGTCAAACTGTGCTGGCATCGAGGCGCAAGTGATGCGCCAGGAAAAAGTAAATACTGCCCAACTAATACAGGAATGCCCTGTTGAGGCTATGGTATCGCTTTTTTTCGACAGGCAGTTCTCTCTTACGGAGACCGAGTTGCTGCTCTTATCTCAAGTCGCACGAAGGGTTGTGGAACTCCATATCATACGAAGCTGGGCGTATTTCATGGGGGAAACAAAGTGAGTTGGGGGCTAAAGGCCTTTCCGACCGTTGGGTAACTCATGCGCCCTAAGAATAGATGCAGTAACCTTTGCCGAAGATAGTTCCTTGGTCAACACCCAATTAACAGCATGCCCACTGCTGTGTTCCATGAACTGCCATGATCATATTTCCGTCACTCTCGTATTCACCTGCACGTCAGATTAAAAGAGGCCGAAGCTAAACCATCTGTCGAGTTTGGTATGCAGTGCGTATGTATCAGCCTGGCATGGCTCGATGGAAGGCCGCAATACATAGCCACTAATTCGCCAAAATGTGATTTAAATTTTCCTCTCAGTCTTGATTATGCCTGTAGCGGCCCATGGTCTATGTAGATCTTTCCTCTTCAACTCTTCGATCAGATTGAGTCCCGTTCAAAAATGGAGAATGATGTCTCTCGTCCCCCAGAGTCTGACCATAGGAAAGACCTCAGATCGGCATCGACTTGGTCTCCATCCGAAGGTAGTTCCATTCAGCATTCTCCATTACTTCACTCTTCATCTCCTCCAGCCTGGCAGGGCACGACCACCAGCGAGACTAGGCTTCTGAATCCCCACCAGGAACCCAACCAAACCGTTACAGCTATTGACTCTGAATGTTCCTCAACTTGGTCGAATATTCTCAAGAGCAGATGGTTAATGGTCGCATGTCTTGTCTTCGGCATCGCAGCTGCTGTTGGTCACGACACTCTCAACAATCATCTCTTTGGTAAAGAAGCCAAGAATCAAATCTGGTGGCTTCGACTCGGGCAGTCTCTCGCCTTTGTCTCGAAAGCAAACTTTGCTATTGCAGTCTCACTAGCTTACCAACAAATTGCTTGGACGTCTGTCGCTCATCGGAGCTTCTCCGTGCATGCGGTTGACTCGCTCTTTGGTGCAGCACATAATGCCATTGAGCTTCTCAACGCTGAGGCATGGAAGAAGTCATGGTTTGTTATGCTTCTCGCGCTTTATATGTGGATATCGCCGTTCGTGGTCATCTTCACTTCGGCGACTCTGAGCGTCGTCAGGCATGAGGATAGGACATGCCATAACGTCCGGACCCTCAACTTCAACCACGAGGCGAAGAAGAAGTGGACTCACGGGAGAAAGGCAGATGGCGGGGAGATAATGCAAGGGGCCAGAATATCATGGTACAACGATACCTTACCAGATGAGGATGGGCCGGATGTCTTTGACTTTTGGATCAGTCCGAGTGCATACCTCGAAGAGATCTCTTCCAGAGTTCTTACAGGAGGGCAGGCGCTTCAGAGAGACGATGTCGCTGATGAAATCTGCGGGAAAGGATGGGATTGTTCAACGGTTATCCACTTCACCGGCCCGGGATATAAGTGTGAGCAACTCGCCAACGGCACTAACTCGACCGTCAAGCAGTTCAACGGCAGGGATGCCCCGTTCAACATGAGCAGGATGATTCCTGAGGGTTGGAATACTTACAATTGTGTTGCCGACGAGGGCGACTACTCCGAACGCCAGATTGAGCATGAAAAATACTTCAATCGACCATTGCAGACACTTCCGTTCCCCGAGAATCTTGGTGCTTTCAGAACAGAGCCCATCATATGGCTAGGCTATGTTACAGTCGACGATGTACTAGTCAAACACGCTAAAAACAGCAGCCAAAAAGGATGGGACACGGATTTTACACCGATTATTTCGGCTTGCGAGCACTGGCAGGTCAACTACACAGTTAGCCTGACATACACGCAGGGTTTCCAGTCGTACAACGTTACCAATCGGGAGTATCTGCGCAAGGTCACCAATACGACATATGTGGACGACTCAGCTGACGACGGAACGTTGGACAAGACTGTCGCGGAACCACAAGAGCACTACGTGTATCCCAAGGATTGGAGAAATTATCAACGCATTGCAGCGTTTCACTCGCTGGGGCTAAAGTTACGAGAATTACTGCATGGGGGCTTATCACTTCCTGATAAAGGGAAGAGTACCGAGATCATGACGTCGAAGTTGGTTGGACGGCATGAGTTTCTTCCTGTTCCTGATTTTGAGAGTCAGATACGGAGGTTGTATGAGAATTTGATCATTTCGTTGTTGTCGGATACACAGTTGCTTATTGTATCGTGGGCAGCAAACCCAGACGAACCGTCTGGAACACGACCTGTGAAAAATGGGACGGAGTATCCCTGCATCAGAAGAACGACGGCGGGATACTTCTCTTATCAGAGAAAAGTTCTGGTCAGTGTATATGCTGTTTCGTTTGTCATTGTAGCTGTTGGCGTGGCGTATGGGATGAAGGCCATGAGGCAAGATGGAGTTGAGGAGTTGCCGGAGGTTACTTTCTCGTCAATTGCGGTCGCGACTAAGGGTGTGAGCTTGAAAGGTTGCAGGCGAGGTAATAAGATTAGAGCTTGGCTGGTCGAGGGTGAGCATGAGGGTAGAGTGTATGAGTTCAGGAATGAGGAAGACACGCAACGAAAGAGCAGTGCTGGTCCCATGGCGAGTGCCTGATATTGAGTACTTCTGTTAGTCGCATGCGCCTAGATACATCGTGTGCAAAGTAAATCCAATAGATGTTGGACACAAAGGACAGCCCAGCAGACTAGTGAAAGTCACTGAGATGGCAGTTGGTGGTAATGAAACATGGAGCAAATCTATAGCTAGTCTAATCTTTCAACAACTTATTCGCTCTATTCTTAATTTCCTTACTAAACCGAAAGTTGATCGGGCTCTCACTTCCAACAAACACAAACCCATCATACAGCGCACATCCAACCACAGACCCTATCAACGTCGCTGCCCAAGGCCCGTAAAACCACCATCCGCTGTGAAACACATTTGACCCGCGATATCCAACCGCATACGCTACAACTCTCGGTCCGAAATCAGAGGCAGGGTTCAGCGCAGATCCAATGTTGTAGCCGAGGGTGAACTTGAGGGTAGTTACCAGAAAGCCGAGTACCAGGGCATGCATGCCAGCGCCGGGTGGGTTGTTCTGATCATCACCTAGTGCGAATACTGCGATCATCATGATGGCGCTGCCGACGACTTGGTTGAAGAATGCGGATTGGAGGGATACCCATTCTCGAGGTGTTGAAAAGAAAGTCTTTGACATTCCGTCCATCTCGGGATCGACGTAGTGGATTGAGTCGGCGTAGATGCCATATGCGAGTGCTCCGGCGAGGATGCTAGCGATGAATTGGGCGAGGATGTAGATGAAACACTGCCGCCATGGAAAACCACGGAATAGCGACAGCGAGATGGAAATGGCTGGGTTCATGTGCGCTCCTGATACACCGCCGCCGAGATAGATGCCGAACATCCAGGCAAAGCCCCATGCCCAGCATGAAGTCTCATAAGTTCCATAAGACTGCGACTGTTTTGCTGAGAGATTCACAGACAGAGTACCAGTAAGACCTAAGAATATCGCAACAGAAGTAGCAAGGAATTCAGCAAGTGGCTCAGGGTGCTTCGCTCGTATCCTAGCCCACCAGTTCCTCATCTCATTCGGATCCGTCTCACCAGCTTCAACCTCTGGCTTCTCCTGCTGACCCAAAGGTTCACTGTCAATCTTGTAATCTGGTTGGTTGTTACTTTGCTGATGAGAAGCAACTCTTGATGCGGGGTCACGATACGATGGTGTTGCTGCAGGTGTTGCTTCGCCAGGGACATAGTCGAATACCGGCTGTCCTGCATCATTTCGCTTCTCGTTGTGCGCAACGCCAGCTGCTGTAGTTCGACTCTGCTGGTTCTGCATTTCGCGTGATGCGATACTGGTTTGAGTATGCATTCGGTATGGCTGGCCTGAAGTGGTACGCGAGGCGTACCCTGCGGGTGTATCTTCAGATTCCTCTTTGACGATGGCCATCTCTTCATCAACTTTTCCATCCGGTTTGATCGGTTTCACCACCTTGCGACGAACGCGGTGGGGAAGAGGTTTTCCAAGACTGAAGATGGGCTTCTTGCCGGCCTCGCCGAACCAAGGGTTCTCTTCATAGTAGCCCTCTTCGGCAGGGGCATATGTATGATATTGGGATGCATGTTGTTGTACTGCAGGGCGCGCTGTACTGTTCCCGCTGGACATTCTTGTAAAGCGCCTTGAGCTGATTGGTCGCTTGCTCATTCGCGACACGAAACTGGATGGTAATCCATGAAGTCCACGCCGTCTTGAGTGCGTTGACTTTGCACCGTCGGGTTCTCCTGTTTCTCGGTCCGAGATGGTGCTGGGGATTCTGCTTGCGACGTTCCCAAGATGCACTTGTCCCGGTGTTGAGGGCGTCGTGGGTTTCGAAAAATAATCATGATTCTGATCCTGATGTCCAGTCATTGTAAACGCTCAAACTCAGTAGATTCTTGTTCATTCCCACTGTAAAACCTGGATTCAGAGCTTTTATATGATTCAGGTACATGTAAATGAATCGTTATAACAATGACGTTTATCCTCCACTCTAACGTCAACCGGAGGTTTCTCTCCAAGTGTGGACACTTGAGCCGCACGGTTTCGCCGCTAAAATCTCTTATTTGCGGGCCTGTCAACCGTTTAAATTGGGTCGCGATCTTGAGATCGAGAATATTGCCCCTTTGAGGGTGTGATGTTCCTGAAACTTTCTGTTCTGGGAAAGGTAGTTGGCCGAATGAGGTGCTCAATGCTACGTATTCCATGACTCTTCCTTGGAGGCAAGGATGAAAATTTGGATTGTTCCTGGTCAGCATTTCGTGGGTGCTTTATAGGGGAGAGAAGATAAGGGTATTTGTGGATCATTTTATCGCCTTGTTGCGTCTTTCTGTTGGATTGTCTGGAATATTCTTGTTTTGTACGCTTGGCTTCTCACCGCATGCCGCAGTCGTTCTTGGCATCATGCATCATAATAGCTAGCATTGCCAAATCTCGAACTACTAGACATTTGTTTGAGACGGTATCATGACCTCCAGTCTTGCAAACCTCGATACATATACACGCTAGTCCACGTCAAGTCTCATACCAGGACGGCTATCTTGCTGCGTCAGATCAACATCAAAACATCCGAAGCCGTTCAGTGTGAGAAATCAGTAATTGAGAGATGGTATGCCTTGAGTACCGGGAAGAGGCTCCTTGTGCGAAGAGAATTATCAAGTGAAGACGGTTCAAAGTGTTGTGGTCTTCACCTTCACGGAAACTCGCAATATGGTAATTTAAAATAGTTGCCGCCTCAACTGTTGGCCATATCTCCAGTTAGGTCCCCTTTATCAATTTCACCAACTGTTGTACGGGTCGTTGTTTGAGAAATCCTTTTGTGTGATTGAGCTTCGAAAGGTACAGAACATCTGCAACTACTTGTGTCCTTCTTGTCTTGCACCTCATTTCTGAGACGACTAACAAGTCTAGACTGGAAGCAATTCCCCAAGCTTTCAGGGGCTATAAGGGCTGAAGGAGTGAGAGGAGAACTGGCCCGGCGTTGTTCTCTATCCTTAGTGCCCCCTACCACCAGCAATCTTCTCCAAGAACAATGAAGGAAGCGAAGCAACCAGGGTCTGTTCGTCATAAATCCCAATCTAGTTACAAGCAATGGGCATTTGCCCTGCGTTACTGCATGTGAACGGTCTCGAGTGCCTACGTGAAGCATTCTCAACTCGCTGACGCATGTTCACCCTGGGGATCATAACATGGTTGATTGAGCTCATCGCCTAGCCAGATCTGGATCAAGTTACTACTAAAGGCCGTTGAATTTCTTTATGTAATCAATATTGGAACACCTGTGAATTCTTTGTTCTCTTTGTTCTCAATCCTCTGTAGTCTGGGTCTCCTGAAGATGCTCTCTACATCAAAGTGTAGCTACCCAAACTTCAGGTATCTGTTTGGACAGCATATCCTCGCCAGCACCAACGTTTATATGTTCTTCTCCTTGCAATCATTATTGTCCACTTCGCATTGTCAGCATGTACAGAATGGCAATTATGCCAAGTAATACTAGAGCTTTTAAATCCTCCAGATCACATACCGGATTAAAATTCTTGAGCTCATCTTGTTATAATCTTTCATGAAGGCAAGAATAAAAAACAAAAAAGGGGACAATATGCTGAGGAGCAAAAGGATAGGTCTCGGAGGGAGTCGAACCCTCGCTGGCGGAATCAGAATCCGCAGTCATAACCGTTAGACCACGAAACCAGTGTTCTAATTGGTGCAGATTTCAGGCGCAAATCCAATTTCTCAGCGTTCCCAGCATCCGACAGCGCGCGGCTTTACTGATCTACCTGCACTGCACGCACAAAATCGCTTGCAACCATCTTGTTTATGCCGTTGTGGAGGTGCGGTTACCGGCTCAACTGCTTCATGGCACGCTCACCATAGCGGATGTCTTTCCTTACAATTGATCATTTCAATTATTGTTCCGGTGTGAAACGTTTGAGGTGCACGTCACAACGGCGTGGAGCATCCGAGATACAAGCTTTGTTTTGGTGGCATCGCTACTGTGCCAGAGGACCGAACGGGCGGCTGTTGGAGATGCGCGACGCTGGTATTCGATCCTGCTTCCGCATATAGGCTGACACCACAACTTGGCTGGTACATACGACCATAGGTAGTGGAAAATACGGGATCCCGTCTGCTCTCCCATAGTCAAGCCACTAACCGGCGGATTAGTAGTTGGGTCGGTGACGACCAGCGAATCCCCGCTGTTGTATGTTTTTGCCAAACTTCAATCTACCTTTATATCGTATCACGCGTGATTCATCCATCGCAAAGCGACATAACCACCCTTTGTTTCTGGCGCATAGCAATGGATGAATCAAGCGTGGTATGATATAATGGTTGATCGAAGCTTTTTTAGGGGTGTTGAATTATTTGTTTTTGGTTACTGCCCTGGGGAGGTGGCGGTTGGAAACTGAGGTGAGGCGTTGTTGTTTTAGTGTTGGTTGAATCGTCTTGCAGGCTGAGGTTGTAAGGCTTGACAGCAATCTGAGTTTTGATAGGATGCTGCCATTGTGCATCCAATTGGCAGAGAGTCGGAAAGCTTATTATAACCTCGTTTATCAATTGCAATTTGGAGACACGTTAGGCGTGGCGGTTCATATAGTCTTGTGTAGATAGTTCGCCTTTGGAAGAGGTTGAAACTGCGAAGCCTAAGACTCCCAAAACCATAAGCAATTTCAAGTTGCACTGTTGAAAGTTCTCGCAGCTATTTACAATCTAACATGTTTTCAAATGATCTCTGTCTGATCACTCAGGATCATCATCCAACAGCTCCTTGACTCTCTCCAACGCCTCCCTCTGAACATCCTCAACCGACTGATCAACACTGACGATCAAAACATCCTTCTCATCCTCCGTCGGCCTCTCCAGAACCTCAAACTGGCTATGCACAAGCGCAGGTCCTGCAAAATGTCCCTTCCTCGCAGCAGCTCGTTTTGTGAGCACTTCTTCCGGTGCATCAAGATGTAAGAAGTGCACTCGCAAATCGCCGGCTTTATCAGATCCTTCGCGGAGCATATCACGGTACTGGCGCTTAAGTGCTGAGCAGGTGACGACGAGATGTTCTGTTCCTGGACCGATGGGATGGTGAGTGGCGTGTTCGTGGAGAGCTTGCAGCCAGCCGTAGCGGTCTTGATCGGTGAGGGGTTGGCCGTGGCTCATTTTCTCGATGTTGGTTTTTGGATGGAACTGAAACTGGTTAGTATATTCGAGTTCATGTGGGAGGGCTACATGCATCATCGCCTTCGACGAATTTGAGATCGAGCTTCTCTGCTATGAACTTGGCGACTGAAGTCTTGCCGGATGCTGTCGGGCCCGAGACGAAAAGGATCCATCGGTGTCCTTTGGGCACTGGCTTTACTTCTGGTCTCTTGAGATCACTCATTTTGTAGATTTCTGAAAGCTGAGGAGTGATTCAACGTCAAGCAATATGTTTCTGTTGCACTATCACAATGTTCGAATGGCTGAGAGCAAGTTTGGTGATGAACTAACTTGACGTCATAGTGATCCCCGATTTTGCTCAAGACCGTTGATTCATTACGCATGTCATCCAATTTTCTCACATTTCGATCAGTTTCTATACCAATTCCTCCACGGCACGCCAATCACCAACATGACGGTTGCCAAATCCACGATCGTATTCACAATGAAGGCGTAGGGTAGGACAGCCATTCTGAAACATCACTTCGCCCTCCCTCGTTGATCGACATTGTCATCACGGACCATCAATGGACCCGAATTACTCATTTCCAATCTCCATAAATCTCTGTCCTTTTCCCAATCTTTGGTACGGGGCCCGAGATACCCGAGAGAACACCAGCCATCAATCCACGACCCTGAAGAGGCATCGCAATGCATCACGTTTAACGCGCATCTCAGCAGCGTCACAGCTGAATCGAGCTGATTGACGCAACAGTATCGTGAAACATTCCTTCCATGCTTAATCTCCCCCAATGCTGAAATGCACAGGCCGCGCTCGCGCAACAGCTGGTGAAGCAACCAGTCTGGCATGCCTCTGCAATCGGAAATAACCACTGATAGCACTGTTTCAGGTCAGATTCTAGACGATTGATAACAAGCGCCCATATCCTTGCTCTTCATGGAGAAAAAAGGAGCGTTGACAGAACTGGGTCACGGACGTAAGTGGAGAAGAGAAATCGGCCCATTTTGTTAGCATATCTATCACTGTGGACGTAAAAACTACCAACAAGAGTCTAGATCCTGCCGTTCATTTATGTGATTACCAATGCGTCGAGGGATTTATTACTCTGGATAATATGAAGTGCTGGCCTCTGCGCGGTATACGAATGGACAGGATGGGTAATTGCCTTTTTGAGCACAGCAAAGAGCTGGATCAGCCTTATAGTCTGGGCATATGATTGGATGGGTGATTCCTGCTATAACACGGCGTTCATCTCCGTTAACCCGTTCAAATCCTTTGTGTTGCTCGGTGTTCAAAGCCAAGAGATGACCGCTGCCGATCACCTTCCAGTAGACTCATGAATGCAACCAACAGCCATGTGAGTAACAACAAAGCAGAAACATTCACTGCTGATCAATTCCACGTGTCTCTTCTTCTCTAGGGTAGCATCACGTCCGACATCGTCATCAAATCGCGCCCTTGCATGTGGCGCGCCCTGCCACGACGGCGGGCATTTCCCGAACCAATGACAAAAGCAAAGTTGTTCTAGAAGACCAGCTAGCGCCGCTTGAGAAAATTTCTGGAAGGGGGAGAAAGAAAAATCTCGACATGTGTGGCTGCGGACCCGAGGTTGCAGGCTCGGTAAGACCGACATCATGCGACGGAGAATACGGGACATTTCCTGAGGGAGGGAGCAGACTTTTCTGTGTTGGGTAGGTCGTTCGGTTTGGTGAGGCAATAAACCTGGGTTTAAGGGGCGATCATTTTAGTTCACTTCTAATACAAGCTTAACCTGTACTCGGTCTAGCCACATTTTTATTTTCTCAGTTTCGCAATTCAAGCTTGATCAAGATCCAAGAAGATGTAATAGACTCCGTAGTGATCTGAAGATCTTGGCCGTCACGACGTGTCGCAATGGAGACCAACTCCATATTCCCCATGGGGCGCTGTTTATCATTGACAATCGCCAAGAAAACATGTGGTCAAAGTTATTATATATCAAGTGGTTTCTTTTACGTACAAACGCCGTTGGGTCTAGAAGTGCGTGCGTTGAGGATGACTCCACTGGTAAGGGGATGGGAAACATGTGGTGATGAATGGGTGTTCATAGCTTTTATGGGTTTCTCAAGGATGGTGAGATAAACATGAACTGAGCTTTACTCACTGAACAAGGAGGAGAGATAATGTTGTGATTCTTGTTGGTAGCGATACTGATCATCGTGATGATGATGATCCCTTCTGCGGCCGTAAGAACTGGACTCAGCGAAGGAGTCTCGGGCCGACCGCAGCCTCAAGTGGAGACGGCGTCAAGTGCCGAAATCTGCACAATCTCCCATGTCAAACCGAGCCAAGCAGCAGCAGCAGCAGCGGATATGGCGTCAAAAAACTTGGAGTAACCTGCGCCTTCTCCGCACCAAGCTTTTCACTCTCTTGCTCAAAAACTTGGGGAAAAATCACCATACACTGCCATCATACCATAACCACGTTTCTTCCTCTGTCTGTTACGTACAAAAAACATCTCTTGCCACCCGGGGCCCCGAGATTTCACCCCAGGAACAAACAGTCCTTGTCTTGGGTTCAGCGAGATTGTGAAAGCTTGTTGGAGTCGCGAGTTGGAGCGAGAATAGCCGCGAGCTGAATTGGAGAAGCGGAACCGCTAACCTGACTCTGTCTAGTGCGCGTTCACAAAAGAGGAAAAGTGTGGACAAACTCTGCAGAAAAATTTGACGAGGGACGGTATTTCTCGGCTCAGAATTGTGAAAAGAGTCAATGATTGACCCGTTCGAGATAAGCTACAAACTCGGCCCGCTCAGCATCTTCTGCCCCCATGGGGCCTTTGCACTGCAACTTCTGGACCGTGACAAAAACTCCCTATCTCTTACGTTATCCACAAGGATCCATAAACGGAGATGCGAGTCAGTTTGGGGTAGAGCAGATCAAATGTTCCAACGAAACTCTTTTACGTAGTTGGGTGGGAACAAATACCCCAGATGAGATGGGGTTCAGATATATAAGCGTGCCCCAGACTCTCCAGTTCTTGGGTTCCCTTTCTCTTGTCTATCCATCTTTGTTCAACTTGTGAAAGGGAAGAACTGCAATCATGAGCCATTACGATTCGGAGAATCAGGCCCCTGAGCCTACTAAGCATCACGGTGAAGAAGCCGGTGTCACCAACGATGCTGTCTTTGGAACAATCACTGAAGATGGTCCCAACTACCGAAACGTACGTCACCTAATGCATACAACACCAGAAGACACAGCTAATGGGAGCAGGTTGGTTGGCTCGGAACTTCAGTTCTGATGATGAAGTCCCAAATCGGTCTCGGTGTCCTGTCAATCCCTGCCTCCTTCGACGCCCTCGGTCTCATCCCTGGCATCATCTGCATGCTGTGCATCGCCGTCATCACAACGTGGTCAGACTACATCGTCGGACGGTTCAAGCAGCGACATCCTGAGGTCTACGGCATCGATGACGCAGCTGGTCTTGTGTTTGGACGCTTTGGAAAGGAGTTTTACGGTATCTCGTACTCGCTTCTGACGATTTGCATTGCGGGATCTGCTATGCTTGGTATTTCGATCGCTTTGAACAGTTTGAGTATGCATGGCACTTGCACTGCTGTCTTTGTGGCTGTTGCTTGTATTGTCGCCTTTGTCACCGCGTCTATTCGAACGCTTGATAAAGTCAGCTGGCTTGCTTGGGTCGGTCTCGTCACCCTCGTCACATCCAGTAAGTCTAAACATCAACTCCTACAGAAACATCTCTAACAAACCACAGTCTTCGTCGTCACCATCGCCGTTGGTGTTCAAGACCGCCCCGACCTCGCCCCTAAGGATGGTGTCTGGAAGTCCGACTACAAGCTCTTCAACACCCCTACCTTCGCTGAGGCCATGTCCGCCATCGCCGCTTTCATTTTCGCCTACTGCGGAACTCCCGTCTTCTTCCCTATCGCGGCTGAGATGCGAGAGCCCAAGCACTACAAGAAGGCTCTGATCCTTTGCCAGAGCGTCGTCACTGTCGTTTACATTGTTGTCGGCATTGTTGTCTACTACTACTGCGGTACCTACGTCGCTTCCCCTGCTCTCGGATCTGCTGGAAAGACTATCAAGAAGGTCAGCTACGGCCTGGCTCTTCCTGGTCTCATTGTCTCTGCTACCCTCTACACTCACGTAAGTTGGCCTTTCTCACTGTTTTGTGACAATAAGTACTAACATTATGAAGGTTCCCGCCAAGTACGCCTTCGTTCGCCTCCTCCGAGGCTCCAAGCATCTTACCGCCAACTCCTTCACCCACTGGGCCGTCTGGCTTAGCTGCACTTTCGGCATGGCCATCATCGCCTACGTCATCGCCTCCGGTATCCCCGTCTTCGGCGGTCTCGTCTCTCTCGTCGGCGCTCTTCTCGGAACACTGCAGTGCATGCAGCTCTTTGGCTGCCTCTGGCTCTACGACCACTGGGCTGAGGGCAAGGACAAGTCTCAGCGCACTACCAAGTGGACCATGATGGTCAGCTGGTGTATCTTTGTTATTGTTCTCGGTACCTTCCTAATGGTCGGTGGTACTTATGGTTCCATCAAGGGTATTATCGACTCTTACAACGTGAGCGGCGGTTCTGCCGCTTGGTCTTGTGCCGATAACTCCAACTCTTCTTAGAGGGTTCAGGGAGGATAGATGTTTAGACGTAATTATAGATGTTTTAGAGATGTTAAATGCAAGCGTTGATAGAGTTCAAACAATGGCCAACCGCGTCTCGTGAACACATGAACAGTCTCTTCAACGTCACTCTCAAAGTTACGGAGATCAGACATTACCCCTTTACGGTTTGGCCACTCACAGCTTCTCCTTCAAGAAACTCACTCTCCACTCCCCCTTCAAATCTCTTTCAATTCTCTCAAACACCCCTGGTCCTTGCTTCCCCAAACCTGTCCCCACCGCTACGGCATAAGCTCCAACGCTCCTCATCCTTCGATAACCGTCCCCGTCACGGACTCCACCAACGCCGATGATCTTTATATGACTCAGTTCCGGGACTTGGTCAAGCATCTTTCTCAACATTGACACGTTACCGAGAGCAAGCGGGTGAAGAGGTGGACCGGCCATGCCACCGACGCCAGTACCTGGTAATTGGGGGTCTAGCTTGTCGTTTTCAAGAATGAGACACGACCCGAGAGTGTTGGTGGCGGTGATGAAGCTTAGAGACGATGCAGCTGGTAGCAAGGTTTCAATCAAGGTTGCAAACTGTCCATGGTGGGTATAAGGCGGCGTCTTGATACCAATGGGCACAGAAGGATCCTTCGGAAGTAGATCCAGATATTTCTTGAGAGCAGCGCCCCCATACGCAGGCGGTGGAGCGCCTGGGATGTTTGGACAGCTCAAGTTGACCTCCATAGCCAGAGGGAAAGGAAGGGTCTTCGACGCGACCTCGATGCGCGCATAGCTTTGTTGTATGTCCTCGGGGGAGCCCGTAACACTGATGATGAAAGTCTTTCGCAATTGGGGAAGGCGACGAGCAATCTCTGATAAGAAGCCGAGATACCCATCGAGCTTGATGGGACTGTAGCCCAGGTTATTCAAGCTTGCCATTGCATCTTCTGTGTGGCCCTTTGGTGGAATCTGGTTGGAAGAAGTGCCTTGATTGGGGGCTGCAGTTGCAGGGTTGAAGAAGAGGTATTGGTGCTGCTCATGTTGATGGCCGAAGCCATTGATAAGCGATGTGCGGGTCGTGATAGCGCCTGTCGAAGGGGATGAAGCGATTGCCAGAAGATCGTTGATGTCGGTGGCCCATGGAGTTGCCGAGTTTAGTAAAGGTGGGTTAATCGTCAATTGAGGTGGCGCCATTGTTGTCACTTTGAAGGAAGCGGTTGAGGAATGAGGATGAAGATGAGGGGCTGGAGACTGGCGTTGGTGATGATAAGAATCGTATTATGTAATCACGAAGCAGACCTCTCGTCGCTAAGGCATGGCTGGGTACTTGTGGGCCATCAAGATTACCTTTTCTTATGGTCAAATCGCACAGAAAAGGAGGTATCTCAGGTAATGCAGCCAACACTCCGTGACATTACCTCTTACATAACCTGAAGTAAATAGCCTTATCCTTAGCTATTAGGGGAGGAATAATACTTTTAAGAAGTTATAAGATTTATTAATAGCTTAGAGTTTTTGATGTAACTTTTATAGCTAAGAAAAATCTATAAATATTTATTTAATATCTTAGTTTATTTCCCCTAAAAGTTTATTAGTTTTTCTTAATACCGGCTGACTTATAATTGGTATGGCTTTGCTAATAAAGTATATAGACCTGTGCCTGGAAATACCCTCGTAAAATTCATCGGCACAGGCTGCAGTCTTTGGTGAGTACTGGGAGTTGGACTCAAGTCTTGGTTAGCTCTGCGATCATCTTGACATATGCTGTGTCAGTGCCGTTATTTTGGTCACATATTGGTAATTGCCAATGACGACGGAGGAAGTCACGGCTGTGCCAAATTCATCTTTGCTTCCTTGCAGTGAAAAGAAGGCTTAAAAAGGCAACGAATTAGGCTATAGGTTGGAGTTAAGCTTCTTTGGAGTATTTTAAGTAAACTTGTTCTCTGGGTAAACTATTTCAACTATGTATAAAGGTGAAAAGAAGGTATAGCCTTTAGGAAGGAAGTACACAAGGGAACCTTTGAGAGACCTATGAAGAGAGAGAATGAAACAAAATCAAGGTATCGATTTGTCTGTCTATTGGCGGACTACACAATTGCGCTCCCCAGGATTCTATCTCTAACGCACACACAACTCAATCCTACCATTATCAACACCGCTTGCCAAAGCATAAACCTCTCTGTTTCTGCCCGCTGATCTCGCCAACGCCTCAACCTGTCTATCCTTCATGCCCTCGCTACCAGCTGCGCGTATGATATCCTGTGTCTCGGGAGAGACCAACTGTGAAACAGCCTGCCAAGCATTGCCCAGAAGGGATGATTGAGTTCGCTTTGCAAACAGCACCAAGGTAAGAGCTGTCAGGATAAAGTGCATAATGAGAATAGTTATGGCAATGATGAAACCAGTCCACTGTTGTGGGACGACGACGTTCTGGGCATTGATAGTGGTAACCTCGTGTGTAGGTTCGAAGATGGGAAGCCAGTCGTAGTATAACATCTGATAAACACGGAACATAACTGCTTGCAGGGCTAGTGCTGGGTTGCCGGTCTCATGGAGGATTTTCTGGAACATAGCTGCATGCTCTGGATGCGTCGCCCAAATGACCGTAGTGGTGAGGTCATTGAACACAATGTTGCCTGCGAGGCTCCAGCCACCGAGAGTGGAAAATTCAACCAGTGTGACCCAAAGCTCCAAGTACGCAGACTGTATCGATACTTCTCCGTCGAGCTCCATCCAAAGGTCTGGCCCTGAGTGGACTTCGAGATTCAAGGTGCCGCGTCCCGTGGTATTGTCTGGAGAGATACCAACGCCAAGTTGTCTGAGAACACCTGTATCGTTCCTTAGGACTGTAAGGCTTGACAACTCCGTCAAGAACGTAGGTTCTGAAGCGACGGCTTTCCCGGTCATAGTGACGTTGAACTTGTGAGGCAGATTCTGGCTGATGAAACACATAGTGGCGTTTAACACCTCAGTCCCATTAGCTGTCTGGGCTAATGTCCATGGCCCGTCTGTCCGATATGTCAAATTATTCAACTCCTTTTGAAGGTCAGGCGGGATTGCACTACCCATGCCTGACTCAAAACGCCCATTCAGCACTTCACCAGAGTTTACGAGGGTAACATATCTAAAGCCATATGACCAACCAGATAGCGGATTCATCGTAACGTTTTTCGAGGACACTTCCACCATCGCAAGCTCGTTGCACAAGGCAGTTGGCCAGTTCGTCGACGTTTTGGTGTCATTCCAGATGTTGTGTAGCTTGCAATATACCTGTACAGGCTTGCTTAGCTCCTCACCAAGGAAGTCAGTCTGGTTTTCGACGGCGAATGTAGCGTTTAGATACAAGCCGTTGATCCCTGTCCTTTCACCTGTGTCCCACTGGATTGAAGTATTGATGAAAGTTGGTGGGAAACAAGCAGTTCGCTGATTGATAACAACAGCAGGACCATGATAATACTCGAGAGTAGTTCTGTCCGATGCCTTGTCATACGGCAGAATTGCGCGATAGACGTCTCCTGTATCGACAGCATTCTCGATGCGAAGTGGTGTCTCCATCTCGGCAGGACGGGTCTCGGCAAATCGCCAATGGGCTAGAGGCCTGGATCTCCAGTACGCAATGCTGCTGTAAGCAGAGCTGTCTGCTGTATCGAAGCCAACAGCTCTGATAGCAGTGGTTATCGGAGCCGAGATCTGGCCTTCGCCGAGATCGAAGAGGAGGATAGTCGAGGTGAGGGTTGATATTAATGCAATGACGACCGTTAGAGCAAGAACTAGAAGATAAAGAAGTCCCGAGGCGCGACCTGCAAAGAAGTGCCTCCAAGCCGTGGGGAGGAGACCCAACGGGCCGGCGCTAGAGCTTGAGGCTCTCTGGATAGACAGCATCGCTGTATCACAGAAACGACTACCTGAAGTCTCGAGGATAACGGCTGCCATTGCAGCAGCGGCAAGGCCAATCTGAAAACCAATCGACACTCGTATGCCAGCAGAGCAGATGGTGACTAGCTGTGTTGCCCAGCCGTTGAATACGATGTCGTCCCAAAATTTGGCACGATGATGGCCACTTCTTGCTCTGTCGGCGCCGTTCCAGAGGAAGATAAGGAGTGCGGTACAAAAGAATGTAACACCCGTACCAAATGTGAGGGTAATTATTCCAGGGCGGCCAATTCTGTGCCACCATCGTTGATCGCGCTGCTGCTGCGGCGGGACAAAGAAGGTTGTTGCAGATCGCATAGGGGTCTCGACGATATTGAAGGCGGACTGAGCTGACTTTTCCTGCAGGTCAGGTCGACCTGATTCTTTGATACTGGAATCGTGGTCATTGTATCCGACGGATGCTCCCTTGGGGTAGCCTGTAGCGTGTGTTATGCCGTGCTGTTGTGATGTGTGCATCTCGACGTTGCGAAACTCGGCCATGAGAGCAGCCTTAGTCTTAATTAAAGAGAGAGAAAAGAGAGTGTGAAGGGACGGTAAAAATGTAAAGAGAGAGAGGAAGAGAAACATGGGGTGTTTGCCATTGAAAGTGCACAATTGCTTCTCTTTGAACTTCGCACTCTAGACAAATGGGCTTATGGACGTTGCGCTCGCAGGGGTCAAGAGACTGGCCAATGAGGTACCTCTCTGTCATGACCAGGGCGAATATAGGTGGGCTTTATTCCGAGACTTGATGTTTGATAGGCCAGCTCGGACTCAGGGTCGGACTCAGGGTCGGACTTGAAAAATTAAGTCTGTATGATCTGTCTCTACATCTCACTTGCATCAAGATCGTAGAGTCTTTATTGGGCCCATCATTGGTGTTTCTTGCATACAATCATCACCCTCCAGACAAGGGTAAAATGAATTATTTGTAATACAGACATAAAACAGGACAGTGCCCTGGTAGATCGGTGTCTCCTTTGTATGGTTGTATAAAGTCGGGGTTAATGAGCGAGTTCGGAAAATAACAAACTACTCGAAACAAGACTTAACCAAGGTCTATAATAGAACAACGCCATGCAAATTCGGTCAGAGCAGGCCTGTATTCTTATCTCGTCTGTGGATTAAGTTTTAATTGTTTTAAGCAAATTGTTAATCGATTCTTCTTCTTTTAAACGCCGCGAGAGGGGGTGAGGCGGGATAAGACTTACCAGCCTCACAACGGGCAATGGGCGTGCAAGAGGCTGTCTAGCTATGACAATTATTAATATATACATGGTAAAAGGCCTTATAGGGGCTGGTCCGACAGCAGTCCCTCTAACCTTTAAACACTAGATATCCCAGATATCAAGCCTCGTTATTGGACTCCCTTGAAGAGATAAAAAGCCAGCGAGTACAAGCGTTAGCTGGTGATTGTAAATCCGTCCCTGTGGCTCCACTAGTTGAGATCATGTACGGTCATATAACCAAGCTTGTCCACTCCTCCCCTACAGATAGAGGCTATCCCAGATAGCAGCTACTAGAGATTGAGAGCCCAAGTCCTTAATCCAGCAGGCTCTGAGGCCAGAGACTAGCTTGCTGCCGACATTCGTCGTTATAACGGTCATGGTAAGGTCATGGTAAGGTCATGAAGGTCCTTAGGAGTTTGCGGGTCTGCTGGGCAGCGTGCGCTTGCACAGAGTAGGTGATTGTAGAAGCAGGTGTAATCTAATGCCTACCAGGCTACCTGCACTACAGGCTCATGAATAGGTAGCCTCACTGGTCATTGCATCTTATCGTTAATGGTGGTGTTCTCTAGCTCGGGAGCAAAAGTCGCGCATCTTCCCCTCTCTGTTAAGGCAGAGAGATAGGTCATAGCCCAGATTTATGTAATTTCTTGTTTGCACGACTAGGCGATAGGACGTCTATCCTAACAGCTAACTAACATCTATTGCCAAGGAAAAATTAACTTAAGGGGACAGTGTGAGCCATTAATCCTGTCCTAGTTGACTGCTGACATAAGAACATTTTGGCTTGCTGTTAATTTAAACATGCATAGTTAGATCTGCATAGCCCAATCGTTGACTTTAACCTTCTTTAATCTCAGCTATGTGTAACTATAATGGCTGATGATATAATGGCATGAGGCTGTGTCAAGATTGCTCATAGAGAAAGGGACAGATGTTAACACAACTGACCGTTACCAGCAAGCTCCACTACATGTGGTTGCGAGCTCGGGGCATAAAACACTCTCCAAGTTACTCATGAAAAAATGAGCCGATATCGATATAACCAACTGCCTCAAACAGACTCCATTGCTTTTAGCGATGGAGCTTGGACATGAAGACCTCTAGGCTGCTTATAGAGGAGGGGGCTGATGTCAACATGGCCAACTGCCATCAGCAAACAGCGCTGGAATACGCGGCGTCGGCTGGACAAATAGAATAATCTAGACTTCTGATAGAGAAGGGAGCAGATATCAACAATCAAGATAATCAAGGACGGGCTCCATTGCAATTGACGGCCATCGATGGACACCGTGACCCCGTACAAACACTACTAGATCATAGAGCAGATGTCGATGCTGGAGACAAATGGATAAACCGCGCTTCAATGGGCGGCTTTGGGAGGACATTGGTGTGTTGCCGAGCTGTTATTACAAAATAAGTGCTCCTGCATTCAGACGCAGGATGCTTACGGACAAACGATGCTACATCTAGCGGCTTATAACGGGCACTATCTTGCAACGGCCCTGCTAGTGGACTATGGGCAGATGTCAACCTGCAAGACAACCAGCAGAGGACGGCACTACATTGGGCAGCAAAGAATAGGCATGAGGCAGTAGTGAGACTTCTTTTGCAGGAAGGCGCGGACAACTATATTCCAGACAAGGGAGGACAAAGAGCCCTTGACCTAGCGATAAGTGAGCGAAGAGCCGTAGAGATATTGGCTGAAAAGAGCCTGACATAGAACTAAAGCTACGATGGGTTAGATTCGATGTAGTGGTATTGCTATTAGAAAGAGGCAGGTACTAGCATTTAGATATTGTATGATTATATGTTTTTGTCATGGTTGGTCATTGGGCTATCTAAGATACCCCTTTCTATTATTATATAACTAAGAAAACCCAACGTATAATTGCATTGGAGGAGTTTGCAAGAGCAAGCAGCTTTGACATACTATTATAACCTTGAAAATAATCTAAGTGCTTTATGTCTAGTTCTGTGGCTTGATTTGAGCAAAGGGCTACGATAGGCGGGTAACTCGGCAACTCACATCAGTGACGAATTGTGAAGTATGTTGGTTACTTCTTTCAACAGAATTATCTTCTCAGCTGGAGCTTCGATCCAGACGTTCAAGGCTTCGATGAATTTATCCCGTATGTTCTTGCATGGCACACCAGAGATATGTTTGTAGGGGACTCGGAAACCTGGAATAGTTTTCTGTGTATCAGCCTTTGTTAGGAGAACAGGTAGCAAGATGTCCAAACTATATTGAATTGCCTGACCTGCGAGGTTCTGGTAATACTAATCACTAATCTTATAATATCGTAATTGTAGTTTTAGCATAAGTACCTTCAAACTGCTCACTCGGTATCTCCTTCTCGAACCTTATCATCCCAATACGATGGAAAACGGTATCTTGATGTGTAGGTTGAAACAAAGCAAGGCAGTAGAGAGTTTCAAACGAATCCTCAAAGAGAAAACGCCCATTCTTCACAAAACACTCATCCCGCACAACAGGTAAGCAAAAGTAACGACCCTTGGCTTCTTCCAATCGCTTAGTCTTTCTCGATGCATTGTCGATGATACCCCTTTCACAGAGACCTGGAGTGAGGTTGTCCAAATAGGATAGTAAGGGAACTATCCTATCAGACGTGTCTTGTGTCATTTCATCGGGATATAAGACACCACCCCAGGTGTCGAAATTACCACCGTCAGTAACTTTGGGCAGGTATTTTGTAGCATCGTCAACTTCAATGCGGCCTTTGGAGCTAACCTTTGGCAACTCCTGGTGTTCCAAAGTAAGTGGTCCGATAAGATGCCCTCGGAGCTTGATATATCCGCCATGGATAAGACCTGTACTGTGGCTCTCATCGGCGTGCTTGAGCCAAACGGATTCAACGGAGACAAAAGTGTCGTTAGCAAATGGTGCGAGGCCCGCTAGCTGAATAGGACCTGTCATAGAAGCCCAAGACCAAGAAGGGGCCGTGTATGCGGACGTTCGCATTGATCTGGTGAAGGTGTTATCAGTTCCCCAACACAGAGCTTGAGGCAAATGCGAGCGCCATAATCCAGCCAGATACTGATCAAATATCTTGGAAGATCCATCAACAAGCAGGTCGGGTCTAATGTTCTCTGGGTCATACTGATCATGTATCTCTTTCTGAGACTGGCCAAATCCCTGAGCAACTCCCGCAAATGCAATGAGCCGGTCGGACTCTTGGGTTAGACGGGTCCCAACGTACTCTCGGACATATGTCTCCCAGATTTGGGCACCTGAGAGCCACGGTTTTGCTTTTGGTTTGTTGTCTTTCATTCCTTCAATAGACCTTCCATTCCAGTGGTTTTCCGGGTGTTGCTCGCAAGCTACCCTTTTTCGACAGTGCCACCATAATTGGCTATGGGCGAGGATGAGTGATCGAGGAGATAGGTACCACTCTTGAAAGACCCATGCTCTCTTCCTTAATGGGGAGTTCAGGATATCGTCCCACATCGTGTCGTACTCAAGGTAGACGCTTTTTCGCTCCTCACCATCCCAAGATGAAGTAAAGAACAGAGCTTCCATTATACCCGGATCCCTTCCGCGAAAGCTTTCGCCGTTAACGTCCGCGGCTGCGGCGGAGCATATATTGAGTAAGGAACAACCATAGACTTTCTTCATAGTAATAGCCTCGCGTTGCCAGTCTTCTCCATCATCCTGAATAATGCAGAGCGAGTCGATCCATATAAAATGAATATTAAGACGAGAAGAGAAGTTAATCGCTTCTTGATACTTTTTAGGGAGGTCTTCCACTGGAATCCCGGTGCGAAACTGGTCAAGATTCTCGGCTTTCAGCATAAGCATCTCCTGGTTGCCCCAACAGTGAGAGAAGGAGACGTATGGCCCAGTCGAGCTTGTGGAAGTCTCTACAAGTCTCAGCCGTTTGGAATCGATAATCTCCAATAATCTTGTCGGGCGATATGACAGATCACCCTGGTTGCATATTGTATGATTGTCGATACAGTCTTGGATCCACTTTTGAGGAAGATCAGAGCCAAAAGGATCCGTCCGTGGAGTATAGAAGTCGGATGATTGTTTTCCACCTGTTGCATAGATCAGAATATTTAATTGTTTCTGCTGTGTCTGCAAATCCTACGGCCGAGGGTTTCGTTTCTGAAACTCCATCTTGCTCCTGTATTCAACGATGGACGAATAGTCAATCCTTGAAATTCAAGGCCAGATTGGCCTCGCTCGTATAAAATATGATACTGAAAAGTATCCCAAGCCTGCTCAGGAAATGCATCCCAAGAGCGGCTCTTCACGACGGTTCGGCAGATAAAGCAGCCATGATGCGATGCGGCCAGGAGGTCCGCTCTCTTGTGATGTGAAAGCCACTGGCGACTGTCTGGGAGCTCCCCTTTAAATATGCCTTCGCAAAGAGTGCAAAGCCTTGATGGCAAAGAAGCCATGACGTTTTGAATAAGTTGGATAGTTTGGAGAGTCTCCGTCAAGTTGAACAAGAACAACAGTGAGCTTTTTTCTTATCTATCATCCTGGTTAATGAGGGGCTGTGGCTTGAGCTTCCAGTCTGCCTAGTTGCACAGCCACCTTCTCTACAACTACGGTGGCTCACAGGTTGGCGGTGTCTGGTCGCGTAAAACCATGGCTGGCTGATTGCTGAGGTTGTATAAGGTCCGCGTGACGTAACCGCTGAGTTCATTTTCATTTGGTAACCAGTTAGATCTATGACCGCTGAGTCGTAACAGTTTTCCTAATGATAATAAAACTCATTGTTTGGACGCAGCCATTGCGCTGTGCGGTGCAGGCCTCAAGCCTGGCCAACAGAAACTCACGAGACGGCAGCTCGTGAGGGATGACAAGTCAACCAGCAAAAGCACGCTGCATTCATGACGTCTCTTACCACGACCCCAATTGTCCCGCGTCTCTAGATGCAGTAATCAGAGACAAATCTGCGATGCCTCCCAACGATTCGTTCGAATACGAAGCCACTTGTGTGGAGTGAGGCCAAGCTGCGGTCGAGTCACGTCGCTAGAAGGAGCAACTCTGCCTTGCAAAACCGGGTGCATTTCTCCAAAATGACCAGTCGATCATTTTTGAGATCTTATCTTGCCTGCTCTCCACCATATTATGGCCATCGATGCAACCGCAACGTCGGTAGAGCCAACATCTCTTGGCCGTACTCTCCTTGCAGTGGGCATTTTCTTTCTCATTCCGACATCAACTATCCTTATTCTGAGATATTACCCTCGGTTAAAACACCATCTTTTTGACGTCGATTATGGTCTCATGCTGATCGGTTGGGTAAGCGAAAATCCGTTATGTGATAAATCAAGGTACAATACTGATACACCTTTACCTCAGATGCTATATGTCGCTGTGAGCGGTATTGTTGCGCGAAGTGTTTTTGCCGGCCTTGGTACGAAAGACGAGAATTTAAATGCCTATCTGCAGAATGATGGACGAAAGGTATGCATTGTGAGTTATTGCCAAAAAGAGCAGTGGCTTACCCACGTGTATTCAGTTCCTCTGGTGCTTCCAAGTCACATACTGCTTCTCGTTGCTGTTTCTCAAAAGCTCCATTTGCGTCACCCTTCTCCGCATCGCCGTGATCAAAACACATCGTATTATCATCTGGTGCACCCTCACATTTGCCATATTATCTACAAGCGTCGTTATTATCGGGGTGTTCCTCATCTGCCAGCCTATTTCTACCGCTTGGGGCCATACAGGAACATGTGCACCAACAGTAGTCATTGCAAGCCTCGGCTATCTTGTATCTGCTGGTGCAGTCGTGACAGATTGGATCTGTGCTATCTTGCCTATCTTTATGCTCTACAAATCCAACATGAAATTAGCGACAAAGATTGGCGTCAGTGCTGTTCTGGGATCGGCCGCTTTGTGAGTTTTGTTGTTGCCTTTTGAATGCTTAACGGTGTGCGCTAACGTTGACAGGGCATCACTCTGTACTATAATCCGACTTCCCTATGTAAAGTATTACACTACTATCCCGAATTATCTGTGTTAGTATCCTTGCTCACACCCTCTACTTGTTTGCCTATCTAACAATGAAATAGATAACGTCGCAAACATTGTAATTTGGCCTATTGTTGAATCAGGAATTGGAATTGTGTCCGCCTCGCTCTCCACTCTACACAAGCTCGTCAGCAGCCGGTTTCATTTCGATTCAACGGAGATGTCGAAGAGGAGAAAGAGGAAAGGAGATGCCAAGGTCACCCCGGATTCGACGGGAAACGGAACAGCCGGCAAGATCGCCGACACCATAGGAAGCATTCACGTCGTCCAATAAAAGTCTACAGCACTAGGAATATCTATCACCGCCAAAGTCGTCGGAGATTTTGTACTTACCGGCATTAATAAATTAACAGTCCATTTAGCCTGCCCGAACTAACAGGGTGCGCATTGCTGCAATTGTGTTCTGTAGTTCTTCGTCATGCTAGGAAGGTCAATGCTGTCGACTGGGGGCTTATCGGTAGCCGAGTTGGGCATGGTAGGAGGGCCAATTTGACGCTCGTTGCTGAGATGAGTGATCTATTGTACCAGATGCACCAAGATACTATTGAGAGATAACTTCCCCAGTGCCTGTTTTATGTAGCTGTTTTCTCCTCATGCTGAAAATTATGGGGATTGTTTATTTCACTCGTATTCTTGCAACACTAACAGATACCAACAGAAGAAGCCACAACAGATAAAACTTGACTAATAATGTTCAACTTTGCTTGCCCTGCGGTCAAAGAAATGTCATTGCCAGCAACAAGATTTACCTCCCCCTGCACGCCAACAACCCGGTTTTGGTCCTAGCACTTGTACCTGGAAGATTTGTGATCTACATCGATCCAAGCATTTCACACCATCCATCTGGTATCCACTAAGAATTGTAGAACCGGGTGTTTTTTTTACTTGGTAGATCAGTATCTCGTGGCTGGCGCATTACCGTGTTTCATCGTAATACCCGAGATGAGAGGGTACACAGTACTTACGTGGCTAGTTCACCTCCGAGTGGCATCTGGCATTCCACAGCTCATATTATTCATACACTTCAGACAGCTTGCTTGCTTGATCAGTATATTGCTATAACTGCTCGTGGTTATGGCTGTATCTTGAAAACTTTCTTGCATCGAATGCAATCCATTTACCCCCCGAACATCGATCATTGGGCAAGCAACGTTTCGCTTTCACTGAGCATGCGACCTCACTTTGCTCGTGCTCTGACCAAACAAATATCTCTCAATTTTTTTTATTTCTTTTCAATATTTACAGCTCCTCGTTACTCTGAACCTCCCACGCTCGCTGCGCCTTGAACTGCTCAGGAAACCACTTCGGCGTTTTTCCCTCGGTCATCATATCAACAAGCGCCTCAGCACTCCTATAAGCCCACGCCATCCCATGCCCGTTCATACAAACGATAGCCCACAATCCATCCTCAGCCGGAACCTCCCCGACCAGAGGAAACCCATCCGGTGTCTCGCACACAATACCCGTCCAGTCCCGAATGACCTTCGTTGAACCGCCCCAATTCTCATAACCATAGACCGTTCGCGCTGCGCCGTGTAGAACGTATGCGATCTGGTCGTTGATGGCGGTATCGTCCGTGATGTAGCGTTCGCGCGTGGGGGACATTTGTGTTGACCCGCCAATTACAACACTGCCGGCGTTTTTGGCGCCTGGGGGTTGAGCGGCGATGTAGACGTTGCCGCTGTGGAGATCGGGAACGCTGTTGCTTCGTCGAAAGACCTTGTTGTCGGTCGTGTTGGCAGAAGGCGTTACGGCGGAGACTTGATTGCGGACAGGCATGGTGAAGTTGGTGCTTGCGATGCCGGGGTGAAGAGCCGGGGTGAAGCCGTTGGTAGCGAGGACGACTTGTTTGCTCTTGACGGTTCCTCGGTTCGTCTTGACTTCCCATCTTGCTCCAGCCTTGGTCTTCTTGCCGAGCTGGTTGAGGCTCAGCGCCATGGTGTTTGTCTGTAGATTGAGGCCTTTCTCAAGACTGTACTCAAGCATCCCACAAACGGTATGGTATGGGTTCTGAGTATGAGCTTTGAAGGTCACAGCTCCAACGATCTCAGGCCATCCCCAGTAATCGCGAGCATCCTGGCCCTTCCAGATAGTCCTCTTGTTCTTGGGAACGTCATTGGGCCGGCGCTTCTCAAGCTCATGCTGAAACTCAATTGACTCAACGGCTGTCTTGAACGAATCATCAGTCCAGTACAGACTGGCGGTCTCGACGTCTGTGAAATCGCTTGAAACGTTGTGTGAGCGGACGAAATCGCGCACGTCGTCGACACAATCCTGCTCCATGTTGGCGATTCGAAGAGCATCATCCTCGCCATATGTCTCGACCCATGCCTTCACACCATTGTAGTCACCAGGTTTGCAATGACCTCCATTACGACCAGTCGCGCCTGAAGCTGCAGTTCGCGCTTCAATCATCAGAATTGATAGGCTTGAGTCGCGATCCAACAGCTTGTGTGCTGTAGCAGCACCTGAGATACCGGAACCAATGATGACATAGTCAAAGGTCTTCTCTGTCGGCAGATCCTTCGTAGTGCGGAGGTTGGCGATGCGGTGAGGAGGATCTTGCCAGTAGGACTTCGTCGCGTTAGGAAGAGGCAATCCCGGAATCTTGAGAGCCGGGGACTCATCAGGCGTGTCGCTTCGCAAGGAGTGAGGATGCGCGACGGCGAGAGAATTGACACCTGAAGCCAGAAGGATGCTGGCTGTTGCCACCTGAGACAAAGAGGACCTCATGATCGATGATTGAGCAGAGAACCTTGGAGGAGGGAAAACATGAAGAAGCCTCGCTGTCGATCTTTTATACCGAGTCAGCGCAACGGAAGGATCCGGACTTCAATTGTAGAGCCGCACCGAGATTCGCTCAATATTCATGGAGAAACATGACCGGCCGATAAGCGTCGGTTCCGTATACTCAATCAGGAAGGATATGATCAAGGTTCCCCGACTTTGAGTGGGATCGGCGGTTGTTGTGCGGGGTTCACATCCTGGTTATTGCAACGTTAGTATCGCGGTCACTATCTTATTTCCCTCACAACGGTACGATTCGAAAATTGGGTCCATGTACTTACCTTTTTATTCAACTAGATCTCAACAAACTCAAGACTCCCGAGTGCAAAGCGTCCAGCGTCTGCCATGGGGCCACGCGAAAACACCAAAGCTCTCCCCCAAAAACCCAAACAACCCAAAGCAGAAACACTTACAGACCCATAGCATCTGCAGCAGATGGATTCGCGACTCTGAGAGAAGACTTGACATCTTCAATAGGAACGAACCACTTACCCTGCTCCGTAATATCCCACCATCGACGGCTGTCGCCGCGCTCAATGATCAAGCGTCGCCAGATGTCGAGAGCCTCATCGCGAAACTTCTTTCCAGGTTCACTCTGCAACTCGGGAATTTTGACGTCGGCTGTATACTTCATCCATTCAATTCGAGGATCAAATCGATCATTGATGATGAATTGATGGCGTCGTGGGCCAAACTCCTCAGTCAGATTCTCGCATTCCGTTTTGTAAGAATCGGAAGCGAGGCATGATATAGCACTGAAAAGTCTGAATAAGCCTTCATTCTCGCTCTCCTCACTATGATGCAGACGACCAGTGAATGGCATCATCTCCTGGGTCTTGGTGACCGCCTGAGAGAGATTGTTTAGGGCCTCCCTTTCAGTGTTGTCGGTACAGTAGTCGTTCGAAAGCAAATAAGCCTTGATCTTGTATACTTCAGCAATACCATCCGGGTAATCAAATCCTTTGAGTCTCTCACCATAACCAGTGAAAGGACCAAACCTTCGGCCGTAGAACTGGGTGTGAATACCAGCAACGATCCACTCCATGTTTGACACAGCGCGATGCGTTCCTCGAGGCAGATCAGAACCGAAACGTCTCCAGAGCTTGCTCCTAGCGGTCAGTGGCCCTTCGCCAATTGGGCGATACATGAGAAAGTTCTCAAGGAGAGAGCTGGGGCAGTAAGATTGCATTGCAAGCTCGACTGCGTTGTCGGGTGCTGTCTCTGGATGACCTTGGGCCCCAAAGCGATCTTGATAAAGATCAATTACATCGCCCCTCTTGCACAGCATCTTGATCATGTCACAGATGCCGTCTCGAAACTCATCAGCAAACAATGCATCTGCGGTCCATTTGATCCACTCAACCAAGTGGTCGATAGGGGGTCGTGGAAACGGGTCAGAAGCTGAAGCCCCGATAGCCTGGAGTGTTTGCTGTAAAAATAACTTCAAGATATTCAAACCATCTTTTGTATCCTCTTCAGACTTATATCGCTCCGCAAAACCGACAATGACTGACTGTTCGCCGCGGTTTGGGTCTCGACTCTGCGCAGACATCCACTGGGAACAAGGCTGGAAACCAAACTTGAAGTAACCTTTCAGCGTGAAAGGGAACTGCCCCTTGCGAAGTACGCTTTTCAAGATCTCGGACTCATGACGTGGTTCCGAAAGGAACAATCTACGAGTGCCTAAGACTTCCTTCATGATCTCATCAATATCGGCTCCATCGAAAGAGGCCTTGTTCAAGAATGAAATGAGAAGATGCTCAGGGAGGAAGAGAAAAGGAGAATTTCCGTTTATCTCGAAAGAGTGCGACATGGTTGTTGATGTTGAGGTGAAGATGTTTCTGTAAATTCTGACGTGGTTCGCGTGGAATGAGACTGTGATAAGCTGACGGATGTTGGTGATTCGGAAAGATCTTTGGGAGAGTCTGAAAGATGGCCTTATATAGGTTGACAACGTGGAGGAGGATTTGGGCCAAGAAAGCTCGCTTGATAACTCGATCGTGTTCTGAAATCTGTTCGGATGTTCGCCACAGTCATATTCAGTGGATGTTGGCTTAACAAAGAGACTTTTCAGGATTAGCGAAATCCTCCCGTGATAGATTGCAGCAGGAACACTGACGCCAGGCTCTGTCCCAATTCTTTGTACAAACTGGTTGTTCAGGTTTCAAAAGCGGGTTTATGTTGAACGTCGTGCAACGCAAATCATTCCATTGGTCCTCTGCTGGGATTGGCGAACAGCACATGGGAATTTGGCCCTAGAACTTGCCTAAAACTTGCCTAAACTTGTATAAGATGATCGTAAACTATAACATGGATCTCAAGTTTAGATCAGACTTTGACAAGAGAACATGAGAGCCACCTGTCACTGATTGTTGTAGCCCTGAGACAATGATTAGTTTTAACTCTTGTGAGACTCCCCCGCCTCGAGCATCTGAGGCTTCAATTCGTCTGGTAGTATTGTGTTCAAAATGCTTGTCTCTTGACATATTTGAGCGGGGGGCGGGTCGATGGTGTTGTATTGTGACATGGTTGTAGGTAAGTCCATGGAGGCGATTCTGCAGGCGGGACCGGCGGCTGATGGACAGAACGTTGGAGTACCGAATAGCGCTTAGCCGTCTGGCGACGGGATTGGAATCAATAAATAGTGTGTGAAGTCGGGGACGGGTCCAAGAGGTTCATGTTGGTCGTTGGGAATGATTGCTGCAGGCCCCAGATGGTCGACAACGTAGGGAATGGCGATAAGGCAAGGTGATGCTGAGACACATAGGAGCTAACTTACGAGATTGCCGTAAGATCCCTTTTAGCCGCATGTTAGCTATATTAGTTGATATCATTAGGGGTTAATGACTTACAGGCGCCAATGTTGATGATCATGGAGACAACATATTAGCTACGTTAACAAGTCGCCATGCATAAAGAAGACTTACATTTGATTGGAATTGTTGGCTAAATGCCAGAAGCAGTCAGTGTCAGCAATGTTTCAATCAACACAGAACGAGCCTAGTGATGATATACGCACGGAAGAGGTGAAGTTTGGACATATCAATGCCAGCCAATCAAGCTAGAAAGAATTTTACTCAGAGCCAAGACTTGTGTCGGCCCAAATGTTCAGAGATGCGAGGAGCTCAACGAGATGTGATAGCAGCAACTACATCGCCCAGTGATCTCACTCCCTGTCGGTTGTTATGATGAAGAAAACTGGAGTTGGGGCGCTGGCTTGTGCTTGTGGCAGCGCAGGGCAGTAAAGATTGCGGCGGGTTCAATTTGCTTACCGAGAGAAGGCAACCGCTTCAGAAGCCATGTCACGTGTTGGGCTCTTCCCATCCAAGAACATGCCCTCCTTCTCTAGCTGTGGTACTTGCGTCATCGTCCTCCGCTTCTCTAAGGCTGGTGCTGGTGAGCCTTCATCTTCTCTTCTCCATCTCTCCCGTTCATCATCGTCAACAAGTCATCAAACATGATCACCCATCTAACGCATCGTCCGCTTCAACCCCCGAGACACCATCTGGGCTCCAAAAGCACAATGCACTCCTCATTCAGACATTCACTTCTGCTTCCGTCATCTTCTCTTTCGTCCCTTCAGTCAGAACAAAACCGACTTGCCGCTTCCGACAATGTTGCCTGCCCCTGTGCCCCTTCAAGCTCAGCTTAACCGAAGCACGGCCACTCTTCTGATGCTGAATCGAGATCCAAAGTTTATTTTCCGCCGCCCATTTCGAAGGCCACCCATCCTACATCTGCCGAGTCCAAGCTGCCATCAGCAAGCCGAGCAAAGATAAGTGAAAGTGTGAAAGCCATCAAGTTCAGCGAGCTTTGAGTCTTTGGCGGAGATGAACAGCCAACAGGCCAGGGGCCCGCGATTGGAAGATTCCATTTACTGGGAGGGAACGAGAAAGCAAGAACAGGCCAAAATGGGAGGAAGGGATGCTAATAGAGACAAAGAACGCACAGAACCAGAAGCACAGGCTGGTGAGATACATTCAACCGCACGCGCAAGACGCTCTGAACATGGATCTCCTCAAGCAAGCAAGCATCGAGCGTTATTCAATGAATAGGTCAACACCAATCGATATAGATACCTGCGCCCAGGCGCTTGAGGCTCACAAAAGATGCACATTCAGACTATGACACAAAACACTCAATCCCCCACGATTCTCTTTGGCGATATTTGGAATGAGGTAACCTCAGCACGACACTCGTGGGTCAACCTGCGTTATATGAGCTGTTCATCCTCTTCTAGAACGACCATCGAATCCGGACTGAAAGCCGCTTCTCTGAGAAAATTCTCCACGAACAAGGTCATCTCCGTTCAAGTTTCCTCCAATAATTAGCAAAGTGTACTGAATTAGCCACAGAGCAACGGCGTACCGATAACCTTGAAAGCGTATTGCCAAAGACCCCGATCGTCAGAGAGTTTCTTCAGAGTTTAAAAGTCACGGCCAGTTCTGCCCAAGGGTGCAATTGATCCACGTATTGTGACAGGGAGGCATAGCAATCGTCCAGCTTTCTTCAGTCTTTCGCGAAGTCTGCTGAGTCGGGGCCAGTCCTGCCTAAGGGTGCGGCTGAGCCTAAGAGATATTAAGAACGCTATTGAATATGGTTGAATGAGGAAAATAATAGCCCATGTCCAACTTGGACTAAGCGTCGGGCCAGTGTTGCTGAGTCCTTTTTAGGGGATGACCGCATTTGGGCCGATGGAGGAAGGGCGACGAAGTCGGACTCCAGACCTAGCTTTTCGACAAACCCTTTCGAAGATGGAGCCATACCATCGGCGGTTTTGTGAGAGCACTGTTCCCAAGCAACCTCGACATACTCCGCATCACAACCGCGATATACCGCAACAATCTCATGTTCGGGGGTTGGGGCTTCTTGTAATCCCTCAACGTCAGACGTACAGTAGTACTGATGGGGATGCCTCGACCACATGGCGCCTTTGTCGATAAGCCAGATGTTCTCAAGGCCGTCGAAGTTTCTGTGATGCGCGCGGTCGAAGAGTAGTTTTTCCAGGTATCCTCGAGCAGAGTTCTCTTCACTTAGGCCGTATATGTTCCCTGGGCGATTGATGGACCAGCTCTGATCAAACTCGATGGCGAAATCTTTGATGATACATGATACGCCATACTTCAGTGCCGTAGATATTAGCTGGTATATGTAACGGTGGGTTATAAGGATATCTGTATATATATTTCCAATTTTCTGTCCTGACGCAAAGAAACATCCCGAGCCGGGTAGGCCACTAGATGCCACTCTTGGTCTCCCTCAGCGATCGTGAGAAGCGCAAGGTGAACCGCCTCTTCCCCGCCTGGCAAGTCCGCTTGATATTCCTCACCCGACCGATATTTGATAAAGTATTGTTCTTGGGCCCTGAGCCAATCGTCGATGTGTGCATGTTTGAGTATGACCTCTCTCGACTCCTCGCAAGCTCTCCAAAGACCTCCATCTGTGAGTTAGGCGGATGTGTTCGGCTCATGGCTTGACACTCCCAGACCAGGAGCTAGAGACAAGTTGTATCTCAAGGGCATCACCCGATCATTGAAAATGTCGACGTACTGTATACCACGGTCGTGTGGCGTGGATGGAAGACAAGCAGCATTCCAATCTGAAGTCGCGGTTCAATGGGCAGCTTGGTGAGGAGGAGGAAAGGAGAGGGCATTTTGAGGGCCATATATTGCTGATGGTCACAAAAAGCCCCTGAAAATCTGAGGTTGAGCACAGTCAAGTGGCAGGCGATGGGCATCCTTATACGGGAGGAAATAATTAAGTTTCGATCAAGGTTTGAGATGCAGTCAATGATGTGAGTCAAGCCTTTATTTTTGTTTTTGACTTTGATCCAGCTTCAAGATTAGACTATGGTACATCAAGATTTCGCCTCATCCGAAAATTTACCAGGCTGCTGTAACTCGATGATGTGCCCGTTATCTCGTGCCCCTGGCTTCCTTGACAGACACCATTGATGACAGTTTTAGTATTCCTACCTTGTACCGAATCGTCAAATGCTTCTCTCAGATCAAAGATGAAACATCGCAAACAAGTTGATAAGTATATCTCGACCTCTGATATCCCAGTTCTCGATCCTTTGAATGCACATTTGCGGTGAATCAGTGGCTTTATTCTTTCATTGGTTGACACTCCTGGGAACATGCATTTTGTGTTAATCTGTCACAGCCAGCGGCCACTGTCACTGCCATGGCGACTGCCTAGTCCTGTAGCAAACAATAGTCACGTGCTGTTACAAGAAAGCCCAGGCTCTCACTCACAACCTCCACTTCCCCCTCTCTTCTCTCTCTCTCTTCCCTTCATTCTTCACCCTTCAGCACGAGACTCTCAACTCCCGCGTTTACTTGCCACCACTCTGATTTCAGCCGCACGCAGGTATGTTATGCTGTCGGCACAAAACAACACATCTAATAAATCGCAGCAACCATGGCTGGAGCGGCACAACCCCAGGCTCAGCAGCAAGAAGATCAAAGCCTCTCGATCACCGAGGAGATGTCAGCTGCTTTTCGCTATTTCAAGCGCCTGCCTATTGAGCTTCGACTCAAGATCTGGGAAGCCGCATGCCTCCCTTCCACCGACACCGACCACGGCCTTCACTATGTCACCTTGGACGTCGTAGAGGAGGGTGTGGAGGACGTGGATGACGAGGAATATCTCGAGAACTTAGTCATCTTTGATGCCGACCTCGAGGGCTATGATGAAGAGTTCGAGGTCGAAAGTGATGATACTGGTTATGTCACGCTGAGAGCCCTCAAGCGACCCTGTGAGAAGTCCTCCGAGACAACAAACCTCAACAGGTCCGCCTATCTCTGGGATGCAGGTCTTTGGTTGGCCTGCAAAGAGTCGCGATCTGTGATTGCCAAGCATCTGGACTTTGAAGGATGGCTCGCCTTTCGAGAACAACCTATCGAGGATTATCTCTGCGGGTAGTACAGCAAAGACTTTCCCTCGACTATTGTTCCTTTCAAGAAAAACGAGAAATGGCTCCCAGTGGTGAGGCCTACTCATGACATCTTCTGTATCGACACCACAAAGCTCAAATCCTTGTCACGAAGCCTCTTCGGCATGAAGCTACTGGCGCCATTCCTCGGTACACGAACATTCACGATCAAGGAACGCTGGAACATCGCTTTCAAGTTCGACCACAGTTGGAACAATGCCTTTCCATCTAGAGAGAACAGACTGAAGCGAGAGAACTCCCCGCGAGGTCTGCTTGCGCACTGGGTCGAGATTCTCTCTGAAGAGTCCGTTCCTGCGCCTAATCTCTGGATCATTGATGACGACGTTCGCTGGGTTGCACGACCTGGTCAGGTGTTTGAGACGGTTTATCGCGATTGTGAAGCGGACTACGTCCAGATAAACTGGGAAGCCACTCGCGACAACACGATCAGCCTGCTGAAGGGCGCCGTGGCCAGATTCATGGATTCGTTCGGACTGGTATGTGACAACGAAGACATGTATGACCTTCAAGAGCTGGGTCTGGAACCCATGGCGTTCAGAGTGAAGGACCATGTCAAACTTCTTGTTCGCAAGGACAATGAAATGCAAGCTTACATGGAGGAGGATAACGTAACTGACAACGAAACTGAGGATGATACCGAGATCGAGTTTGAGTACGAAAGCGATGATCTGAGTGGCGGGAATGACGGCAGTGATCAAGAAGGCGAGTAATCTGGGTGCCTGAGATTGTGATCACCAGCAACATGGGTATCAGAACATGTCATGTATTTGAGTCTCACTCCAGTGAGCAACGGGAATAGTGTATTTTGTTGGAAGCCAAAGGGGTATTCTGTAATCTATAATAGTAGTGCACTAGATGCGATGAGATAGAGCAGAAACTCAAGGGCAGAGTAATGACCTTTGGCTTTGAAAACGTACGCCTTGTTGCTAGACTTTCAGCTCTAGAAGTACTTACTGCCCATAAGGTTAAGCTTTAGGCTGTCAACTTAGATCACAGGAACACGAGAGAGAATTCAGTTCAGCCCCATCGATATGTCAGACAAAAAGATCTAGGCAAAACAGCACAAATAACATTTTTTTGAATCTTCCTGTCAGTATAAACACTCGTTCTGTGTCTGCGATGTTACTTCATTCCAGCTCCTCAAGTTCACGCAGTAAGGCGATGCTGTTTGTTGAGTCTCGTCACTCCATTGACGACGAGAAAGCGAGCATGTGATTATTTTTTCCTGATTTGGAAGCATTGACGCCGAGCACGTAGGCTTGTTCTTCTTAAGCAGTATCACCGGCCGTGAAGCTTTATGTTGCAGTGGCTCGGAGACCGAGAACATCATCAACGACAATCACAACACTTCTTCCGCCTGATAACAAGGCGGAGTAATTCATACCCGCTCGGAACACTATTCATTGCAGTCCATTAGTCACAGTGTTCACGATTACACTTCATCCATCATATCGCAAGTCGTATTCAACCCTGTTCATCACATGCAACACCGTAGCATTGGTCAGTTAGCATCCCGCCTTACGTAGCATCTCCCCTGATCAAACAAACTCAAACCCGATTTCTCAGCTTTCTCACAATCGGATATACAAAATCTGACATATTTCCGACGCTAATCGCGATAATCTCCCATCTCGGATCTGGAATCTGCATTAATAATGGTAAAAATGCTGCTGTGGAGATCTGACGGCCCCGGTTGCAGCTTTATTGGCTCGGAAGTACGGATCTTCGGATATACAAGTTCTTTCGGACTTTCTCGCCGCTTTTTATATACGATCTCGTCATCCCTTGAAAATGATGTTCTGGACAGATCAGGCTTTGAGCATTATCGAAAATGGTGACCGAAAGCGAAAAAGGTGAGTGAACGCGTTACTTTGGTTGAGGATTGGGGCTAATTTGGTGCAGAGCAAGGCTTTATGCCTGATCCTGAGAGGGACGCGCCGTCGGATAACAACACGCTCACGGGTCCAGACGAGGAAGCCATCTCAAGAACAAAGTCCAACGTCTCAATAGCTGAAACCTTTTCTCTCCCGCATGAGATCCTCTTTGTGGCGATTATCTGCATGGCGCAGTTCATGACACAAGCCGCGCTCGGAAACTGCCTCAACATCATACATATCATCGGCGACTCATTCAACCTCACTAATCCCGCGGAGCTTAGCTGGCTCATCGCCGGGTTCAGTCTTACAGTCGGAACATTCATCCTCTTCTCTGGTCGTCTTGGCGATATTTTCGGATACAAGCGCCTCTTCCTCATCGGTTTTGTCTGGTTCGCTGTTTGGTCTATGATTTGCGGACTGGCAAACTACTCCAACCATGTTCTTTTCATCTTCGCGCGAGTGTTTCAGGGTATTGGACCTGCGCTCGTAATGCCGAACGGGCTGGCTATTCTGGGTGCTTCGTACAAGCCCGGTGGTCGAAAGGCTGTTGCGTTTGCGCTCTTTGGAGCTTGCGCACCTGGTGGTTGTGTTTTTGGCGCGCTGTTCGCTGGACATTTTGTCCATGGGGATCCTTCTTGGTGGCCTTGGACTTACTACTCTTTCGCCCTTGGGCTGGCTTTCATTGCGCTGATGGCGTACTTCATCATTCCTGATCCTCCTCACAAGCTCTCCTCCGCCGATATGAGCTGGGGAGACATCCTTGGTCAGCTCGATCTTCTCGGCGCAACTACCGGTATCACTGCTCTTGTGCTCTTCAACTTTGCCTGGAACCAGGCGCCTATCGACGGTTGGGACAAGCCATGGGTATTCGTCCTTCTCATCGTTGGAGTGCTACTTGTTCCCATCTTCTTCTACGTCGAATTGCGCGTCGCATCGCATCCTCTCATTCCCTTTGACGCTCTGACTAGCGACGTCGCCTACATCCTGGGCTGCATCGTCTGCGGCTGGGCTACCTTCGGTATCTGGGTGTACTACACCTGGCAATTCTTCCAAATGCTGCGCGGAGCCTCACCTCTTCTTACGAGCGCTTGGATGAGCCCCGTTGCTATCTCTGGAGCTTGCGCTTCACTGATTACTGCATGGCTTCTTCATGTGTCGCATCCTGCTTTGGTCATGCTCCTCGCCCTCACAGCATTCACGACTGGTACAATTCTGATGATGACTGCTCCTGTGGAACAGTCCTACTGGTACCAATCTTTCTTTGGCCTTATCATCATGACCTTCGGTATGGACATGTCGTTCCCCGCTGCGACGCTGATCCTCTCCAACTCTGTGAAGCGAGAGCACCAAGGTATCGCAGCAAGCTTGGTCAGCACGATCGTGAACTACAGCATCAGTCTGGGTCTCGGATTCGCTGCTACAGTGGAGGTCAATGTAACAAATGGTGGAGAGTCAAAGCATGAGTTGTTGATTGGTTATCGATCGGCGTTCTACATGGCTGTTGGCTTCGCCGGCCTGGGACTCGGTATCAGCATCATCTACTTCCTCAAGACGAAGTGGTATCAGAGGAAGGGGAGGCAATGAATGGGGATTTATAGAATGGCGGTTGCATGCAGGCATGTTTGCGAGAGGGAAATTGATAGATTATGACTTTATAGACACGGCCTACAGCCTCATGATAGAATTCAAGTCACATGCATTCAAGAACTTTCATCAGACGAACCGTGAGTCGCCTCGCCCAATTGTGAACAGAGACACATCGTTCTGTTGTTCATGGGAGTCAGGCTGATCTCGCTGCGTCGTTAGTTCAGACTTGCGTGGCTGCAACTGGCTCGTTCCAGGACACTGGGCCTTGGCAAACTCGGCTTAATCCATCGCTTATTCAGTTCTATGACAATTGTTAACCCGAACACCGCCTTGCCTCTTCGAATAAAGGTAATGAATAGTTCTCCCGCACCCGACCGCATGCCAGTTTGACTTCCCGCTTACCCTCCAATGCTACTGAAGCAATCCGCTAAGCCCTGCTAAATCGTGTCGTCATAGGGCTGATGGCCTCCCGAATGCGAAGTGGACCTCAAAATGCGAGCCAATCACAATTTTCTCGATCGCCGGCCGTTGGATGGCTGCGGAATCAATCGGCGCTAGGACGAAATCCCCTGAACGTTTCGTTTTGCGAGTGCGATAATCGAGTGCGTAATACATTCCTCCGACTGTGATTAATATTTTCCTCTGTATTGTCATTGCGTTGGTGATCAGATACAGCACCAATGTTCGCATCGCCAGTGTTATTGTTCAAGGGCAGGCCATCCCTGTAACTGATGGAGGAAATGGACTGGTTTTTCATGGAACAATAGAAGAATTGTAAATTCTATCAATAATTATTCTAAATTTATGATGATTTTAGAGATGAAATAGCCTTTTTAAATGAGTCACCCCCTTTTTTATCTCATCTTGTCGCATTTCGATCTTGGTTGATCGCAAAGTCAAGCTTTCATCAGAGACCCACTAATCCCCTTTTGGCAATCGACTCGCATGGATCCGAGTGCGAAGACACTGGCACTAGCGTAGTTCACTAAGACTGCAGCCTCAAAACAATGCGAGATGCGAGATGCATCAGTGACACAATAGTATATATATCTGTGTTCAGTCGCTTCAAAGTATCCATTTCATCACCCAAGCATTCAATCAACCACCATTTCATACAAACAACACCCTCAACCTCACCCTTCGGCAACACAATATTCTTACTTACTCACCATCTCAAGGACCAAACAACCAAAACATGCCTACTCAGCGCTTCAGAGCAATCATCGTCGGAGGTGGTCCAGTTGGCCTCACAGCGGCTCATGCTCTCTCCCGAGCTAACATTGACTTCATCCTTCTGGAACGTCGATCAAGCGCAGTCATCGATGCTGGCTCCAATCTCGTTCTCAACCCCATGGGTCTTCGCGCTCTTGATCAACTTGGTCTTGCTGCTCCTCTTGAGCAAGTCAGTTCTCCTCTAGGCCTGATCAACCGTCAAGACCATCAGGGCCGCGATATCGGAGATGCCTACTGGTTCATCCTGTTTAACAAACTGTGAGTTTCACCGCTTCTCCCAGGATACTCTCGACCTAACAGCTCTAGTCTGGGAACCTTTCCTCGTGTAGTCAGCCGCCACGACCTCACTAAAATCCTCTACGACTCTTTCACTCCTCTTCAGAAGAGCCAGATCCTTACCGACAAGAAAGTCGCCGACATCATCCCTAGCGAAACCGGCGTCCAAGTCTCCTGCGAAGATGGAACATCCTACGAGGGTTCCATCGTCATCGGAGCAGATGGCGCTCACAGTTTCGTTCGAAACAAGATGCGCGCTCTCGCTGAAGATGCAGGCTCTGACAATGTCAACGACGAGAAGCCCTTCCTGACCACATTCCGAGCTCTCTGGCTGCGCATGCCTACCAAGTTCGCTGGCATCGAGCCTGGCACTACCTGTGAAACTCACGGTCCTGGTGCGGCCACACAGCTCTTTGCCGGTGAGGATTCTTCCGTCATGGGTCTTTATGAGAAGTTGGATACGCCTACTCGCGATCGGGTGCGATACACTGAGCAGGATCAAGTCGATCTTGTTGAGCGATGGGGACACATTCCTCTTGCGCCCGGAGGCAAACTCACCCTCAAAGAGGCCTTCAACGCTCGCACTCAGTCCGGCCTCGTCAGTCTCGAAGAAGGCGTCGTCAGCCACTGGAACTGGGGCGGTCGTGTCGTTCTCGCAGGTGACTCGGCTCACAAGTTCACCCCCAGCACAGGCGCAGGTTGCAACAATGGCCTCATCGACGTCGTCGCCCTGGTCAACCAGCTCTACGCTCTCCGCCAGAAGTCCCCCATCCCAACCTACGCTCAACTCACGACCGCTTTCCAGTCGTACCAAGCTTCGCGCATGGATCCCGTTGTTGAGGCTTGCCGGGGCTCGGGTCAGGCCACTTCCAGCGCCACTTGGCAGACTGGCGTGTTCAAGTTCATCGACAAGCACATCATTGGCATCACTGCCATTCAGAACATGCTGTTTGGTTTGGGTGCACCCAAGATGGCGCAGTCGCCAAAGTTGACCTTCATCAAGGGACCGGAAAGACATGTCGGCAAGATTGCTTGGACGGATCCTCAGGAGAACAAGGTTTACTGAGAGGCTGTCAATTCGGGAATGGCTTTTTTAGCTTGTACTTGTAGGTGCTTTTCGGTGATTTAGCGAAGCGTACTAGACGGTTAGACTTAATGATCAATCTCATATCTCCAATGGAATGCAATGCCAGTTTCGTGTGAACAATGTGACCTCTTGACATGCCCAGCGGGAGGAACTGGAGCCACGGATCTAGCATCCTCGGCGACCTCGACTGTCAAGCTGTAAAAGGAGAAGTCCTTTGGCGGCATCACTAACTCGTCATCTGCGCCTTGCGACCGCATCTGGATACTGCTTGTCAGGCGTGCCCATGCGCTGTCGAATCTTGTCGAATGATAACGTGAGATGCTGCTTAACATGAATACAGGTGCGTGGGCTGAAAAGAATTAAAATTAGTCAAAGGCGCAAACGTTGAATGAACAGAAATGCCAACGGCTTATTCGAGACAACGCCTCCAATAACGTCGTTGAGCTCGGCAGATTGATAATCTGGTCCAGTTAAGACAGTAACAGATCCTGTAGTATCGCCACTGTAGAGTGACGCGATCTGTTAGTGTTACAGCATGCTTGACGGCCCCGCAAACGTCATCGGCAAACCCGAGCTTACAAATTTCATTACGATGACAAATGAATGACAGTGGGATACCAACAAATAAAAGACGGGGTTTTTACACAAGGTTCCGAATGGAACTACCGATAATTGGATATAAGAAACAGCCGTAGTCAATTCGATTTCCCCATCTTCAAATCTCAGACCTGCATGTCACGACTTCTCAGAACAAGACCCATTCTCAAGCCGCTCTTCAACCCCGCTCAACTCAGACCTTTCCACTTCACAACCACCAAAATGACAACCGGACTCTTCAACTACATCGATCCGACATCGAGTCTCGATGACAACGGAAACAGAGTCAAGCCATGGGCTAAAGTCGACGTTGATCAAACTTCCTTTGAGCGCAGTCAGCACAAGCGCGATGTCGTGGATATTCGCAGCGCCGCTAGCATTACCAGTTTCGGCGTAGATGTTTCTGGTTTCGATGTCTTCAAGTCTCCCGCCAAAGAAACTGAATTCACTGACGATGCGGCTGTGAGGAATGGATACTACGGAGAAGTTGAAGCGCTGCTCAAAGAGAGGATTCCTGAGATCAAGAAGGTTGTTATCTTCGATCATACGATTCGCAGGAGGGAGAAGTCGAGTCCGAGGCAGCCTGTGCAGCAAGTCCATGTCGATCAGACGCCCGGTGCTGCTGAAGCTCGTGTGAGACGACACACCGATCCTTCAGAGACAGAGGAGCTTCTCAAGGGTCGATACCAAATCATCAACGTCTGGCGACCAATTGGCCATCCCGCGACAGACTTTCCCCTCGCAGTCGTCGACTATCGCACCACAAAGCCTGAAGATATGATCAAAGTCGATCTTCTTTACCCCAACCGCGACGACAACGACGACGACGACCGTGGAAAGGAAGTTCTCCCTGATGCATCGACACTTCGCTCAACAGAGGGCTATCAAATCAAGGGCGAGACATATTCTGTTGCGCCTAATGATGGACACAAGTTTTATTACGCCAAGGACATGACGCCAGAGGAGGTCATGTTGATTAAGTGTTTTGACTCAAAGAGTGAGGTCCATGAGGGTGGGCAGCATGGGTTGGCGGGATATACGCCTCATACTGCGTTTGTTGACCCTGCTACGCCGGCGGATGCGAAGGGGCGACAGAGTATTGAGGTCAGATGCTTGGTATTTTACTAGAAACATTTGAAGATGGGATGTTGGTAGATTTAAATAACGTTATGAATTGATGAAGGTTTCTTTACTTGCTGTTCGTGAGAGTCAACGTTTGTTCAGATTCTCAAGCTTACCAACTTCGCAGCAAGATAGATTAAGCTATCCCTTCAAGCAACTAACAGCTTATTTTACTTCAATTTCCTTGATATTATCTCGCCCAAATACTAGTTCAATTTTCTCTTTCTTCAACTCTGTCTTGTCGGTGAGAATATCCAAAAGTCTGGTTGTCTGTAACTCTCGCACCCCGCCATGGCATCTTGTTCTCCAGGCTCGTCACCTCGCTTGTCCATAAAACAGCACCGCCGTTGCCGCGGGCACTGCCACTGCCAGCGGCACAACCTTAACATTGCATGTTATTGTTCATAAAGCAGAGGCCTACGCCTCCAGAGATTTCCCCTCTTCCGCCTTCTTTACTCCCCATACTTCTAAGTTCCCCTTCACCGCAACCTCATTTTGCCACAGCTTCTAGGTTATTCGACCACCATTCCCCAGGTACACTTGCAAGACATCCGCTACTCAATCATGGCATAAATCTAACAAAGCTCAGGTATCATGGAACAACTCGTGAATGTCGAAGATCCTGATCCCGGTGTTACAGGCAAGCAAGAAGACGCGTCAATCCTCTCGGCCAACGGAATGCCTTCACGTACTTTCCATCCGTTCCCAAAGCTTCCGATAGAACTGCGACTGAAGATTTGGAAGACGTCTTGTTTTCCTTTCGCGGATCACGAGCATGGCCTACACTACATCGACCTGGCATCCCACAGCGATAGCAAGCTGCCTGTGGTTGAGTATGGAAAAGGGGAACCAATGAAGATGACAGCGCTTGATCCCGATTTCAAGACCGCGCCAGAAATTCAAGCGTCTACCGATCACGCCAACAGATCTGCTTACATGTGGAGTGTTGGTCTCTGGAAAGCCTGTAAAGAGTCGAGAGAGGTTATTGCCACGCACTTTCAACTCAAGGTTTAACGCGGTACTCAGGATAAAGGTCTTGGCCCCCTCGACGTTGACGAAAGCTTGAGCAAGGCCTGCCAACTGTACCCCCGATACGTCAAGTTCCTGAGCGATACTGAGGGGGAGGATATGTCCGGGACGGGATCTGACGACAGAGATGCAGTTCATGATCGAAAGCTTCGTCTTCCTACCTGTCTCTTCCCCCGAAACAAGGACCATGGAGATCGCTTCATGGTCATGCCCATCCGAGACGTATTTTGCATCAAAAACATCGGCCTATCATCATTGCCAGTCAGTTTGAGGGCCCCTCGCCTTCACGTCCCGTGCCCCACTGGCCAGCACATTATTTCAGGCACTCTTTCAATCTCGCCCTCGACTTTCACTCCAGGTGGAACGACGAATTGCCCCGTACCTGGCGTCAACTGAAAGTAGAGGACTCTCCTCGAGGCTTGCTTACACGCTGGGTAGAGACCTGCATGCGGGGCTGTGGCAATGCGCCTTGGATTTACCTGTTCAATAAGATGCTCATTGCGGGCCTGGTTGGCACGTTAATGGGGTGCAGTATTCCACGATTGCGACCATGCTTATGTGACAGTTTATTTGGACCCTCAACCCGATAAAGAGTACCCGGGCTTACCAAAAGAAACATCAGCTATGCTTGACTTCGTCCACCATCTTTGGTGGCTTTTCGATGTTTCTGTTTTTGACGACGAGAATCTCGCAAAGACATATATGTTCGACGGCTTCGTACCAGATAACTATATTAAGATTCTTATTCGTCGCGGCCAGTGACCTGCTGAGGATTCCAGAATGGATCAGGTGCATGGCTAGAGGAGTCCATCACAATGGAGAGATTCATGGAATATCTGAATCGCTGAATGGGTGAGAGTTGGCAGGCATATGGTCGGAACATCGGCGACTTCGACAGATCCTATGTCGTGATATTTTCTCCCTGTTGCACGAACAACGAAGCATGTCGGATAAGGAGACTGAGTAACTCACTTGTTGGCGAAGAAAGAATGAGACAACGCGCACAAAGAAGACAGAAGGAAATCAAGGGGTGAAGTCTAGAATACACGAATCACGATTTGGACTTCATAGTAAGAGAAAAGTAAGAACTATATCTTCTTATAGTGGGATATCCTCAAACAACTTGATAATTTGATATAAACCACTCATGAACAACCCGAAATTGCTGTCAATTCCCCAATTTACTTAAGTCCACAGCCTGGTGAAAGGTCTCTTGATAGTCGCTGATAAAGCTACATCATTATGTCTAAGCCACCGGGACTTTAGAGTCCCAACCATCTGCCGTTAAAATGACTTCAGGAAAAAGCATCTCATATTTTGAGCAGTGGCTGGCCCCGTAAGTGGTGACTGCAAGAGTCATTGGCTCTCCACGGACTACACTGCCAGTGAAATCTTGTCCATGGCCAAGTCCTTGAGCTTAACTGTACTCATGAATAGTTCTCGCACATGATTGGCTTGTCTCGATTCAGGTAGACAAACCTTGTGCCACTGTCACACTCACTGTTACTGCCACTGCGAAATGCGAACAGATAACAACCACGTGCACTTGTTTATACGGCGAATGACTCCCACCACACATCCTTTTCTTTTCTTCATCCTTCACTCCTCACTCTTCTTCTAAACCCTTCTCCATCACAAGCCTTCATCGCAAATCACGTCAGTTCACAAGATGTCTTCACCTAACTTCCACCCGTTCTCACGCCTCCCAACCGAGATTCAGCTCCAGATATGGAAAGCAGCATGTATTATTTCTGCTATCCCCGGATATGAATCTTATGAGTAGGCCGGGTTGCACTACGTCAACGTTGACACGGTCAAGACTGGGGGAAGATATCGACTTACTCTACGAGCCTTCGACAACAAGCAGGGTCCTAACGGCGATGAGGAATCCCTAGCAACACCCGATCAGCCTATATGTGGGATGGCGGCCTCTGGGGAGCTTGCAAGCTGTCCCGCGAAGTCATCACCGAAGAGATATATTCCATGTGGCTTCGACTTCCTGACTACCGCCAGGGCTATCTGGGCCGTCCTGCAATCCTCACAAGTCGAAACACCCACGAAGAACAGGGGTATATAGTTTTCCCTTGGCGAGACATATTCTGTATCAGAACAACAGACTGGAAGTCCTTGCCGCAGCACTTCGAACATTGTAGTACCGGCCTCCCATTCTTTGATCCCCTATCCTCTTCTATCATTCCGGTGTGCACACTTGCTATTGAGTTTGATTCAAGTTGGATTATTGACCTCCCTGAGACCCTGGAAGAACTCAAAGCCGAGAACTCTGCTCGTGGCTCGGTAGCAACATGGATTGAGAGCGTAGCCTCCGGATGGGTCAGAGCACCCCAGCTCTATCTGATAGACAAGGGCACACTTTTGGTTCAAAAGACTCGCGGCTACGGTCCTATCTATCACAACTGCGACGGCAAGTACAATGATATGCGTCAGCGGTGTTGCAACGATGCTATCTATGTATTTATTGAGGCTTTGGATGAGTTCCTTCCCTTTAAGGAGTGGAAACGGAAGTTAGTGATGAATAGTTAGCGCGCTTGATAGTCGATAGATCAAGTATGAAACCAACGCGGGTTTCTGAGCTAGTCTATAGAGTCACCCCGACTTCCCCTACCAGTCTGATCAACAATCCGGTAATGAATCCCAATCTGTCAAATGCTCATGGCTACCCTGTATCGTTGTGGATTACAGCCCCACATTTCATGGTTCTGCCATCACAGACCGGTTTTGCCACTCCAATTGGTCCCTTCCCGTCGTCAATTCCCCCACGTGAATTTCCATCCCCGCCAACTCTTCCTATCCATTATCGAACCATCATGGCCAAGACAAAGTCCAAGAAGCGCAAACAAGCGCAAGCTCAAGTCCAATCCGAAAACCCTCGGAAGGTCGCAAAGACCACTTCCCCTTCGATCCCGACGCCTCCTCCCGATGGCACGACCACGCACTTCGAGCCCAAGAACCTCCATACCGTTGTGTCCGAAGAAGAGCTCGAGATTACCATCGACACACTCAATTCGCTCGCCCAGTACCCTGGCTTGATCAAGTCAAAGCTGTGCAAGGACTTGAGAGTTGCTGTTTACGACTTCAGACAAGCTTGCACGACTGGCGTCAATAATGCTGCTGGTGCGAACCTCACGGCGCAGGTCACTGCTGCTCTTGCCGATCGGAAATATACCGAAGCCCGAATTCTGCTTGCAGAGATGAAGATTCGTGGCGAGCAGCCCAAGCTCGGTGCTCTTTGTCGATGGGTTCGAGATCTTGATGTAATCAGTGGTCTGTCGACGATTCCCGATCAGCAAGGGCTTGTCAAGCGCTCAGAGAGGGAAGAGACACTCATCAAGGTGATTGATGCGGTGCTTCGAGTTTGCGGCCATGAAGACCGAAACCCAAATGCGATCATCCAGCCTTCATCAATCGCACTCCAGGAGATTTGGGATCTTCGTCCCGATACTTCAACCGAGCAAGTCTATGCCTCGGTCCTCGATGGCAGTCTCGTTGCTTCGGCGCCCGAGTCTCTCAAGAAGAACATTCGCATCATCGAGACAACACCCGGCCCCGAGCGCAAGCCGCCGAACCATCACGACGCCATCCTTTACGCTTCGACACCCGAGGCTGTTCCTCTGTCGACAACGCCGCCGCCGACGGCACATCGACCACATCCTGTCGTCCAGGGCCTCAGCGTGGCCACGAATGTTCTCTACCCCGAAGAGTGCAAAGCTATTATAGCCGCGGGTGAATACGTCAATTTCGTACCTGACGCACCGCTTCGGGAAGATGGCGACATCAGCATTCTAGCGCACAACTTTTACTGGGTTGTCGATAAGACCTTTCACGACACGCTATGGTCGCGCATTCAACCTTTCGTGCCCGTGTCAATGAACGGGCGCTTGGCTCGTGGCATCAACCGCCGCTTCCGAGTGTATCGCTAGTAGGTTCCCAGACCTCTGATGTCAACCCCACCACTAACGTATCACAGTGTCCCAGGAGCAGAGTATCGAGCACACATCGACGGCGCGTGGCCCCCGAGCGGCATTACGAAGGAAGATAAATACGTATATGACGACTCGCCGGACGAGAAGAAGCAGAGCTCGCTGTTTACGTTCCTGATCTACCTCAATCAAGACTTTGAGGGCGGCGAAACCACATATTTCCTCCCGGCTGCGCGAGAAGGAATCCTGAATGCATACCCTGTTCGTCCAGTAATGGGCGGCGCGGCTATCTTCCCTCATGGTGAGATCAACGCGACATTGCATGAAGGCACCGGTGTGCGAAAGGGAGCGAAATACGTCATCCGAACCGAGATAGAGTACGACGTCGAACCGACGGAAGAAGTCAAGATCTGAATGGAGCACAAGGTTTCGGGTACAAACAAATTGGATACATGAACGGCTGGACCGGGGAAAAGTATTGTTACGCTACTTACGTCTAATGAACATCATTGATCAACTACTCTGTCGCTGTAGTCTCACCCTCGGCTGGCTTGCGTCCCCAAACAATACGTTGCAAGTAGTAAGCGTGCGCCGGCTTCTTGGACTTCAACTCCCTCCTCAGCTGGGCACAGTACAGATGGACCTGTTCCTGAGTCCATCCCTCAAGAAGCGTAGCCATGAACGAGATGTGTCCCTCTACATCGGATAGAATGCTCATTGTTGTGAACCTTCCAATCTCCTTGAGTCGCTCATCTTGCGGCCAATCGCCAACAGGAACCTTGATCGTCTTGGACTGGATGTCCACGAAACCAGCGGCCTTGAGACCCTTCTCCTGCAGATTATCTGGAAGAGGGGTGAACACGCGACCGAGCTTTTTGCCGCCTTCGTGGAAGAACTTGCCCCATTCTGCAATGGCGCTACCAGGTTTGAGACTGTCGTCGTCGCTGCGGCCCATGGGGTCACCTTCGTGGGATTCGATCCAGCCGCCGGGCTTGGTTACTTGGTACGCGCGCTCGTACAAGGCGTACCAGTCGGGCACGCTGCCGTAGAGGAAACGGAGGTGGACGAAGTCGGCGGAGTTGGGAGGGAACGTCCAGTCGAGGGTGAAGTCTTCGATCTCGAACTTGACGTTCGGGGGAACCCAGCTAGAGGCTCTTAGGTCATGCTGCTGTAGTTGGAGCTGGAGACTCACGTTGGCTGGATGGGCGAGATGTCTGTACCGATGACCTCCGCCTCAGGGAACTCATCGCCAAAGTCCATGGCCCAAATCCCAGTGCCGGTTCCGATGTCGAGGACTTTGCTGGGCTCTTTGACGGGAGCGAGGAAGAGCTTGCCGTCCATGATCAACGTGGAAGTATGATGGATAATGTCCAGAGCCTCAGAGGCCTGGTTGTCGTTGGACGCCCAGTACTGGGCATCGCCTCGCTCGGCGTGGTATGTCCGCCCGTTGATGGTTCGGTACTCGAGAATGCTGGAGTTGATACTGGCGGTAGAACTAGCAGCGTCGTCGCCTAGCGCAGAGTCGGAATCCGAGTTATCTGTAGCTTCAGTGTTCTAATTGAGTTAATTAACAAGTCATCGTCCGTGTAATGCTCATGTATCGTACCTCCCAGTGCGTCGGGGCCAGCATGTCCTGCGAGGGGACACTCTCGTCCTGTGTAACTTCTGCTGCAGCGCTCATCTTGTGTTTCTTGACAAGAAAAGAATGGAAGAAGGAGAACCTCGGCGGAGAAAAAAGAAGCTGTTCGCCCCTCTTTGCTTGGCCCCAGCTTGCATCGCATGGTGCGTGCTACGGTATCATCAGTATGTGTTTCAAGGGTTCTGGCGCTAGGGACCGGGGAGAAGCGGATGCGGTCCACTTGTTAAAGGGTTTTTAAGCAGGAATGGGAATTCGCCCGCGGGAGGTTTCATGCGAATGCCTTGGTGAGGATCATGACCTGATTTTGGTAGTGGCTAAAATGTCCCATGACGAGCAGTAATATGGACATCGCAATCTTCGTCTGCGCTCCCATGTATCAACACTCATGACCTCCCCAAACCAAACGACGATGAGGCAATATGTAGCCTTTTTTCCATTTTATTTCTAAAAATGCTCAAGAACACGTAAAGGGTCTAGTAGACGCTGTAGTAGTACATATGCGGCTTCAGGTAGAGTCGCCGTTGAGACGCCCTCAGTCTTCAGTGTAGTCACCCCATCTTGGCATCGACTCGAGATTCCCATAAACGCCAGTCAACAATGCAATCAACAAAGAATCCCTCAATTCTATAATAACAAGCTAAGGTCAATTCAAAAACACATTCCACTATCTACTCACTTGAGTCTATCCCCATGAAAGTGACCAGCTCATTCTAAGCCATAGCCCATGCACTGGCCTGGACTCATCTCTAAAGCAATGAGGGTAATTTGAAAGGATGCCTTCTCACTTACTCTCTGGTGGAACTCCATGATCGACCGATGTGAATGGCTGACTCGTCAATGACATTCTTCGGAACAATATGACCATAACGGTCCATCCAGACATCCCCTCCAACGAACCTCCATGCAACGACAATCCCAAACTGAGAACCAATAGTCTTTTCAAAGTCGATGTCCAACTTCTTGAGAGACGGTTGAACCTCAGGAATCTCCTTTTTGAAAGCATCTCCCACAAACTCATGATCATCTCGTAGCTGGTTGCGAGTGATGGTTATAACCTCGAGGTTAGGCATTGGCCCGCGAGAACGAGGTTTCTTGGCCGAAGGGTTCACTGGTTGAGCGAACCACCAATCTCCTGCACGAGCCAGGACAAGCAAGCTCATCCCTGGCGGACACGGTGACTGCAATTCTACACAGTCGTCATACTCCTCCACGGCTGCCGATGCCACATCGTCTGTGACTGGCAACTGGAGATACCTTTGATATTCATCGATTTGGTTCGCCGCTCAGCGACATATGTAAACGTTATCGCGGATTTCCAGCTCCCTAGATTCCTGCTCAAGCACATTGTTAGTGATAGACTCTTCATATAGATGTCTTTGGGGAAGAGGTCGCTCGCTGACACCTTGCTCTTCCTTGGCAGACTGAAGGCGAGCCATAGCGTGGTCGTGAGCACGATGCCTAAGCTCATCAACAACGAGGTCTCTGATATTCTTTCCGAGGTTCATGAAGAAGTCATAAGCATCGGGGACGAAGCACAACTCAGTAAAAGGAATGTCGATTCGGAGATCCATCAACATGGCCCTGCGCTTTTCTCTTGTCATCCTAGGCTTATGATGCTCGTCTCGTTCAATATTTTTGAGCTCCTCGTTAATAGAAAAGTCCATTAACTCCCCGATTTCCCCAACTCGCCATTGAAACTGGGCTTCATCGAGTCTATCCCTGCCTTCTACCATGCAATCATAAGAGAAGCTGCGCAGGTCTTCAACGATTGCACCGCAATGAATGCCCAGCTGTTCTGTTGTAAGATTGGCCAAGTTATTCGCAAGATCAATAAGCCGGATTCTGAGGCTGTGTAGACGACCTCGCATCGCTCGATGCTTGGCTTCTGCCCAATCTTGTTCCATGATGATGGTTACCAGAATGTAGACCTGTTCATAATCTTTGCCCGCGAAAGGGATTCGAAGCTTAGTGACAATAGGTTGAAGTTGCGCCGTTACGGTTGAGAAGTCAAAACGGCGATTTGAGTGATATGGATACTCGTCAATGCATCACTATTTAAGGTCTGGGGCCACTGAGTTGATCGGGCTTTTGTTCGGCAGTATCATTGTACCCATTGGGTATTCGTTGCATTGAACGGTCGTTTACAACAAAGACTGTCCCTGTGGTGGAGCTAGGTAATTGAACTACACGTTGATTCTATGTCATAACATGAACAAAGGACAAACAATGCTCTCCCTCGTCTCTGAACATGATGTGAGTCTTAGTAAACTAGGGAACAAAGGCTCAATGGAGTAGGAAGACCAGGAGAAGAACATCGTTGAAGAACACCGTTGAAGAAACCTTGTTGTTCGGAGGTGACAGACCGAATAACAAGCCGACTCTGTGCATAACTTCTCATTTTGCCCATTATGGCACAAAGCGGTTCTCCCATTAACCTAGAGGTTGTCCCTTCTACGATTTATCTCCACTCAACTGGCCTGAACTGAGGTTATAGATTAAGGGTAGGTCATGTAAAAGGCCCGTGTCACGATTTGGTATGTCCCGCAGAATATTTTGATCATTTTATTATTTTCACAGTTCTCGACTGAGATTATCTCCGGAAAAGGGTCGAGGCTGGATGTCCATGGCTGGACAAGATGAGTGGTCACCAAAACGGACCAAAATTAAATCACTATTGCTGATGGTCGAATCAACTCAGACGATTTCAAGAACATGTATGTTCGGTGGATGTCTCTTCTACGAGCTGTCAAAGTTTCATATGCTGATGGTTAAAATGCCACCTGAAATTAAGTACGCTTCACAGATTGCTTTTCTGCTTGACATTGACGAAGTCTATTGGTATGTGAATGCAAATTTACTTCTAGCTCAGATGCTGCCCCTGCGGTTGTTACGCCTGACTGAGCGTCGTCCAGAGTATTAGCCACAGATCCCATACACTCCTTCTCCATGCTGAGCATTCCAAGAACTCCAAAATGTGATGATACAAATGTGACCCTTAACACTCCTAAAAACCTCCCACATCCGACGATCGAAGCACTAATCGTCCTGTTGATGATTGAGCCAGGTACAAACGAATAGTTGAGGATGGACTTACCATTATCATCGAGGTAGAATGCAGCTCAGACCGATCGATCTGCTCCGGATACATGTCCAGGGAACCCAATATTGAGATTCCTCTAGGCTGTCGATGACTGGTACTGGGGGCCGATGAGGGCTTCAACAGCTCGGCCACCAAAAGTCTCATAAGGCTCAAAAGCCACCTTGCCCACCTTGATGGAGGGGAACACAACATCGGTCATGGGACGTGTAGGAGACTTGAGGCACTCCAAGAGCTGGGAGGGGAAGTCTACTTTGTAGACATAGGAATTTTGGTGGTCATCTCTGTGTGTTACAAGGAGGCGGACCTGCAAGATATTGTGTTAGCAAGAGTATCGATCAACCAGGGAGGAGTTGACAACATACAAGGTACAGACGGGGCTGCTGCGTGTTGTCTGAACGCGACTGGACCTGCGCAAGGCTTAGGAGTACGCAGATGATGTAGGGGTCCAAGGTCCAGTCTTTTGGGGTGACTCTCGCGAGTCTACGCCCGTAGAGGCGTTGGATCGGGAGGTTCCAGGTACCCAGGGGGCCAGCCCGGGGCGTGAACTTCACACGACGGTCCTCGTCTGCCTTGTACGAGTAGTAACCGATAACCGGTTCCGGATGAGGAACCTGGATATGGCCTGCAATGCGAAACGCATTGCAAACTGGGACGTGAACTAGACAGCCAGCATAATGGAAGGCCGTCGAGACCCTATCAAAGGTTAGTCAAAGTTACGCTGTCGAAGTATATGTGACATACCAGACAAATTCCAAAAGCCCGGTTCCGCGAAACAATGAGCGTACGTAATGTGATTTCAGGTTCTCGACCGGGGATGTCGCAAGTCGGGTAGCATAATATGTTAATCTACCATCCTGCTGGACATGACGTCCCTGCAGGTCGCTGGTCTCTTCTACCTCGAGAAATCGGCAGCCCACTAGCTCAAGATGGTGAGGGGTCCAAAACAATGGGTAGGCCTGGAAATCAGGATTTTCCACGTTTAAGGCGTGGAGTGACTTCTTCTCTGTGTGCGACATGCTGATATTACTGCTCAAGTGATATAGTGAAGAAGTGTTACGAGAGCTGGGTACAGAGATAAAGGAGAAGATGAATGGAAGTGGAGGATAGTGGATGAGAGAAGAAGAGATGAGAAGAGACGAGAGCAGATAAGAGCTGTTAAGATTAGAAGAAACCTGCCAGTGTCAACTTGGACTTGCGAAGGCTGGCACTGGCAGTACAGTGGCAGAACAAGAGACCAGCTGCCACTGCAATAAGACCAGGCGGTTCCTACGTGAGGGGAGAATTATCCCAAGACCGAGCGTCTGCGTATTGCTGCTGAAGACTCGCTCGGAGCTTGGTGACTGGCTCAGTAAAGAATATATCCAGAGTGATATATGGAGTGTTGATGATGAAGATATCGTGGACAGACCCAAGTTACCAAGTCGACGACTTAGCCAAGGTATTCGTATTGTCCACCGTGTTCGCAGTGTCACGAACAATGCTTGACCCTTTTTAACGGTATTTTCAACACTATTTTGAATTCAGAACGCCTTTACATCCTCCTGAACAATAAGAACAGCCAGGGCGGGTTCCTTCTTTGTGGCGGTGCAGCGTGTATCTAGCCATACGTATGAACACTCCACCCCTCTTATTCTTTCCCTCTTATCAACATATTCTCCTTGGAAAACAACAGTAAGACCCTTTCCATGTTAATGGAAGTAGGAAAACCGATACGGATGAGAGATTACTTCTCTGCTATTAAAACTCTATACTTTATGGGAAGGGCTGGTAAGCCAGTAAGAAGAGGTACTGTCAACAAAATTTGATTCTTGAAACTCTATCTCCTAAACTTTTATTTTAGGCTTCTTGAGTCACACCGTGGAAGCTTATTACATCATCATATATTGCCATCGTAGACTTCACCAGTTGCAGCTTGTGCTCTACTGGCATTCCATCTTGATCACCTACCGCTCACTCCATCTCAACTCCTTCGTTTGCTTTCTGCCACAGCCGGGACCAAGAGGATGTGCACAGAACACAAGATGGACCAGAATGTGGAATGCAGGGCCCCAAACGACTTCGAGAAACAGGAGTCAACAAGGAGGCAAGCTTCACATAATCTTCGCCCGAACCCTAAGCTGACAAACACGTAGTGTCGCGATATCCAAAGTTTTCAAATTCATCGTCGGTCCCGAAGAAATCGAGTTCACTATTCATTCCGCCCTCGTCGCGAAGCAGTCACCCGTCTTGAACGTCCTCGTCAATGGACCTTTCAAGGAAGCCTTGGAACAACGCGTCAAATGGCCCGACCTCGACGAAGCCACCTTCCTGAGCTTTTGGGAGTTTGCGTACAGCGGCAACTACGCGAAACCCATACAAGAAGATGAGGAAGAGGAGGAGACAGATCCAGGCGAAGAAGAACTGGGCCGCTGGGGCAAGTCTTGGGCGCACTACGTTCGACTTTACCCACGAATCTCGGGGCCTAACAATGCCAATGCACACCAGGATCATGGCCTCTGGCAAGACTTTGTCGAGAAACACGCGCCCGTGCCTCGACCAGCCGACGTGGGAGACATCGGTGCAGATACGTTGCTGCATCATGCGCGAGTTTGCGCCTTCGCAGATCGCTACTGCATGGATAAGTTGATGGAGATATCGTTGGGCAAGCTATTCCTCGCCCTCGAGGCGACGATGCCTTGGGGAGATTCGTGGAATACTGTCATGGAGCTGCTCGTCTTGACTTCCGGCAAATTTGTCCCCATGAGGTTGCGACAGATTGTGGCGGATTACATCATCTGTCAAGCAGGACTCTTCAGGGGTGAGGAGGTGTTTCAGAACTTTATGTGGCATCACGGTGGTCCGATGCGGGAACTGTTGAGCCAGGTCGTGGAAACGGAGGAAGATACATGATTATTTTTTGGTGGCGCATGTAATCCATTGTTGAAAATGGGAGGCCGACCATCTTCAAGCCAGCCTGAGGGTCTAGCTCGGTTGAGGCGCCTTGTTTATGGCTGGGAGGCCTACCAACATTGGTGGCGTAGATAGTTGAACAGAAGGCCCGGGAATTTAAACTATTGGAGGAGGGACTTCCAGGGGACTGAGGCTTGCATATTACCCGGCCACCTCTTTTTATTTGCATGGGAAGGGCGGAAGTAGCATATAAACCACTTCTGTGCGCGCCAAGTTGGCAGGTTCCTTTGCATCTCGTAACAATCACTCACAGCAGTATCTTCCTTCTACTTGAATATGATTCCTCTTGAGGACAGGCTCCGTATGCAGAAGTACTATATTTCTCATGTCCCCTGCCCTCTAGGACCTGCTGGCCTCGGACAGAGCGCGCGAAAGTGGCGAGTTCACCGACTTCGCCTTCGTCTGCGAAGGGCAAACAATCAACGTTCACAAGATCATCATCTGCGGCCAGTCCACGGTCTTTCAGAGAGCATGGACTGGGGGGTTCAAGGTACCGCTCGCCGCCAAGTACACCCTCATGCCCGCTAATAAGGTCCAGGAAGCTTCTTCCGGGATATATGACATGAACGATCATCCCCTTGATGTAGTGAATGGGATGGTAGAATACCTCTACACTGGAACATATGCGGTTCCAGATGACGCTGACCTGTTGACCCATGCAACCATGTTCACCTTAGGAGACAAGTACGGCATTGGCGGCCTACAAGAGCTTGCGAGTAAGAAGTACCTGGAATGCTTGGACGAAAGCTGCAACCATCACGATTTCGCCAGTTCGATCTCGCAAGTTTACAACCTCCCTAGGGAGACATCCAAGACCCTTCGAGTTGGGGCACTAGTCTTTGCTAGAGACAATATGGGGACCGCGCTGGCTGCAACTGAGCTGGCAACGATCCTTGATGATTTCTTGTACGAATTTCCAGAGTTTGCGAGAGACCTTCTGAGTCTCTCTCTCAGATTCTCGCGGATGGGGATTTGTGATAACTTCTCTTGTGACTCACGAGGTACTGTTCCGATCGAAATCCTCCAATGTCGATGCCAAAAATGTGGGAAAGGGGGCGCCAGAGCAGGGCTGAGCCTCCGTTCGTGGAGTAAGCTATTGGACTACGAGTTTGGTGAGGATGAGAATGCCTCTATTGGGAAAGATCCGGGTTACCGCAGATGGTAGAGGATGAAATAAATGCCAAGCATCTACAGCCATGCTTGTTCCAAAAATGTTGAACACCCCAATAAACGCCGCTGCCTCATTTCCTAGAGTCTTTTCCACGATTAGTAGTGAGCAAAGTGATGAAACTGGTAGAATATCTGGATGGGATGTCTCAAGTATGGTACGCCTGGTACTCAACAAGAGGTGACATTTGCACTTCTCGCATGAATGCGAGCTTACACCATTAGCAATGAGTCAGTAACTCGAATCTTAAAAATTCATCTCTGTTCTTATTTATGTCTCTTTCGTATCAATGAGAGTGACACGGAAACTAGATGGCCTTTCACTCTATTCTTTCGGTATTCGTGGTCAGAGTTTCCTTTAATGAGTCTCCTAGGAAAGTCAAAACGCAATAGAGCGAGTTGATACGTGGCCGGAAACTTTTCCCGCGATCAGCTTTTCCATTACATGGTCTGACTTTGGTGTGGTAATTATAAGCTCTCAGCCAAAGACGACTTCGAACAGTCTTCCATCTGAGAATCTTGCTCATCTCTCTTATATATATCTCTTTACCCCTGCATCCGCGACGTGGAACTCAACCCCTCCCATATGCTAAAATCCACTATTAATCATCATCATGAATATCGAGGAACGGAAGCTCATGCAGAAGTAAGTTGCTCTCGCATTCTGTCTTAGCTCAACTAACATCTCCCAGAGCCCAAAAAGCTGGTCAGTTCACTGACTTCGCCTTTCTCTGCAAAGGTAAAAAGATCCCCGTGCATAAAATCATAATCTGTGCACAATCCAAGGTTTTCAATGCCGCTTGCACCAGTGATTTCAAGGTAAGTAAGTACAAATTAAACTGCAGTGACAATATACTGACCCCTCTGTAGGAAGCCAGATCTGGAGTCTATGACTTGAGCGAGTACCCCCTGGAATTGGTCGAGATGATGGTCGACTACTTCTACGTCGGGCACTACGATAATCCGATTAGAGTTGCATCCAAGCTTTCCCTTTCGATGCATTCGTCGATGCTGGCCTTGGCAGACAAGTATGACATCCAAGGCCTTATAAGGCAGGCCATCGATTTGTATATCCAACGACTGAAACATAAGCATGTTGAACTGGAAGATTTTCTCAATTCGCTTCCGGTCCTGCACGAACTGCCCATATCGGTTTCCAGGGATGCTATCGATGCAGCCGTCGCCCACACAAGGGAGACAGTGCTGACTTGCATATGTAGGAAGGCCACCAAGAGATTGATCGACCAGATATCTGACGCTAGTCAGGACTTCCTGAAGGAGGTGATGATGTCTATCATGAGTACCCCTCTGGAGTCGAGATGTGGCGATTGCAACCAACGAACTCGCTCATTGAAGATCTCTCAGGAAATACGGTATTCTAGCCCGTACCCTACGTCTCGACAATATAATACGTATCAAAACGGGCTTGCTGGACTCTAGGGGTTTTAGTGGTTGGTATAAATCATAATGGTAAAATTGTTAGCACTTCGAGTCTAGAGAAGTTATACTAAACTTCTTTGCATCATGAAGCTCTTATCCTTTAGCTATATTTGACTACCCTTATTTTGGACAAAACTTCAAGAAATCTCACGATAGCTTATGCAAAGGTTCAACTCGATTTCCTGAATCCCCATGAATGCCAAGTAACGAGATAAACATGGGCTTCATCTTGTTGCTCATAGAGATAGAGGTGTTACCCCTCTCACATGACCAGTGGTATTAGTCGTAGAGCCTTTTCATGTCTGGTAGTCTATGTGAATATGAGAACTCACGGCTGTAGGTACTGAAATACAAAGAAAGTCTCAAGCTCTCCTTCACTGACCAGCTCCCGTTTATAGGATTTCTTGGATGATGCAAACATTAGGCCGCAGAGGCCAGGTGCTCGTAGATCATCGGGCTACTGCTCCAGCTGGACCAATAGTGGCTTCAAGTTGTAAAAGAAGCTCGGAAGACAAAATCAACGCGAAGATCCAGGCTTAATCGCCCAAAGGTTATAGGATTTCTCTTCACCTACTAAAAAGTGAGGTTTATGCTTTGCGTAGTAAAATATACTTTCAGAGGATCTTAGTAATGCATGAAGGAACGGACGAATCATATGCGCGCCATATTTTATAAGCTTTAGTGATTTAAAAGTCTCTTTCCTTATGGGTTTCATCTAGGCCAGGAGTTAGAGTGTCTGACATGCTCGACGTAACATACATCTCAAAATAGGCCAAACAGAAAATCATAAGCCAAAATGTGATTGACTATAAAGCTCTTGAGTATACAAAGTCTCTGCAAGATATACTTCACTAATATGATGCTGTTTGTAAAATCTGTTCTACTACTGATCCAGATATAAATATCACACTCTCCTTCATTCTTCCATGAAACCAAACTTGGCCAGCCAAACAAACCTACATTATATCCAGAAGTCAACAAAACTTTATTAAAAATGGACTATGAAAGTAGAAACTTTCGAAAGAGCCTCTGGCAGTATGAATCCCCCTTGACTCCCATCTATCAGAACAGCTTACCAATTCTTGTCTACAGAGCCAGACAGAACCATGAGTTCACGGACTTTGCCTTCATCTGCGGAGCCGCTCGATTCCCAGTCCACAAGGTCGTCGTCTGCAGTCAATCAAAGGTCTTTCATATAGCATGCACTGGGCTGTTCAAGGTTAGTCTGCCTTTTAAAACTGATGAACGTGGCTAACATTTCGCAGGAATCTTCTACAAACGAGTACGATCTGTCAGAATCTTCTGTGGACCATGTAAAATGGCTGATTGATTTCCTTTACATGGGAACATACCATATGGAATTCTCAAAGGATTCAACTCTCGCCGACCACATTTACATGTTCGCGCTGGGTGATATGTACAGCATTGAACCACTTGCTCAATATGCAGCGGAGCAGTTCCGTATCGGCATTTCCCACGCTCAGAAGTTGGAAGACGTTCTCCCTTTGATCCCCCAGGTCTATAACTCAACCCCAGAGCATCGCCAGGAACTGCGGGAACAGGTCGTAAAGTTCATGAGGTGCCCGGTTCGTGGAAAAAAGGAGGCAATAGAGTCAAGAGAATGGTACAACGACATGGCTGAACAGTGTCCCGACTTCATCAAGGACCTGCTATTTAATTACTTGGAATGGCCTGATCCTCCACAGGTATTTTGGTGATGGTATGAGTGTAGCTCTGCTGGTGGTATGCTTGGAGTATCTTTTCATGACCGAAAGGATTTCATGGAAACAGAAGTAAGGGCAGGAATTTGGAAAGGAGGATGTTTACTTGTTTGTAAATTTCGATATGGCAAGCATAGTCATTACACATAAAAATAAAGCCGTTATATAAAATAAGTGGTGTTCAAAAAGAAACTCTTAGGACCGAGCGTGGATCGAACACGCGACCTAGGGATCTGCAATCCCTCGCTCGTACCACTGAGCTATCGATCCTTGATAATGAGCTGTGAATGCTCGTTGGATGAGGGTATCGAGATAAAATGACACATTATGTTAGGAGTATGGTGAGTGTTCAGTCAGATCAGGTCGTGATTACTTGGACATGGAAATTGATCGAGTACTCGGAGCTATTCCTGAACTCTCTCTCTGTATGGACATTGCCATTGCAAACATGGGCCATCTCTGACCCGTCTTATCAGAATACGCGATAAGCCTCGCAGGCTTCGATAACTTCAATTGATTGACGCGCTGCCCTGGTCTCCAGGTTCACTGGAAAACTCCAAAAATGTGCTGTGAGCTTCCTTATCAAGACTAGAGCTGATCCTGTACGGATTGAGATGCCGTGGAAGCGGGGTAAAAGATAAGTTGAGACAGGACCTTTTGCAAAGCCTTTTGCGACTTACCCTGGTGAGCTCGTTGTCGTCATTTCCGCGAGGATTACATAACCATTCCCGGCCAGAGTTTCACCGTCTGACAATTTATAACCTTGTTCAAATTCCCCATTCAACTTCTTCGCCAAGAAGTATTACAACAATGGGCTTTCTAAAAACGGCATTGCTCCTAACTGGGGCTTCACTTTGCGCTTTTGCCTCGCAGATACCACTCAAGGACACAGACTCACCGCAAGCCTCCACGTTCCAAGTTCACCAAAGCTCGCTGTTTCCGGAGCATACGATCCGTATCAGAGAGCAGGTTGACGACTCCATATGCGACGCCCGCGTGAAGCAGTACACCGGCTGGCTCGATGTCGGCAACCAGCATCTTTTCTTCTGGTACTTTGAGAGCAAGAATGCACCAAAAACAGACCCTCTTGTGCTTTGGTTAACTGGAGGCCCTGGCGGCTCATCAATGCTGGGATTGCTTCAAGAGCTTGGACCGTGTCTGATCAACGAGCATGGTAATGGAACGGTTCACAACCCTTATGGATGGAATGAGAATGCGAACTATATCTTTGTCGACCAGCCTGCCAGCGTTGGCTTTTCGTACTTGGATGACGGAGAGCCGATTCCGTCAAACTCTTTCGTCGCTGCTGAGAGTATGCATAAGTTCTTGCAGCTCTTTGTGAGCCAAGTATTCCCGGATCTCGCCGACAGGCCATTTCATATCTCGGGAGAGAGTTATGGAGTAGGTGACCCAGCACTCCCTGTTATGCGACGTGACTGATTCTTTAGGGCCACTATATCCCTGTCCTGGGAGCTACTATTGTTGCACAAAACAGTCTCTATCCTAAGCGGCCCCAAGTCAACCTGGAGTCAGTTCTCATCGGCAACGGCTACGTCTCCCCTATGGACACCCACTTCGGATACTGGGAGACACTCTGCACCACGAACCCGGGTGTTGACAAGCCTGTTTTCAACAGCACACGTTGTGACATTATGGCTGCGAACCTTCCGCGATGCCTTGACCTCGCACGGGTATGTTATGAGCATCCCGACCATGCTATCTGTGGCGCGGCTGGTAAAGTTTGCTGGGATGGAGTCATCCGCTGGTACGATGGAGAATCCGGTGCAGGTGGCAAAAGGAACAGATTCGACATCACCAGGCCCTGCGAATCTGGAGATGATCTGTGCTATAAGGAAGCAGGGCTAATTGAGAAGTACCTCAACACCCCCAAGGTTTTCGATGCCTTAGGCGTACCTAGTGCAGTGACGAACTACTCCATTTATGCGATGGATGTAGAAGTGGCATTTAGTCTAGGATATGACCAAGAAATCAGCACTCAGTCACAGATTCTATACTTGCTCGATCACGATATCGACGTGCTAATGTACCAAGGAAACCTCGACCTCGCATGCAACACCGCTGGTAACTTGAGATGGAGCAACAGTATGCCTTGGAAAGGACAACCGGAATATGTTGCGCAACGACAAAGGTCCTGGGGGGCTGGAGGTGATGAGTTTGGATGGTATAAGGAGGTCAAAATCAAGATGGGCGACACCGATAAGAAAACCACATTCGCTTTTGTCACAGTTGATGGAGCTGGCCATATGGTAAGTGCTTCGATGTCAATGAGGACTTGATGCTAACAAGCCATAACAGGTTCCTCAGGACAAGCCGAAAGAGGGTCTGGAATTGGTGAACAGGTGGTTGAAGAAGCGAACTTTCAACAAGTGAACAAACCTTGACTTGAGATGGGGAACTTCCCAAGAATGGAAGATCTGACGTTGAGTGACGATCCTAGTCGGGTACTTGGGTCAGCAAGATCTTTGTGCGGTGTAGGGTGAAGGACACTTACGTTTGAGTGAGCTTCTGGCCGATAGATTATCTATGGGTGCCAAGTTTGCCCCAAGAACATTTGTGTCAAGCTTCCAAGAACCCGCCCAGTTACTTTACAGCGTTTCCAGCGATTATTATAGAGACATGCGGGTTGAAAGGAATCCTTCCCGTCATTTGTCACTGAATGCTCAAATGGAACCAAACGAAGTACTCGTGCAGCATGAGCACATCCATACTCATGTGCCAAATCTTGTTGTACTGTGTTCAGTTTTAATCTATGACCGGCCTGGAGTTTATCTCGTGGCTTACAGTTACCTTTTAATTAGCGAATGCTTGTTGGGAAGAGGAGACTGTCGAAACTCTCGTCAACCGAAGTTCCAAAGAGTAGATGGTCACACAAAGTCCTTTCCTAGTTCCGACGGAGTCCTTTATATGTTAGGGGAGCGCGATATGAAGTTGATGCTGACGTGATGTTGAGAACAACCGTCCGACGTCCTTTGGATACGAAAAGAAGGATTGTGCTTATAGTAAGACGCCAGAACCCAGCTTTTCAGCGGAACACGCATTGGAGAGAGACTTGACCTACCGAAAAATCTGACAGATTGCTGACGGAGTAATGCCAATGTTTTGCACATGTCTCATTTATCTGTCATCCAAGGTAAGTTCTGCATTCATCGAGAGATAATTACAAAAAGCGCCTCATCAGCTTTCTCAGCATCATCGATGTTCAGCTCCAGAAACTTGACTAATCTAGGTTACGCAATTATCCCGCGTTTTGAGCCAACTGCAGAAGTACATAGTAAGCAATGCTACATTACATCGAGCTCAAGTTGGGGGCATGTGACGCTGAGGCTCAGAGCTGGGTGGACCAAAGAGCTGTCAATTATGCATATGGATGGTGACATTTGTGCTGATCCTCTATGACGGGGATGAAACTCCGGTAGCTGAGTTAAGATTCACTTTTCACCAAAATATTACTCCAGGGCGGGATAAAGTGTATAATGCCTGCTTCGCCTACAAGCTCAAGAGCTGCCGCGGCATCTAGCAGAGACCGATCAAGATCTAATCGGACGGTTAATGAATAGTGTAAAAATAGGCTTGTTCCAGGGTTAGTTCCGGATCATGTTCTCAAAACCATCAGGTGCGCGACGCAAGGTCTCGTATCGATAGCACCATCTCTGCATGTCTTGTTCTCTACACCCTCATCCTCCTCCGCCTCCGCCATTCTCGAGTCCCGAGACCTCTTGTACTCCCCAAAAGTATTCAGACGGAGCATTATCATTTTCTGGCTACTCATGTCAGACTTGGATCGGGCTGTGCAATTGGTTATTTTTAAGCTTAGCTAAAGCAATGGGCCAAAGCCATCGGCTCTGGGGCGGGCTGAGCTTGGTCTTGGCTTGGCTGGAGTATCCGTCATAGAACTGTCCGGCTTAATGAGATTCGAGAGCCTGCTGCAAAGCTGAACTTTTGGGCTTGAAGTTTGCACTTTTGCTACCCATATATTACGCAACGGTGGATGCAAACATCAGCACTTCCACAATCAGATCAGCAAAGGATACGAGAAGGATCGAGTCCTTCATCCTCCATTACTCAAGCCAAGATCAGTTTGACAACGCAGACCTCGCGAAAAAGGGCGGTGGCACAGCTGACCTTTACCTCTTTCAGCCCCAGAGCCTGGTTTCTCGGGTATGACAGTTACAACTTGCGGGATAAACTGGTCTTTGGGGGCTGACCCCTCCACCCACGATCGAGGCCTCAGCCCTGACAATTTGGGGATAGCTTCAAATTGCGCAGCAGCTAGCGCTGACCTTAACCTGGCGTGATGCAGGCGCAGCAGCTCCCAAGTTCGCGTGGAAGCACGGGGCACCCGAAAATAGTAGCCTTTTGCCAACTGACGTAGGGCATGACATGAACTCATGTCGGCCGTCAAGCTCCAGCTCAGCCTTACCAGAGACTAAGTTTGAGTGTCGGGGCGAGGTATCCGCTATGGCGCCAGCCACCACCATGTCTTAGTGGTGAGCCCACGATCTGGACGATGCTGCCAAAGTTTGAAGCAAGCGGCATACAATTGTATATATAAACAACGTTTGATTCCCTCCATTCGATTAAATTTTATCATTCTCATCATCATCATATCTTCTACAACAATCACAACAACCTTCGCTACAACACCGTCGCTTCCACTATTACTACAGCTTCAATCGCTTCTACTACAATTTTCTTAACATCCCTTCTTTACATATAAACTTTCATCTCTCAACATGCGCTACTCATACACTCTTCTCGCCTTTGCCGCTACGGCTCTGGCCCTCCCCACTGCAAAGCCCGCCGATGACGGCTCATGGGCCCCTGGTATGTTTGCCTCATTCCATCACCCAGTCTCATACTAACAGCATCAGGTAAATATGAGGGCGGTGATACTGGCAAGGATGACGGCAAGTGGGCTCCTGGTAAGTCTTTACAGTCTCTCCAACAACTCGCCATACTAAACATTACCAGGCAAGTATGAGGGCCCTGGCACCGGCTTTGACGATGGTCAATACCACCCTGGCAAGGACAGCAAGAAGGCCAAGCGCTACGATGACGGTAGCTGGCATGAGGGTAAATACGAGGGCAAGCCAGGAACCAAGTACGACGATGGCAAATGGTACCCTGGCAAATACCCTGGCGGCAAGGAGAAGCGCAACGATGACGGATCCTGGCACGAGGGCAAGTATGAGGGTGGCAAGACTGGCTACGATGACGGCAAATGGTACCCTGGAAAGTACCCTGGTGGAAAGGCCAAGCGCAACGATGATGGCAGCTGGCATCCCGGCAAATATGAGGGAAAGCCAGGAACCAAGTATGATGATGGAAAGTGGTATCCCGGAAAGTACCCTGGTGGCAAGGAGAAGCGTGAGGATGATGGAAGCTGGCACGAGGGCAAATACGAGGGCGGCGACACTGGCCGTGACGATGGCAAGTGGGAAGCTGGTAAGTCACACGTCTCTAAGCTATAAGACCTTCAAGACTAACAAGTTCAAGGGAAATATGAGGGCCCCGGCACTGGCTTCGATGATGGCCAGTACCACCCTGACCACAAGGCCAAGCGCAATGACGATGGCAGCTGGCACGAGGGAAAATATGAGGGCGGCAAGACTGGCTACGATGATGGAAAATGGTACCCTGGAAAGTACCCCGGCAAGGAGTAAAAGTGTTATTAAACATTTAGATGGTTTTTGGAGTTTTGGACTGGGTTACTGGGTTGAGCATTTACATACTTCTGGCATCAGACATTCCTTTTTCTTCTTCTGAAAGGCTTCAAATCGCCTGCATTACATATTATTCACATAGGACACTCCCTTTAATTATATACACAATTTGGACTTCATCAAACAGCCGATATCCGCTCGCTGCAAGCCATGATGGCCACGACCATTGGGTCCCGATCTAACAAGAGGGGCTAGCTTTCCAAGGATTGCGCATGAGCCTAAGTAGAAGTACCTTGACCTCACAGAGCAAGAAAACTTCCGAGGTCGGGCAAGGTGTCAGAATAAACTACTCTTAAATCTGCTAAATCTACTCTACAGTTATATGAATCCCTATGTTATTTAGCCGAGATGTCCTGAGTTTTCTTCCCTGCCCTAACTTGATACATTATGACATGTGCTTTTCATCAACACTCCCGGACTGATTTGTGAACTGGATATCCACTGGACTGTGCTTGTATACAGTTTTCTCGTTATTTCGTTAGTTTTTAAAAGGTGTTGTACAGTCCTTAGTAACCCTGTAGGACGGGTGTTATCGGTGGAGGATCTGCATGACAGGGATCTGGTAATCCGTCGTCTAACTCTGAGCCCCTCATTTACTTTTCTTACCAACGTCTTGACCAACAACAATGGCAGAACTTGTCATACTCGAACGGACACCATCACAGCAAGTCCACCAGCAAGATAACGATGACGAAATTAGTTACCATGAACACGACAGCGTTGTCGAGGGCCATGCTGCGGAGTCAAGTGAACGACCAGACGCAGAGTTCCCGACGGGGATCAGACTCTGGCTGACCATACTCTCCGTGGTCTCCATCCTCGTCCTCGCCAGTATAGACATGAACATAGTTGCCACAGTAGTCCCAGCTATAACTGATCACTTTCACACGGTATCTCACGTCGGCTGGTACTCCTCCGCCTTCAGACTCTGCGTCTGCGCTTTCCAATTCGTCTTTGGGAGAGCATACAAGCTCTTCTCCGTCAAACGCATCTTTCTCCTTTCCAATATTATCTCCATAGCTGGGTCTGTACTCTCGGGCGCTGCTGTTTCGTCGACAATGCTTGTTGTCGGGAGAGCGGTGGCTGGGTTGGGATCTGCGGGGCTCTTCGCTGGTTCGTTCATCATCATCATTCAATGCACCCCTCTCCGTCGACGACCTGTATTTCTGGGAGTCTTTGGTGCTGCTGAAGGTCTCGCTACCATCGCCGCGCCGTTGATTGGCGGTGCTCTTCAGACACTTAGCTGGCGATGGTGTTTCTACATCAGCGTGCCTACGGGTGCTGTCACACTTCTTCTTACCATGTTTTGCCTGTCGGATGATCATAAGCCTAGTGGAGTTGCTGCAATGACGTTTAAGCAGAAGGTTGCTCAGCTTGACCTCGTTAGTAACATGTTACTTCTCCCAGCGCTCACAAGCCTCTTTCTTGCTCTTTCATGGGCTGGCACTATGTACCCCTGGAGTAGCGGCCAGGTTATTGGACCTCTCCTCACATTTGCTGTTCTTCTTGGTGTATTTTTTTGGAATCAGGTCCGTCGAGGCGACACTGCTGCACTTCCGCCTCGCATTATGAAGCAACGTTGTGTGATTGCGGGTTTCATCTTCATATTCTGTGTCAACAGCACAGGCGTTGTACTAGAATACTATCTACCAACCTACTACCAGCTCGTTCGTGGCTACACGCCTGTCAAGAGCGGCTACATGATGTTACCTATCATCATCGCAGCGACAATCGGTTCACTCATCCATGGAGCGGGGACCAGTGCATTTGGTTATTACACGCCCTTCATGCTCTTCGCATCCTTCATCATGCCAGTTGCGGCAGGGCTTATCACCACGTTTAAGATTGATACCAGTTTCGAGAAACTCATTGCTTATACGGCACTTTCAGGCTTGTCTTACGGCATTGGGTTCATTGGACCTCAAACAGCTGTGCAGACAGTTCTCCGGGCTGAAGACGTCCCTCTTGGTTTGTCCATCATGCTGTTCGCTCAATCTTTTGGCCCGGCTGTGTCTGTTCCCATTGCACAGGTGCTCTTCACTAACCGGCTCTCTGACAACCTTGATGGAGTCATACCGGGTCTGAATGGAACGCACATCAGCAACAGCGGTCTTGGCGAAATGGTTAGCAATGTGTCAGAATCTGCGACAAAAGATGTACTAGTTGCAATTGACAAAAGCCTTGGGCAGACATGGTATCTTGTAGCTGGGCTGGCTTCAGTCGCGATAGTTGGAAGCCTGATGACGGAATGGAGATCAGTCAAGGAGAAACGCGAATGAAATGATATCCACGTCTACTGGCTACTCCTCGGCATTATAGTCTTGAGTACAGGCAGGACTGGCCGGTTCGTATTGACCCTCCCATGAACAACTGTTATTTGAGAGAACTGTCGTTATGAAAGGTCGGAGCGAGCGGGAACAGGTTAGGATGGTAAGCTGGACAATTTCAGCAAATGATTTGCTGCCTTTTGACCAGACCCTGGCAGAATAATAGGGAAATAAACAATGTATTAACATTGTCTTCGCTACCGCCTACAGGCTCCAAAAGGATGTGTCGGCCATCTTAATTCGCGTGTGAAGCGATGATGCCGGCCACCTTTTCAGTCTGACTCAACTGTACCATATGTCCAGCATCAACCTTCATAACCTCACTGCCTGCCAGACCCGCGAACCTTTCCTGCAGCTCAACAGGTAGTATCCTATCCCCCTCGCAGATGATGTAGACACTTGGTACCTCTCTCCAACCGCAGTACTGAACCTTGGTCGCCCAACCTCTGTCAGCTTGATGTTGAAGACCTGGAAGCCACTCGCTGGCCTCTTCGTCTGAGAAGTCACCGTAAAGCAAGTTCCTGGGGTCTTTACAAGACTGCGTACCGTTTGACTCCTGGAGACCGGTTAGAAACAGGGGCATGAGAAGGAAATGGAAGGTCTCACATGGTAGTCAAAGAACTCCATTGGCCCTTGTTCATAGCCCTCAGGTGCCAGCCCAGCTGTGATGAAGATGATCTTCTTCACACCTCCAGCCTTCCCAGAATCCTGCCTGGCTTGAGAAGTCAGGCCTTTGAGGGCACCGCTCCCAATAAAGCCACCTGCTGAGTGCATGACTGCAACGACGCCTTCATCACCTGCTTCCTCAACGACAGGAGCAAGGTCCTTGGCGATGTTCGCGATATCATCATCCATGTTTGGGCTGTCTGGAGGAGTCTTGCCAGTGCTGGAAATAGTCGTGATCACTGTTTTGAAGCCTCGTCCATTGAGGCTGTCGGCGAGAGGTTGGAAGACCGCGGGGCCTTCATAAAACCCAGGAACGATGAAAATTGTAGGAGCCATTGTACGATGTCAATCTGATTTCTGTTAGGAATTATTCTCTCTCATGATATTCCTGATCGTATGCTCTTATAAGGCTCTGGGCCTTGCTATTCTGACGTAAGCGCCAATTCGATAGTCTGCGGCCGAATGACATGCGTGGCGTTGATGCATTTTCAGATTCATGCACCGGAGTCACAAAATCACGTCAATACAGGGACATCAGAGCTGCGGGAGTTTAATCAGGTTCTTGAATAAATCTTCATGTTCAGTTGGTCGTAATTTGATCTCCTCGTCCAGCAGAACTGAGAGTGCTCATGAACAACTGATTCCCTTGATCTCCAGAGCCGTCACTTCCGATTGGCCCCCAACCACACGACATAATCGGTTCTCGGCACCGTCAAATACGTACTCAAGAATGGCAGCGGTCAGCTGAACTACAAGAGATACCATTCGTCTGCCATCAATTGTCCCCAAGGCAGCTTGCACCTTGGCTTTCGAGTCCTCAGGAACATCCCTCAAACTAACAAGCAATGGCGCATCCAAGAACGACTGATGCGTTATGCCGTCAAGCTGAAGCATCATGCCTGGTCCACGCTGGTTGTTCCAAGTTTCGTTCCATGACGGGCCCTGTTCGCGAGAATAAGGCCTTCCAATGAGAAAGAGGGGTTTGTCCAGACCGGTTTTGACGACAGGGCCAAGCATGTCGCCGTCAAGATTTATTACGCCCTTGATTCGTTCGTCGCTGAATAATGTCGACACGGCAGTGGCTCCCCCAATTGAGTGACCAAAGACAAAGATGCTACCTGCTTCGGATAAGCCAAACTGCTTTCTTGCTGTGACATTGTCTTTGAATTGATCGATAATGAATGAAATGTCTTGTGATCGAACCTGTATGTCAATCGAGGTTAGCAATTGCTTCTTAAGCAAGCTTTCAGTCACTCACCTTCGCTGATGTTTCCAGAACGGTCTGGTTCGCTTCACCAACGACGCCAGTGATGGCAGTACCATCTGGATACTCGATGATCGAAGCGTCGTAAGCATGATCAACTGTGATCACGACGTAGCCGTGACTGGCTACCGACCTTGCCATGGCACTGTACATGAGTCTTGATACACCACGACCCGGGGAGAATATGACGACTGGATGTCTGGTTTTATTCTTCTGAGCCTCTTTCTCTATTCGGCTCATATCAGGGAGTCGACAAAACTTCAGCTGCAAGTCCTCGAAAACTCCAGATGGCAGACCCATGGCTTCAGCCTGTCGTCCAAAAGCGTCTCGAGTTTTGGGTGGCATATATGGAACGTTGACCTCTCCATGCGGGCAAGAGTTGTCCTGGGTATCGATGGGTGTAAAAGCCGAGATCAGAACACGTCGCTTCTGGAGGCTGTCGATTGGAGCGTATGGATCCCATCTAGACTCATCAGTGAGAGTTTTGATGTTCAAGCCAACGTGATAAGGCCCCGAAGATACTAATGGGATCAACAGTCCGGTGGATAAGGCACCCAAGCCAACGATCACATTGACGAGGTGCGTGTTAAGTCGCATATTAGATTCTTAACTTGAATGGTGCAGAGAAACGCGATGCTAAAACTGTAAGGTTGATGAAATTAACTGTGTCTTATAAGAGAGGGACGTAATATAAGGCAGCACGGAAGCCATGGAAAGCAAGCCCATGTGAGCCCTTTCGTGCAGCCTCGTATGATTGTCATCCTTCAGATCTTATACGAAGAGAATGGAGACATTGAAGAAGCCCCTGCAAGTTGAACCATCAACAAGGGCAGAATAAAGGTCGGTTGGTGGATCTCGCTTCTAGGATTACGTGAGACCAAAGTCGCATTGACAGATCGATCAGGTTCGCTTGCAACACGAATGCGAAGGAGTGTTCCTACAAAGTTTCTATATACTCTTCAGTCCATTAGTAAGCCTGTTCACAGGTGCTGTTATATTCGTGGTGTTGCTTTTGTTGTTTGCACAAAAATAAACATCCAAACAGCGATGCGTCTTTGTGGCTAGGCTTGAGCGTGTTCGGTGTCATAAAACATTTCACTGGTTGAAGTGACAGCCACAGCGGAAAGCTGCATAATTTCTAGCAGTTTCAGTGGGCGATGCCACTGACCCCCCGCTGTCGTCAACTATCGAGTTTCGGCTTCAGTAGCCCTCTCTCTTGGCAAGGTGAGGGATGTCTCGTCTCATGCTTGACATGATCATAAATATGACATCCACGTTGAGAAGTAGAGTAAGCAAAAGATATCTATATTGCGATTACTCAAAATTTTGCTGCATATCATCAATGTTTTGGTCGTAAATACCAAGCTTGTTCAATTCGCTGTTCGCCTTGGTCATGGACTTTCTTTTCTTTTTTTCGTGTAACCAGCAACCAACGTGACAACGCACTTATGTCTCAGCCTCCTGCCGATACCGTCCATAACCCCTCAATTTCTCTCTGACCTGACCCAAAGCCTTGATTTCTTATCTTGGGGTCTCATCGCCTCGTGTCCCGCAGTGAAGCGACATGGCATTCATCAATACGTCTCGCTCTGAAGACAGAGGACCAGACACAGAAGATCCTGTCTTCAAGAGCCTTGTAACGCCAGCTCAACGCTCCGCTGCGGTCAAAATCTGGCGTCTTAGTGATTCCTTTCCTTGGGAGATCATACCGTGCTCCTCCGAGACAAGATGGACACAAGGCCTTCTCGATTGTTTCCTCGAGACGATGACTCTGAGCTTTTCTGGACAAAGACTGGATGATCTTGAAAAAAAAAAGGTGCGCTCTGCGCTTCTGAGAGTTGCCCGGCGAAGAGGAGTTGGCGAGCCTATCGCCATCACAGAAACCGACATCAGAGGTGTTTTGTCTCTGTTGAAGAAAACAGACTCACAGCCCGGATCGGACTCAGAAACACCACTCGCCACGAGAACAATATCCGGTGGCAAGTTGGCGCCTAAACCTGCTGCTAAACGAATCAGGACCGAGAATAAGAGCCCGCTCGCGCGAGTAACGCGCTCTTCAAAGCGACAGAGAGGACATTCGTCAAAAACAATCCCTGGCACAAGCCCCAAGACTCCGGTACCCAAGCGCAAAAGTGCAAATACTGTGGTGATCAGCTCAGATGACGAAAGCGACCGAGATGAAGCCCAAGATCAGTGCCTCGATAAGAAAAAAGAGCCAGACGACAATCAGAGTCAGCCCGTGCTGAGCCACTCGGACGAGCCTTCTCCAGACCCAGATTCCCAGCTTCTAGAAACCGTTGCGGAACACGAGAGGCGCAAAGCTTTATCAGCACCGTCACCGGATGCAGAAGAGGTTAATCCTAGCACTGATTCTGCATCACCTACTCAGAGTGGTTCAGGACGTCCTCTAGCAACTCCATCTCGCAGGATCCGCATTGCATCTCTCGGCATGACAGATAAACAAATAGGCGATAAGATCCGCAAGAGCTTGTCCATCGTCGCGCATAAGCAACACCTACGAATCGAACAAAGACTGGCCGAGCTCGACGCCGAAGCCAAGTGTGCGAGACAAGCCTCGCTCGAAGCTGACAGCGCGAATCACGAAATGTTGAAGAGCCGCGAACGAAAGCAAGACGCCATTTCCGCCACGATGAAGGCATCCGAAAAAGCACACGCCGATTATGAAAAGAGCGTCGAAGCGTTGCAATTCGTGCAGAGCCTCGGGGTCAGCAACATGGGCCGCGCTATAAAAAGTCTAGAGAAGGCTGTAGAAGACGCCGACAAAGACCAAACAGTTACCCGTGCTGCCTACGACAGAGTCTGCCGTGAGCTTCCTAGCTTTGAGGAGAAAGTAGAGGCTGTGAAGAAAAAGCTTGAGGAAGCGGATGCCAAGTTTCGTCAGATTTGTCAAGCAAGGGATGATTTCACTATGGCTTCGGAGGAGAGAAACATTACCTGTACGGTTCGTGTGGAGAGTGATGCTAGAGACGACGGGGAACATTTGTTTGACGATTTTGTTCTTGAGCTTGGTGCGACTGTTCGACAAAAGGCGCGGAAGTGAGAGACATTGCCGTCGTTATTGGTGGGTTGACAGTGGACCCTTGCTTGGCTGCTTGTAGGTTTTAAAACTTGGGATCTTTGTCTTTTCGAGAAGAAGTGAAAAAAAGGATGGACGATATATATCTTTAGCCACGCAGAAATGTAACCAAGTTAAGATGAGACGGACTTTGTAGAGGACATAGGGAAGCTAAACATGCATTTTCGTTGCTATGTGAGGCTTTGAATCCCTAACCCCAGTATCGTGCTTCGTCTGGGCCGTTGATGAGCTTGTTATTTTGTCGATAGTAGGTGCTGATCTCTGGGGATCACGGTTGCTATTCTTAGTCATGAGACCAACCCAAAAAGGTACGCGTGTTACTTCGTCTCACGGTCTTACAACACCGTGTCAACTCTTATCAGTACAACCCCTCACCCACCAAACAACTCCAAATCACAAGCAAAATGATCAAACTGGTCGCATTCGACCTCGATGGCACTCTCGCAGAGAGCAAGCAGGCAATTCTCGACTCAATGGGCGAGGCTCTCGCCGATCTCTTGAGCGTCGCCCACGTCGCAGTTATATCGGGTGGCGATTGGCCTCAGTTCCAGAAACAAGTCGCCAGCCGTCTTCCCGCACGAGCTGACCTTTCCAAACTCTGGCTCATGCCTACCACCGGCACAAAGCTTTACACTCACAAGGGCGATGAGTGGAAGGTGGAATATGCAGAGCTGTTTAGTGAGGAGCAGAGGAAGAACATCATCGAAGCATTCAACGCTGCTCTCGACGCAACGGGGTTTCAGCCAGAGCAGACTTGGGGTGAGCGCATTGAAGATCGAGGCAGTCAGATCACATTTTCGGCGCTTGGTCAACAAGCCCCTCCCTCCGCGAAGGAAGTTTGGGATCCTGACTTTGAGAAGCGCAAGATCATTCAAGCGGATCTATACAAGCGACTCCCAGACTTGTCAATCAACATGGGCGGAGCTACTTCTATCGACATCACGCAGAAAGGTGTTGATAAGGGCTACGGGCTGAAGAAGCTCTCGGCGGCGAGTGGGATTCCGCTGGAGCAGATCATGTTCATTGGAGATGCCATCTTTCCGGGTGGGAATGATTACCCTGCTAAGGAACTGGGGCTGCACACGGTGCGGGTGAAGAATCCGGATGGGACTCTGGCTGCTATTGCGGGTATCGTTGCGTGTTTGAGCGAGACTGGTCCTTTGCATTAACATGAGACGCCTATCACTGGCAACTCACAACTGTGAGGGGAGTTGACTACTTCCTACTATTGAAGGATATGAGCAGAAAACATTGTTCATGTTGGGAGGGAAGCAGAGAAAATGACAACAAACAACGGACTCTCCAAATCATGAGGATTCAATGTCATCACAGTTGATATAAAGCAATTGGCCGTCGTACCCAAAATTCAACTCGTTATTAAATGCATATGTTCACGTGAGCGACATTACATGCACCTTTATCAATGTGTCCTAATAGGACTCGTACATGCTGATGCGTAACAGAGCTCACAAGGGTCATAACCGTGGTCTCTCATACTTGTTCAACACGGCCCTACGAGGTTCACGAATCAATCAAGTTTGGCAAACTTAAAAACGGCATACGCAACTTTGACGTTCAAAACGGTTCAATTTCGTATTATTAACGTAAATACATCTTCGCTAACCTATGACCAAGTTGCCAGATGTCTTTCCTTCCAACCTGATGCTATGTACCGCGGATCTGTAACTCCGACAAGTCAGCATGATAATCAATAAATATGGTAATCAGAGCATCAGTATATCGAACGTCTCAGCTTGTGTAACGGAAACAGCTTGAATCATATGTGATCATAGCCATGGAAGTATTTGTTTCAATCTCATCATTCACGGTGGGGGAACTTAGGAAATAATAAGGAAGCTCACCTTTCGAAACCAATCATGGATAGGTTTTTTAAGCTAGTAAGTTCTCTGACTTGCTACCTTGTACTTCTTTTGCCTAAAGACTTCAATTCATCAAGAGTGGATGGCTTCAATCGCGAACCTCTCACAACCCCAAGGGCCACTGGCCTCGAATATACGGACAAACGCGGCAATGAAGGAAGAAGAAAGAGAAAACAAGAATCATTTGCGGCATTTTCTCCTTTTCAACGTAGGATTCGTGCCCAATATTTTTCAAGGGGGCCTGGCTCGGAAGAGCGTTGATCCATGCGCAGCCAAGATGATACTGAAGTCATGCGTCTACTGAAGGATGAGTATCGCGTTTTGGCCGCGTTTACCACGTACAACCTTGAAATTTAAGAAATGCACATATAACTGCCAAACAACTATCATATAATCAAGATCCTGAAACGCGCTGGCTCAAATGCTGACTTCGTCAATGTCATACACCATCTGCTGCGTCTCTGATCCCCATCGATCCATGCCAAACGCCCAAGCACCTTGCATAAACAGCCAGAGTCCCGTCTCCTTTAGCCATAAGCCCCATGGCCCTGTCTTTCTTCTCATCTTGGCATTGCTTGAGGATCTGTTTGCAATCTCCTCAACTCTTGGCCTCCGGATCTCATTGAACAGCTTGAAAGCATCCACAAGAGACAGTTGCTTCTCTAGAAGTCGTACAAGGAGAAACGCATCTTCGAATGCCATCGATACACCTTGGCCAGCGTGAGGTGGCATAGCATGTGCGGCATCACCAAGAAGGAGAGTTCTTCCATTGTACCATCTTCCTCCAGTGGGTAGCTTGTAGATCGGGTAGAACTTCACAGCTGTCGTAGTGCCAATAAGCTCTCGTAAGTTATCCCCCCATTCTCCACCCGCATCTTCGAGAGTTTTGTGAAGTTGAGTCTTAAACCCCTCCACTTCCTCCCGTCGATGAAGCTCCCATCCATTGCGGGCGTCCCCAGAGTCCGGCAGCGGTACTTCTTTTGACAAAAACCACTGAATCTCATCGTCAGAGGCAGTGCACGTCATGACTCCAAACATACCCTCTTGAGTCATCGTGATATTCATGCCTCTCATTTCTTTTTGGGTTGCCTCTGAAACACAAGAAGCTGGGACCATGGCGCCAAGGCCTGACATCCCTGTGTATACAGGTGCCTGATCTGCATCGACATGCAGGCGTCGTACAGCAGAGTGAATCCCGTCGCATCCAAGTAGAAGGTCTGCCGTATCGCTGGTCCCGTCAGAGAAGCTCGCGGTGACTGAATCAGCCGATTCTGTGATGGAGATGAGCGACTTGTTGTAGTGCAAAGCGATACCAGCTTCAGCAACCGCTTTCAACAGGGTGTCCAGTAGATCAGTTCGTTTGATTCTCATGTACCCATAACCAGTCTGTTCTTTTGCTGCAGCAACCATGTCTTTTCGTCCCAGAACTCCTCCATTTATAGAATGGATGGTCATGTTGGAGTGGCTGCTTCCGCGCTCCTTGAGCTCTGAGTAAACTCCCAAACGATCAAGGAGGCGCAGACCATTTGGCATGATGCCTATGGCGCTCCCCAATGTGGAAGGTGCTGATCGAAGCTCATAGATCGTGCAGTTCACGCTCGCTTGCTGCTGCAAGCGTAGAGCGGTTGCGAGGCCCGCGGGGCCTCCGCCGATGATGATAGCCTGCGGAGATGTTAGCCTTGTTGCCAGCCTGTAGTTTGGGAAACTTGCCTTTGTTTGCTTCATTCTTCAATACAATATTGATTGATGAGATGTAAAGTGTTTTTGTCTTGTTCGTTGCAAATTGGAGTTGCCGTTTATAAATACTTCATGTGTCGGAGATCAGGTGCGGAAGTCCGCGGTCGAGGATTTCCCTTTTGGGCCATCCGTGAAAGACTGTGTCCGGACCGGACTAATCGGACATTAACTTCAACCCCGGTTGAGACAGCTGCATCCAGCTCAGGAAACTGTAACAGACAATCAGTTATAATGACACAAACTTCGAAGTTCAGACATATGTTGGGCGGCAACGTCAAATAATGGCATGAGACAGCAGAGTTTTAATCTTGACATCTCCACGCAAACTCGAAGAGGGTGTCTCCGTCAAAAACGGCTTTGGATGGTACTAAAGTATCATCCAATACATCTCTTGCCTCATTACAGGCAATACCAAGTCGACAGGCATGTCGTCTGGCCAACGAGTTGCCTCCCACGATACATGCATCATAGTAGCTTCATGCTGCAATCCGTCTAACACCATGCTTCGAACTTCTTAACTGAAGTTGCTAGGATCAAAGTCGAGGTCTTGCAGAAGAGAAGTCCACTGAAACTCTTCAAGGTCAGGGACAGCAGCCAAAAAGTCTGACCAGAGCTGGTGCGAATGTTCGTCCCCGAAACCGTCTTCCTGCATGCCCACTGTAATATCATTCATGTCTGTGAAAGCACTTTCAGGAACCGAATCCAAGTTCGCGCTCGATGTCGCAGCTGGCGAAGCTGATTTCATCGCATTCGTGCGCTGTTTCTGCAAAGTCCCCATGACCTGTTCCATATTCTTCTCGATACCTCTGATCAAACTCTCCGCGTTCTTCCTCGATTTGTTCAGCGTCTCGTACGCGCCCTTAACCTTTTCCTTTATGGCTTCTGCTTCGGGGGCATCAGGGTTGTGAGACAGGTCGACTGCCAACGCTACAGCGGCTGAGGTGACGTGCAAGAAGATTACCAAATACCTCTCAGGTCTAAAGTGAAACTTGGCAACCGGGTCGTCCATCATGCGTCTGAGTTCAAGAATCTTGTATGCTGATGTGAGGATCGTGGTTCGAGAGTAAGAATATCGAAGATCTGAGTAGGCTGCGAGGTGATAAGGGCGATGAAGTCGACAAATGCGTGCATGGATGCCGAGGTGAAGACTTATTCGCTGCCAGTAGATGAACGGTCTCAATTCGCAGATCTCTTTGGACTTCTGCATACTCTCCGGGTCGAGCTTGCAAAAATCAGGAAGACCCTTGATAAAATTCTGCAGTTTTCTATCAAGCTGAAGAATGACTTCGTAGTCTTCTTCGGGGGTGTCGTCGGCCAGGGGTGTGATCGTATCGATAATCTCGCGAGATATTTCTGCCGTTCTGAGTCGCAAAAAGAAGAATGTCATGTCTGTTGGAACGGAGAGAGGTAAATCGGGTATGTCGCCTGAAATCGTGAGCGCAACGTCGTCGATGTTACGCGGTTGTTTGACTCTCAGCAGTCTCGGGATGAATGTATAGATACCCTCCTGGGAGCTCCCAGAGAACGAAGTCAACCTGATGAAGGGTCAGCTAGATCAGCCACTGATCATAGAAAGGATGCGTTACCAGTCAGAAGCAACCATGTTCCACCATACACGTCTCTGAACCTCCAAGTCAATATTGTTGGCCGGGCTTACGTCTCGCTCTTTCTGTGCTGCCGGGCTGTCTAAGCGATGGATCATCATTTCGCGGCACATATTGTAGCACCGGCTTCTAAGATCCAATGCCTTGGCCGGAACGACATCATCGGAGTTAATAGCCACATGTGCAAGGGTAGATATCGCTGAGACAGCTGTGACCGAGGGTGGTAGTGGTGTGCAAGGCTCTTCAATAATCGACAGAGCAGAGTGAAAATAACAGTCGAAGGCCGACACGGCGTTCTCTTTTGTTGCTTCAAGCTTATGAAGAAGTTCATCTGTCCAGGCCAAGGCCGCACCAGCAAAGATACTGAAAAGCATGAGCAACTCGTCAATCTTTGGAACTTCTTTGTCAGATTCCACTGAGCTATAAACAAGTGATCTAATCGATGGTACATGCAGGACACCGAATGTAGGCTGGATGGTGTCAACGAAGTGTTCGCATAGCAGATGTGCTTGATGGGCAGGCGGAAGATTCGACGTCAAATGGTTTAAGCGCGCATTGATAGAAGCATTTTTGTCGCTTGAGGGAGTCTCATTGTGGCAGTTGAACGGCTTGCGGTCTGTATGGATTGATCAGCTTCGGACGGACCGACATAGCAGGATTCAGGGCTTGAGGCTCCTACGGGAGGAAGTTGGTTCTGGTTGGGTAAGCTGTGATACTTGAGCTCCATTTGGGAAGACAGCTTTTTCTAGTTTAGTTAGCCTGTCAAGCATTTCCTTGTTTCTGGTGCCATTAGCACGGCGAGTGAGTGTACATTGGGAACAGGTTGACTAACAGGTCCAACTGTCTAAGAGGAGAGAAGGCCAAAGTGCTTCCGTTCGGGTCGACTGAAGCCTCGCCGGGGTTCCGCTCCGGTAATGTATCAGTCTCCAAAGGGTTAGTTGCTCGACTGCCATTCTCGTAAACGCATGTGAGGCGCCGCTGGGTACAATTCGAACAAGGTTGATTGCGGTCACAGCGCCGCTTCTTCTCACGGCAAGGGCGGCACGAAACTGGCAGCCGAGAAGCCCGGTAAGTCGACCTAATAGGCGCCCCGGAGTAATTGCGCTTCATTGTGCGAAACATGCGCGCATCGGCATCAGATATCGATCAATTGACACGGTCAGATTGATGACGCGGAGATGCTAGGTCGAAGCCGCGGGTCCGCGGAGGAGAATTGACAAATGCGGTTAGTGGCACAGACTGCACGTGATGCTGGCATCCACCAGCTACCCTGAGGCTATCACCATGAGCAAATAAATAAACGCGAAGACAAGTACAGGAGCGTATAATAGAAGATGGATTATGATATTATTGTTTATTCGCTCTCATGATAAAGACATTAACTCGATTTTGAAAAGCTCCCACAATTAAACCCGAATGATGATCTCAGTTCTCCCTGCATCAAATGTTAGATTCATCGAGGTGAGTTTCAAGGCCCGCAAGACTTACAATATGGCCAATTCAATATCACCTTGGATCTTCGCTTTCAGTTGTAACTCAACATCGAGATCCATATCCAATCTCACGCGAGGTGCGCTGCTTTTCTTTCCCGTCTCTTGACTCGCTGGTTGAATAGGCTGTTGGTTTTGAGGCTGATTGAGGGCTTCTTGAGACCCAGTGTTGGATCGACCAACCTGGTTATTCTGTGAACCTTGGGTCATTTGATGTGTATTGTTTTCGGAATTGTCGCTCTGATCGCCGACATTTGATCGGGCGTTTTGGATTGTCTCTTCTGTTGCCATTGTGGATATCTTGAAAAGATGATTTGTTGAGATTTCAGGCGGTGTTTTAGTTGTAATTTGGCAAGTGTATTTGATATCCAAACTATCAAAATTAGCAAGAATTAGGAGTTGCTCTGCTCTGTCTTGAATAGTTGATATGCTATCCGGGTGGCGATGGGAAAAGTGGCACTATGATGTCAATGCCCCCGTCTGCAAGCAAGGACAGGTTTCATCCAACACGTGACCATGATGTCGATGAGTATCGCTCTGTCCAGCGATTGGTGACAAAACTGTTGCTAGATTTCTATGGAAGACGCAGTTGCATCGTAGAACGGCTAGGAACAGAAGGCTGAGGAAGCGTCCCATCGAGATCTGGGTCTGCTGCACGGTACCCCTGTCCCCAACTCGCGCAAGTCAGATATCTGTACTCCAAGCAATGCTAGTCATCTTGCTAGACGAACAACAGTTTTCATTGCAAATTGCTACCACCAAAGTCTGCTGTGCAATGACTAAGGCCGGTCAAAACCACCAACTCCAGGACCTCCCTTCGCAAGAGGATGAAACTCAAAAGACCCAACAAAGATGCCCGAATCCAAGTACTTCTTTGCCCATTCCCTCACATGCTCTGAACCAACATGCGCCGCATACGCGTCTCGATCAGTAAACCTTGAGCATCCGGGTCAGTTACAGTTATGTCTCTCAAATGTAAAGGGCTTACTTCTCCATGCAGACGAATTCGTCCTTGCCCTCGGTCTTGTAGAACCTATAGATCTTGGCACCTGGTTCCTTCAAGGTGGCTTCGGCAACTTCGGTCAGACAGGCATGGGCCTGATTATGTGAGAAAACAGACTGGGCATAACACTGTGATGCGGGTCATACCTCGCCAATTCTGTCGGGATTCACCGCGATGGTGGAAACAGAAAAGTACTCTCCAGATTCCTCAGAAGTCATGTTGAGTCGAATTGATGAAAATATGTTGTGGGAGTCTTGTTTTTCAATCTCAGAAATGCCTCGAGTCGCGGATAACAATAAATGGGGGTGTAAGCACTACCAGGGTCCGAACTCCGTGGAGGCAGGTGAGAAGTACTCGTCAGCTATCGCTGACGGGAGTTCCACCGCTCTTTGTTTGGCTGGTAAGACTACCGCATTCACCAAACTCTCACTCGTACGACTTGGCTCCCGGATATGCATCTCGAGTGAGTCCAGACAGAAGACAAGCCAAATAGCATAAATATACAATATCGCTCTTCCTTGACTAATATCAGGTATCTTCTAAACTGCATACAAGATTATACAGACGAGCCAGTCTATGTTCGCCATAAGCAGTGGCCATTATCCAGGTCGTCAACGCTCCTTCATTAGTTCATATGCTCAATCAAAAATCATACAATGGCGTGACTAAGTGTATTTCTCTTCTTCCGTCGCCTCAGTCAACGTTAAATTAAGATCTCGTTGATCTCCCTTCCAGACGTTTGGCTCACTCGTCATCTCGACTTCTTTCCCACGCGTAGGCTCATTTTGTGAACTCAGTCTCTGAAATTCGCCCGCCAAGGCTTCCATGCCGATGTCGTCCATGCTCTCGCTCGTTGAATCGAGGTTGATTGGGTAAAGACTGCTATATGTGCCCTCTTGGTTGAGCTGCCGTGTTGTAGCTCTGATGTCCTCAATCATGCTGTTGTTTGTCCATCCTTCACGTTTGAAGGTTCCGTTTTGCCAACCTATCGTCATCAAGCCTTCTGTAATACCTCGGAGCCCCTTGCACCAAGATGCTATCGATAGGCATCCACGCGCCGCCAAGATGAAGTAAAACTGAGCGTCGGATGTACTGGGGTTTCGAAATACTTCGTTGATGAGGGTGAGAAATCCGGGAGTGATGAACATGGTGAGATTGGTTGACTCAAATCGTTTCCGGTATAGATATACAAGTCGTTTGAGTTGATGGACGGATGCTTCGTGCGTCGCAGTGGCAAGCTCGCTTTCCCCAGCTTCTTCATGGCTTCGACGTCGGAGAAATGGGCGCCATATGTCTATTATTGCTGTCTGGTACCAAATGCTGCGAGGATCAGTTGAAAGTCTCCTACTTGATTTATGCCACTCACTGTAGTACTAGAACATGATGGGGACAGTTTTCACTCCTCTGTACGTCCTCTGGGAGGTTACTAGCCCAGTCAAGCAGCAGCTGATACATCTGGTGCGCATGTGACATAGGCAGACGGCTGAAGTGGTTATAACCTTCTCGAAATGTCTGGCGTATGATGACCCAGAACTTGGATATCCACGTAAACGTGCTGCCCATATACTCATTTAGAGGCGGCCCAGACACATCCCCTGGTATAGGTAAAGATGGCGGATGTCTTATTCGGTGCTTCGCTCGAAAATTGATACAGTGTAGACTACATCAAATCAGTATGAGTATCTTGACAGTCATGGCAATACCAACCTGTGCCAGCCAAAGGTTCCCCAAGCAGCAAATGATGCTGCTGTCCGTAATTCGTCGTCATCGTTGAAGTTGGGCACCGATGTTTCCTCATCGCCGAACAGACCAAGTCGACGACCTATTTGTACACTGGCGTCGAGATAGAAAAGACCAACTTTGTCCTGCCCATGCTGGTTGCAAGTAATGACAAGAAGCATTGCTGAAGATAACGTGGTGATGGCAGTATGGTCTGTTAAATCCTCCCATCGCCTCTTGGCTTCTCTTAGAAACGCAAGAGAGAGCGTTTGAGCTCGTGGCTCAAACTGAGAGTATGAAGCCTGGCCATGTCAGCAAGCATTCTGAGAATGACAGTGGAAGAAACTTACACAAGCCCAGGCAAGAAGTGAGCTGACGAGGAGTTGTGAGCAGAAGCGGCCTCCGCCTGCCACAAAGTCGCGAATAAATAGATCGGCGTCGAATAATGCTAGTAGAGGGTGTTCGTTGACTAGATAGAAAGATATGGCTTTTGCGGCGAGGTTTTCGGGTACAGGTACGGAAGTCCACTGCCATATTTGAAGAGACTCTAGCCGAGGGTCAACGCCAGTATCTCCAGTGGTATCGCTTGGCGTTGAAAACGATTCAGAAGTCGTCGGTGTTTCTGAACTCTGGCCGAATTCTATTGGTGTAAATGGTGTCAAAGGTGCTGCCGCTTGTTGATTTGAAGATGCCAGGGCTCGTTTGTTAACTGCCAGTAGACCAAGATCTACATCCTTGATATCAAGAGTTTCTAGAGTCGGAAAGACGCTAGAATAACGCATGTTGAGGTCCAGCTCTATTGTAGAGCTAGCCGAAGTTCCCACGAGACTGGTGTCTAAGGGGTTGATTGGTGAAGGTGGTTTCATGACGCCCGAGTCGAGAACCTGCAAGAACTCCGATACAGAACCGCTGCTACGCAATCTCTCCAGCACATATAAAGCTTGTTCATCGGGGGCAGTCCTCAAGAGCTCCAGGGCCTGAAAGAGATCTTTAGAGCCCTTTCTCAGCTCTACCATCTTCTCATGAGAGACCTCGGCACGATATATACATTGCTGTCTTCGGCTCGCGCAGGCCGAACATGTTGGTTTACGACCATCACACTAGAGATAATAAAGTCTGTTACTCATACATGGCACCAATACGATATGACACGACAGGACAAACCTTTGATTTCCGGACGCGGCAGTTGTTGCACGCGACTGATGTCAAGGCTGCCCTGGGTATGTCGGAGACATCGAGGGGCGCGTATTGCGGCTCATGATCTGTGTTTTGAGACTTTCTGGGGAGCAACTGTCGATTAGACTTTTGGTGTTCTTGTGCTCGTGTGGGTTTATTTGAGCTGCTCATGAGAATTTCGATGTCAAAAACGAGTGTAGATTCGAAGGGTTTAGTTGTTCTTGAGAATTTGCCTCCGAGGGGCAAAAGAGGAATGAGATTTTGCTGGGGTCACCTGCCAGTCCCAAAGGAGGAATGATAAGCACTACGCTATAGTGAGTGAGGTACCGTAAAAGATGATTGTGTTGGTTCAAGTAGGCTATTCAGCAGTTGAAACGTGGTAGAGGCAGTGTATGTGTGTCGCATGTCGGCTCCTTTCTGTGCTGGGCTGTTGTGTCGCTGAGAAGAGACTGTCGTGACTGTCTGCATTCCGTGTTCAAAGACCAGGCCAGGCCAGGGTGGACCCCCGCCTCGCATTTGCTCCGGGATCATTTGATTGGTGGATTCGAGTCCGTTTGGACTATAGTCATACGATAGGCTGTTGGTGCATAAGTCTGGATTGGTCATTGTTCCTGGCCATTAGTATATCCCTGCTTTCGCCAGTCGTTGATATCAATCTGACGTCACTTTGGCCTTTGTTCAAAACTCATAATTTTCCACCATCACCACAGATCTTGGTCGAAGGTGTTGTTGTCGAGCTGAGATCGCATCAGATCGGAGGCGGGACACGAATACTAACCGAACAGAGAAAGTAGCCACTTCAGGTCAGTTCAGGTCACTCCACAAGCCGCTTCCTGGCTTCCCCGATTGGACACAGTACGATCAACTGATCATATTGAGTTTTATAACATATCGCATTTTATGGGAAATTGTGGAATTCCATGGCTATATCAATAAATTCAATTCAAAACTTACCGAAATTCTATTTCTAAGACTTACCTTTTAGCTGTCTGACAGCTGCAATACCAACTTGGCCTGAATACATACATCAAGAATAAGACTCCAATCCAGCCTCAAAGCTGAGAGCTAGAATCCAATAATGGAAGGATTCCGTTCTCCCGCATGAAGACCTTGTTGATATGCCGGTTCTTCTCCTCCTCGGTCTTGGGTCTCTTGCTTCTCTTCTTCTTCTTTTCCCTTGAGCCCTCAGAAGCACTGTCCAACGGAATATACGCCCAGGTATCCTGCGATAGGAGACCTTGGGCCTCAGAGTCTTCAGTGAAGTACTCACGGTGTGAACCCCCTAGATGGTTCAAGCCACCATGCTTAGAAGAAGAGGACTTTGAGATTACTCCCTGTGGAATCTCACAGCCAAGCTTAAGGAGCTGTTCCTTAATTAGTTTCATGATCTCCCGAGCTTCGTTGTGTCGCTCCAACAGAATAGCAATTTGTCTCTCTTTAGACGGATCTCCGATACGAGGCATCTTGGCTTGAGGCTTGGTGGGCTCAACAAATTCCATCTCTTCCGTTGCGCTGCTGACCTCTTCAGCCCAATCTTCAATGCTGTCTGCAAGCCTGTGACCTCTGTAGTAGTATTCGACAACGTCTTGGGACATGACGGACATGGTGATTATTTTGTTTTTGCTGTACAGTTGCAGAATGTTTGAGAGAAATGGCTGTTTATGAAGCTCGGGATATGTTGGAGCAAGTTGTGGATTGATGAGGGAATATGCAACTTATGCCAGGTTTATATACTTCATGCGCGCAGTGGAGCCCCCAAGGGACTGGAACAATGAATTCCCATTCGAATTGCTTGCATGTCATTGAATAAAGCGACAACCTTTGGTTGTTCTCTGATTTGGCTGGCTTTGTCTCTCGAACAGTACATTTTCAAGGTTCATGGTTCAGCTTGGTGGCTGAAAGCCCAACTCGTCCCGAAAAACATAAACTTAAGCATAAGTTTGAGAGAACAAGACCCAAACGACACCATTTCCTTCATCAAAGCAGCAGAAGAAATCGGTCACATTGAAAGGTGCATCCTGTTCAATGGAGCCTTTGTCAATCAGGCATCTGGTCTGTGTTACGAGCAAATTTCAGCATCAGCACTAGCTTGGGTGAGATGGCCGAGTTGGTTATGGCGCCAGGTTAAGGTTAACCTTAACACCAATTTCCTGGTGGAGCAATCCTCCTGGGTTCGAGTCCCAGTCTCATCAAAGAATTCTCTTTTTGTAGTTATCCCTGGATAGATATTGCATACTTTTTTGTAATCAAGCTCCTATAGTTTTAATTGACGGCCAGGCGTGTCGAGAACGGCTATCACGGCGCGGGGACGAGATGATGACGCTGGGGGAATCGTTGTCTATAATTTTTACTCTAAATGCAATAAATCTAAACGCTATTTTCACAACAAAATCCATGTAATAACTCCTGCGAAAACAACCAAAGACGAACTGAAAGCATTATGCAACCCAAAATGCGCCGCTAAAGAAACAGGTCTCGTCGAAGGTGTCGGCGTAGAAGAGCTCGCAATGCTGAGGAACGTCTTCTGGTTCGGGGTTGCGGCGTATGCATCCGTGTTGTAAGTCGAGTTCAAAGAGATGCTGCCGACGACCTCATCCGATTCGAGGCGAATATGCGAGTCGATTTCAAAATTCTCGAGACCCTCTTGTGTGACGACGATTTGGCGACCACCTCGGATCCAGTCTCCATAGCCACCGTAGCCGGTATGTTGACCGTAGCAGAGATTGATGCCATTGCCGGGAAGATCCATATCGCCAACCTTATCTTCCCACTTGTAACACCACGAGTTCGCGTGGTCGTGGCCGGAAAAGAGTCCGATGACGCCGGGTGTCGCAACGAGGGCTTGCATCAAGGGCAGATCTTGATCGCTGTAGTCGCAACCTCCCTTCTTGTCTGCGCACCATCCCGCACCTTGCTGAATGACAGTTTCGTCGTTGATACCGGGATGGTAATTCTCATCGATACCATTGTTCTGCAGCATAAGAGAGGCGTACACGGGAATGTGAACAAAGGCCAGCGAAGGAATGTTCTTGCCGTATTCCTCGCGCAGATCAGCATTGGTCTCGTTGAACCATTCCACGACGCTCTTGTCAACCCAGTTAGGCTGAGCGCCGCCCTGGTAGTAAAAGCCACCTCGAGAATCGAAGAACCAGAGTATCAGCTCGGGTGTGCAGTTTGAACTGCAGTTCGATGCGTATACGGGGAGGTAGTAATTTGTTGTTCCGGCATCGCTTCCTGGGACCATTGAATCTGTTCGAGATCCAGGCCATGTATGCTCGCGCTCCAACATGGCGGTTCCGTTGAGGTTGCGATTGTGATCATGGTTTCCATACGTTGAAGCCCATGTCATATTTCGATCAACCATCGGGGAGACGATTTGATCGATGTATACCGTGCTGTTATGTGTGAATGTTGATTCGCCATTGATAAGGTCGCCGTTCAGGACTACCAAGTCTGGTAGCTCTGCATCGATCACGTCGCCCATGACCTTGACGGTCCTGGCGTCTTTCTCGGGTCCTATTGAGGAGGCATCTAGTTCTTGGTCAGCGGCTTTCTTTGTCCCATGGTGGTTTCAATGCCGTACCTTCAGCGAAATGGAGATCTGAAAAGACGGATATTTGGAATGTTCCATCGCTCTTGAACTTCAATGGGTCAAGGTTGCTGTTATCAACCTGGTCGCGCTGAGCTGCAGCCCGTAGCGATTGTCCGGCCAGGAAACTTGTGAGAGCGAGTGATCGAAGCATCATCGATGATTTAGTGATTCGTGAGAGTAGCCTTTTGTATGAAACAGTTTCTCGAATTGGCTCGGATAGTCAGGGGGGAGGTATAGGGCCTACGTCAAAGGCTAGAGAGTGTACAACCATCAAACCTTCGAGAAGGGCGGGAGACATGATGGGTTTTGATAGTTGTAGCAAACACCAAGAAAAAAGATATCAAGCGACTATGACGCGTTGAGATGCTTGGCCAAGCCATGACGCCAAGCCATGATGGGTATCCCATGCTCGCGTGTTGTACTACTCGACTCGGCGTCCGAAGCAATGAATTACGCGGTCACTTGTCAATGATTCGTCTCTCATAATCAACTGTTGGCCTCGGAAACCTAAACCTTAACTTTAGATCCCTTGGCGTGGCTTGGACATGAGCTTCGGCCAATAAGCGCCCTGCAAGTACGACATAGGCAAGTCTTGGCAGGCTCGGTAAGTATGGCAACTGATTTGCCGACCTATCTCTACGGGGTTATGAAACCGCTGACTCGCTAAATCCGACACTGATACTCTACGGATTTTAGCTGTTTGATCACTGCTATTCCGTAAACTGGGGTCGTTTCATGGGAGTATGAGAATTGAAACTAGTTTTGGGGATTTGCATCGGCTGCGACCGACGCATTTTCTTGGTTCTACCTTTTGGTGAGGCTTGGGACCTGAGCGGGCTGACCGGATTTAGGACACCCAAAGGTACCGTACCTTAGCAGCCCGATTCAAAGATCAAGCGCATCACACCCAAATCTGAGTCAGTCTCAGCACATACATCCATGACATCAATTGCCAAGACTTTGCCCTCACTAACAATTTAAGTCGGTATTTGATGAGGCTATGCGAGCCGCGTCACTCTATCAGCAGGCTGCATATGATTTCCAAGCATTTACTCCATTTACCAGAACCGATTGGGATAAACGTTTACGCACTGACAGAAAAATAAAAGGGCGGGGTTATGGTTATTGTAATCATGGCTGCTCTCCCACTCTCCTCCCACTCTCCTCCCACTCGGCCATGGTCGATCCATCATCAAAGAGATGGGGTAGAAACCTTGCCAAGAAGTGCCGAGAAGCAGGGAATCGGTTCACTCGCCGATGAGCCCCGAGGTGAATGCGCGTATATCGCATTGAAGAGTTTTTAAGTTTGCAAAAGGTCATACGATAGCCTCAATTGATCCCTTCTAGAGCTTGGGCGATAATGTCGTCGCAAATTGTTTGGCCCCATACGAGATTACTTGTGCAGCCTGCTGATAACCAGATCCACCATCTTCGGCCCTACCCGGTGTCGCAAACTCTATCATATTGAGATCCATAAGGCATATGCAAAGAAAGAAAGCCTTTACGGTCTTGCCGTTACGAACTCAAACTCTATGAGCGAATACCTTGGCCGAGAGATTGAGTTCCTGCATGCATGCGTTGACTTGAGCCCCAGCCCCTCGATTTATAAGCCTCCGATGCGGTATCGGCGACAACATGCAACAAGCGCATCAGAATGACAGAATATTGAGTAAACCAACAAAAGTCCATTGATCTCATTATAGTACCCAGGTCTTCCGTCGCATTGCAATCATTACCGTCATACATAATTATTTACAGAGAATCAACATCAATCTCCTCATTCTTCCTCTTCTTCCTCTTCGTCCCCCTCGACGTCATACGGAAACAACCATCCGTTATCCTCATCATACTCATCCACAAATGTCGTTCCATGAAGGTTCTCGTACCTCTCCATGTCGAACTCATCATCACCAGCTTTTCCGTTTATGATATTGCCAATCTTATTAGCAATATCTTGACCCTCAGTATACGCGCCGTGCAAGAACCCAAAGAACTCTGCAGAGTTGGCTTCTCCTGCAAACCAGAGGCGCTCAACATTGGCGCGCATGTTTTGGTGCTTCTCAAGAGTCATGCCGACGGGCCAATTGCTGTAGGAGCCATATGCCCAACTGCGTATCGTTAGTCCACGAGTCATTCGACTGTGAGCGGGTTGTTCTTGACTTACGGTTCAGTGCTCCAGCGAGGGTAGGCAAAAGCAGTCGGTGTCGTCACATTCTTGTCGGGAAACATCAGTCTCAAGACATCAAGAATCTGTTCCATCGTCTCATTGTTGGTCTGACGTTCTACGCGCCATGCTTGTTGTCCAGTAACAGTTCCAAAGAGAATGTTGGAACCCGGCGCAAAACCCTCAGGGTTGAGTGATTGGAAGAGAGGGTACCGGCCACGCTCGAGAGGATCGGCATAGAGGAAGAATTGCGTTTGGTTGTCCCAGAAAGCCTCTTCGAACTGCATGAAGATCTTGGTGTACGTGCCCATGGCAAACTGATCAATGGCACTTTGCTTCCAGTCGGGGAGAGGGGGGCTGAACTCGGTGGTATTGCTCTGCAACACTCCTAGCGAAAAGGTGCAGATCGCGTAGTCGGCTTGGATGCAATCACCCTTGTCCGTTGTGATTGTCACGCCGTCCTTTCCGTATTTGATACCTTCGACAGTGGTCTTGAGTCGGAGTCTTGCATCACCTTTCTTTAGGAACGTCTTGGCCTCCTCTTGTATGATGGTACTGAAGCCACGCTGGTCAACGACGAGGTTACTGACATCGCTGAAGTAGCCAAATGTCGCATTACCACCAGCCACTCCAAAGATAAGGCCACTTTCGTCGGGTGTCCAGGCGGATTCAAAGTCCCATTTCCACCAGTCTGCGGCTTGGGCGTGCATGTCATCCTTGTCTGGGCGCCATCCTGCTGAGCGGATGGCAGCACGTACGGAAGTATCTTGCAAGTTGCCGAGCAGGAGACGACCAGCTTCTGCTTCAGCCTTGCTGTAGATCTTCTCCAGGCTTTTGATCGTGCTGCTCCAGTTTGTCTGTCCTTTGTGATCAAATGTCAAGTAGTTGTCGTAATCGGACTCATGCGATTTCAAGTCATACTTCTTTGCCAACTGCCAGATGGGATTCTCATGTGTAGCTTCTGATCCGATACCCTCAACCCAGTTGGCGCCAAACTCAATGGTGTAAGGTTGTCCATCTGCGTTCTTGCCAAAGGATTGTTTCCTCATTCGCCCGCCAATGTAGTCATTATGCTCTACAATTATGAACTGGTCAATGCCTGCTTTTGTCAAGTTTTGGGCTGCTGCTATGCCAGCAACACCGGCTCCGAGGATAGCGACCTTGGTCTTCGTGCAGGACCCTTGCTTGTCCCGTTGAAGGACGGCGGAATGGGCTGTTGTGGATAGGGCTGTGAAAACAGCTGTAAGCTGTGTGATTGAGTGCCTCATCTTGCCGTTTTTGATGGACTATCGAGGTATAGGCAAACGTGGATCAATGGAGGTATCAATGAAGACTGAACGGACCAGAACTGCCAGCACGGCGCTTTGCCCTTTATGTTAAACGAGCTAGTATGTTATCCTGCTCCAAAGATAAACACCCCTCGCTTGAACGTTAATCAAGCGACCGCCATCCATACCAATGTTCAAGACCAAAGGCGCCAATTCCCCTGGAAGTCTCCTAGGCTACGATGCATGTCTTGGTTCAGCTTCTCACTAGCTCAGATCACGTAGCAACGCCAGACCAAGTCGCGATTACCTGTGCAGATCTGGGACCAGCTTCCTCAATAGGCATCTGGAAACTGGTCTAGTGATAAAATTGATTGGCTCCTAGACCACGAGAGAGTTCAGCTGTGGCCTCGACCTCAAGGCCGTATTCTGATCACGGGAGAAGTGTCAAGGGGCCCGGGCTAGCGTGAACTAAAAATCCCGCAATTTTACGAATTGCCAGCGACAGCCAATCCGGTAGTCTGTTGCAGAAGCTTGTTTTTATGTCTAATATCTCTGGTATCTGTCTGGAACATTCATCAAGCTATGTCACTCCCTTGGTTATAATTTCATGCCGAACTGTTTCGGTTATGTGGCTTGCTGAACGGGTGAGCTGACTTAATTCTGCGACATACTCATCTCAATGTGTCAGAACGGCAGAGAGAACAGTCTCACGTGAACTCTATGCCTCGCATTCAATTTCCTTTCTCAGCTTTGACCTCTTGTGCCTTCTTGATTGGGATCTTGCATGAGACTATCGAGCGGTGACTCCGATAGTGTCCGTCGGAAGCTAAGGTCCGGGACCTTGGATCGATGCACATGATAAGTATTGCCCTGAAATAGAATGAAACATATGTAGAGACGGCTCAGGGATTAACAAATCGGGCGTTTGTTATGGACTTCAAAGGCTCGTCGCTGGGTATACGATATATCACATGACGCAATTCACAATCAACCAGTTTTTAACGCGGCTCTGACACATTGGTGATGTTGCAAGACAGTTTAGTTCAAGTCCTGAATAATATACGCTGGCTTCTTCGATGCTTGAGGGCTAACAACAATCTGTTCTCAGAGCCATCGCAACTCTTGTCATGGCTGATGCAATAAACCCTACACTTTCCCGTATGAAGATATCAACTTCATTTCTCACCCTGCATCATCTTCATGAAGACCTAGGAATACTGTCAGTGACTTGGACGGGAATGAAGCAGGTAGGAAAGCTAACATCAGGGTTGATCTCAACACCAGCATTTTGCATTTCGGTCGTCAACTACAATCCCAATTAGCACACAATTAAAGACTCGGACGACAAACATACCGTTGTCGCTGCATCACGAAACTCCTTATCCATCATGAGCTTCATGATGTCCATCTTGCTCGGTGGCCCTGAAGTGGCAAGCCCTGTGCCAGATCATCAGCCGAGGTTGCAATTGGATTCACCGAAGTTTCTTACCCTTGCTCTTGATAATGTCCCCCATCTTCTGCATGGCCTCAATGGCCGGAGGATGACGGCTCAGCTTCTCAAACGTCTCACGAATATGAGGGTCATTCATCATTGATTCGATCTGCTGCATGTTCGGTGGCTGATCGGCAGAGGCGAAGCGACGTGGTGTCACGTGGATCTGACGCGTCGCTACGCGCAGCACAGGGCGGGCGATGATTCGTCGAAGAGCAAACATGATGGGCTGTACTGTTGGTGTTGAAGATGGTCCTGCAATGAGATGAGTGAAGGCTGAAAATTGATGTTGTCGCGAGATGACATCAGGAATCGGCCAATGAACAGCGGGGTTTGGTGGCTTATCTTATCTTATCTCTTCTTATCGCGCCGCTACGCTCCTCCATCGCATCGCCGAAATCGACATCACCTTCATTCTTGTCAGACTTGTCAGAGATGCCTGAAACCAAACTTGGTGGTTCAAACTCGTTATAATTAAGAGCTTATATCTCCCTGTAGCGATTATCTCGGTCTGACTACTCTCGCTATGCTACCGCTTAATGTTCTTTGCAATTGTCTGAAAGACTGAAATGAATGCACTGGTTGTATTTTGGAATCACTCGAAAGCCCTAAAAATTTGAAGCTGTTTACATAATGATAGGTATTCTCAGTTTCTTCAAGCAACTGGAATATGCTAAGCTCGATACTCACGCAGATGCATGATATCATCACCTGCCTCATCAATATGCGTCTGTCCCCTCCGCTTCATCCTTGTACCGCTCTTGACCAGCCGTCCTGGATGAATGATCAAAAACAAGAGCATGACCAGGAACATAAGTGAGGCGTCAAAGAGATAGATGAAGACTTCGTGAGATATGACGAACCCCCCTTGTCCTTGAAGATACTCGACTGCACGGACAATACTGCGAATAATCATGATGATCGTCACAGCCTCGATGGTTCTGAAGTATCGCCGCCACCGTACCAGGGATGAATCCAAGAACGGTCCAGTTTCTTGTCTTATGCGTATGTATAGATACAGCGACGTGAGGATAAAGATACTCAAGGCGCAGAGTTGAACTATCAGACCAGCAATAAGAATAGTTCGGCCTTTAGTGATGGCATCTGGTTCTCCAGAAGCAGGTATGATGGCGCCTATGAATTGGCTGACAATGCATGCGATGTCGATGAGGACGTATAGTTTTGTCAACCATCGAAGACTTATAAACGAAAGATGTTGGGAGTCAAGCGCCGTGGCAACACGCCGAAGACTCATGTAGATCGTCGCGGCTAGGAAAGGTGTTCCGGCGAGGAGAAGGACGTTCTGGAGGATAAAGGGACCTGCTTTATCAGGGGTATCGTGGGCTTGGGCTCGACCGAAGTAACCAAAGATCTCACCTGGATCCGTGTCAGAAGGTACCAACGCCAAGGCTATGGGGTCTACTTACAGATGCCACCGAGGATGAAGGGGATGAAGAACCAGGCTCGAAGGAGGAAGAGGAATACCAGGTGGACTAAAGTTACAATGCCGAAGAGAACAACGAAGGATACGGCGGCAGGTTTGTTGGGCAAGTATTCGAAAAAGACGATCTGAGTCCCGTTGACAACGGGTCCGTAGGGCCCATCTCCGCTCATCTTCGGATACGAAAACTAAAAGAGGGATAACGATATGTATGTGAACAACGACCTCAAGAACGGACAGAAGAATTTGCAGGGGATAATTGAGACTTTTCTGACAAAGGAAAGGCTTCGAGATCAGAAAGATTCTACTGCACGGAACAGACATTTGGGCGTTCTTAAGGAGGTTCTGATGATAATTTTCGTATTCTGAATGCGAATATTCACGAGCTAGCAGTGTTGGTCCCTTGACCAACCCACCAAGATGACGCGGTCAGTGGAACTGGCTCGGATTGAGTGCCATTTACACTCATTGAAACGAGTCAAATTGTGATTAGATCCCCGCTCAGTTATTTTAAGTGTATTTCCGTTCTGTGTCATCACTCTCCGAGAGATTGTGGATGAGGCTCAATGCGCATTGGAGCTGCTCCCACTGCGATCGCCTGAGAGCAACAGTGGGGCCGGCGTGAAAACCAAACGCCACCCTGTTGCAGAACTATGCAATCATCACCAGCAAAAGGTTAAAGGACTCAGACAAAGTGCAAAATGGCAAAAATAGATGCCTCGCTATTGCTCGCAATCGTTTTTATAGGAACAGCCCGATGCGGGGGTCGAACCCGCAACCTTGAGATCGCGTACTCGTAAGAGTCTCACGCTCTACCGATTGAGCTAACCGGGCGTGGCTCTGATTGGTTGCTTTTCGAACCACCAGTGAGGCTTCAGTTGCGTTCCCCTGAGGCAGACCAGTGCAGCCTCCAGGGTAGGGTACCGGCAATTGACTTCTGGGATCTTGTGTGTTGTGTTTAAGCATGCCTGCCTCCTTGGTTGGTTGTATTATTGGAGCGGGCTTGGGAAGCTATTCGTAAAGAGTCGATTTTTAATCACTTCGACATTGTAATTCCTCTTTGCCTTGTTTCAACGTGAAATAACTTTTTCTGCGATCATGACAAACCTTCTCAATCGAAGGACACAACAAATGACCACCACCACCAAACCCGGAATCAACCAAAAACTACGCAACGAATAAACCTACTTGCTATTTATTCCTTATTATCATTCATTCTTCTAGCTTTGATCAATCAGTGAATTCGTATTTTGTGACCCTTCTATCATGGGAACTCTGGCCTTCGAAATGTAGTGTCGGGGCCTGGAACATCTCGGAGCAAACGGTGCGGGCGACGGATCGGTAACGGGGAAATTAGACCCTGCTCCCCAGCGGCGCTTTTCATCCCCGAGTCCACTTTTGGTGCCAGTTTCTTGAGCTCCACTGAAGCGGGCAGTGTCGTTGATTACTGTTGTTGCCGTCTGAACATCGCCAAAAGGGAAGACAAAAGGATGAAGTACAAGCCCTTCGAGATTGAAAAGGAGAATGACTTGAGTACTGAAAGCTCGTTCAATACGAATATTTGACGAGAATTATTTAATCCGGAGAAACTCTCGGCAGTGTTGTTGACGCCATCGAGTGGCCCTCGCACGCGTTCAAGGGACAGACCAACTGACGAACTAGTCGACTTGATCAGCAGAGCCACCATTTCCAGAAGGACTACAATTGCGGCCTTAATGGTAATGCCAAGCCCAAATTGCGCGAGTAAGGCTGATCCCTTTATCGGAAGTCATCTGTTTCATGTCTCATTGCAAACCCTTTTCCATGTTGACCCACTGAGCTCCGCGGGACATCGGCAGAAGATGCAGCGGAGATTTCGTGTTTTTGAGCCAATGCCATGTTGGAGAGATTCGACATATCCTCCGAGAAATTGCACCATCGCCTATGCGTTACATATATGGTTGGAAAACTACACTAGACAGGTATATGCCAGACAATCTGTACCATTGCACCATTTAATCCTCAGCGCACGATATACAACAATGGATCTTAGAAAATGTCCCGAACTACTTATATACCGAGCTTGGCGCACCTATAGGCTGTATGTAGTTGACCGAGTACCGACACATTTCGCATCTCGGGCCTGGAAATATGGCAGACAAGAAGCCAACCACGATCGACGACCCGATCATTACGGCGTCTGACTCCGATTACGACTACGGTTCAACACAGAAGCGTGCCTACTTCACCGGCGACACATTTGTATCTGGAGGAGCTACAGAGCTGTACAAGCCTATTCCAGAATATGAAGGCATTCATCGATATGACCCAACTGCCGAATGGACGGAAAAGGAGGAGAGGAAACTAGTCAGACGGGTAAGCTCATCCCCTGTTGGCGACTTGATGCCATACTGACCTGCTTGGTGCCTTCCAGTTAGACAAGAGAATCTGCTCTTGGGTTTGCCTCATGTTCTTTGCGCTACAACTCGACCGTGGCAATATCTCACAGGCTCTGAGCGATGGCATGCTCGACGATCTTGGCCTCAACACTAACGACTACAACTACGGCATGATGATCTTCTACCTCTGCTTCTTGTCTGCAGAAGTCCCATCACAAATGATCTCCAAAAAGCTCGGCCCTGATGTTTGGATCCCCATTCAGATGGTGACATGGAGTATCATCGGTATCTGCCAAGGCTTTGTCCAAGACAAGCAAAGCTTCTATGCGACTCGCGCTCTGCTGGGACTCATCGAGGGAGGGTTCATCCCAGATGCGCTGCTCTACCTCTCGTACTTCTATACCAATAGGGAGCTTCCAATGCGCGTCGGTTTCTTCTACTGCGCTTCAAATGGTACTTTCATTGTCGCCGCATTTCTGGCATATGGCATCCTTCACATGCGCTCGGTCGGAGGCTGGGAAGGTTGGCGCTGGCTGTTTGTCCTCGAGGGCACTCTGACATTCTTCATCGGCGTGGTGTCTTGGTTCTACCTACCACCCGGTCCAACACAAACAGCTAGTTGGTTCCGTGGTAAAGACGGTTGGTTCACTGAGAAAGAAGAAGTCATCATGGTCAACCGTGTCTTGCGTGACGACCCTGGCAAGGTAAGTGAACTCCGTACCTTTACCCACTCTAGCAACACTGACATGGCGGAACAGGGAGGCATGCATAACCGTCAAGGCCTTACACTCAAGCTCCTCTGGGATGCACTCATGGACTATGACCTCTGGCCGCTATACATGATCAGTTGGACCATGCTGATTCCAACAAACCCCGTCACTGCCTATCTTACCCTCAACCTGAAGGCCTTAGGATTCGGCACCTTTGAGACGAATCTGCTGACCATTCCGGGATATGTTCTTTTCCTGGCACACTTGATCCTTATCTCTTGGTATTCAGAAAAGATCAACAACAGAATGGCTCTCTTGCTCTACTATTCGTTCTGGTGCTTCGTGTTGCTCTTAACTCTCGAGCTGCTTCCCGAAAACGCTAGCCCTTGGGCGTGGTATTCAGCAACAATCTTGATGATTGGATTCCCTTACATCCACTCAATCAACGGTATGAACAAGATTCTCTTTTGGTTATGTTCCTTTACTGACAGTTCTGCAGTCAGTTTGACATCGAGAAACGCTGGTTCTGTTCGCACCCGAACAGTGGGCAGTGCCATGTACAACATGATTTGCCAAGCAAGCTCTGTAATCTCATCTCAGGTTAGTCTAAGATCACATTCATCGCTGTCTCAATCGTGGCTAACGAAACGCACAGATCTATCGTGATGATGACAAGCCTCTGTACCGACGGGGAAACAAAGTTCTCCTTGCACTTGTTGGTTGGAACGTGGTGATGACAATTTTCATCAAGGGGTACTATATATGGCGAAATAAGACTCGAGAACGCATTTGGAATGCTATGTCGGATGGAGAGAAGGATGAGTATCTGAGGACGACCAAAGATGAAGGCAATAAGAGGCTGGACTTCAGATTTGCTCATTAGGGTTAGACAATGCCAACATAGAATAGAACCAGAACTGCCGTTTTGGAGTACGAAATATGAGATTCCGAAGCCATTGACCGAGAAATGTTAGCATCCTCTAGCCTTTGAGAAGGCTGTAAAACTGAAAATAATTCATACAGAGAAGCATCCCTATAAGTATGGCTTTGTACCTATCGTAGGCCCAAAACCCAAGGACGGGGCAAAGAACAGCCGAAAACACAAAAGGACCTTTATCCCTCATGCCTGCACAGCAGAACAGTCATCAGACCGATATTCTTCTGACCTTTGCTCATCACCTCGAACAGAAACATTGATGTCCAAGTGCTTTGTTCCAAACACACCGGATTCCGTGCTCTCACCTCTGTTCAAAGGGGATCGGCCAGGAAACAATAACTTACTCTTATTTAACAACCCTCTTTGTTATCGGTGATCAGATAGACAAAAAGAAACAAGCTGCAAAATCTATCTAGAACCTGTGAACACCTTGGATGAGATCCTGATACATGACACAGAACCGTAGCAGCTTCGAACTATAATAAGGGAACCAGATTCGCCTGCCGATTCTTCATTTCGACTCATCTCAGCTTTTCAACACTAAGATTTCCAGCTAAAACCAACTCATCACTTCTACCAACTCCAAAAACGTTCTTCCAGCTTCCAACGCCAAAATGGAGTCTATTTGGAACAAGTTTAGCTACGACAGAGCAGCCGTCATCGAAGATGCGTTCTCGATCGTAATGAACTACGGCCAACAAGAGTGGTTGAACGCTGCCGTGAGTCAAACAGTTGATGACATCGTGTTCTCTCTCGGAGGAGACGAGGGCTTGACATTCGTGGAGTTTGAGATCCTGGTTGCGTATGCTGCTCGCGTCGACCCAAGAACCCAGCTCGCGTTCCTCGACAATCTTGTCGACATTATTCGAGCTTCTCGTGGCATTGAGTCTTTCTCCAAGTACGATCAACGATTTCTGGATTTTGTTGTGGGCATCCACAATGGCCTTACCGTTGCTCGTGGGACAAACCTCGGCCTGTATGTCCCACCAGGTTTGTCAGATGCTAACATCACCCAGCATGTTCGTTGTCAAGGGCCGGCCCCCATTGAATTAATGCAGGCTCCAAGCGGCGAAACTACTCGTACTTGGAAGTCTGAGTTTGAGGAGGTCAGCGGAGCAGGTAAGTACGCCCGTTCGGTCGTTGAGACTGTTACTGGAGATGCATTTATGTCTGGCGGTGCTTACAGCACTATGTCGACGACCTCGAGTTCGTTCACTCCATCAAGTGCGTTCATGCTTGATACCCGTGAGGGATCGATGGATATCAACCCGTCTGTTGAAGACTTTGCAGAGATGACTCCTGAGCGTGGACTTGGTGACGGACGCTTCTGCAGCACCTTGGAAGGCGTGTCGGACCTGAAACTTGAGCCTGAAGCCCTTGTCAATCTGCAAGCCAGTGACTGGGATGGCTTTTATTCGGGTGTTAGCTTATAAGAAGCGGTCTAGTGTTGGATGGCAGGTGTTTGAGAATACGACTGTAGACATAGGTAGATAACAAAGCAAGTTTGGATGTACGATTTGGGTTTGCTTTCTATAGAAATGGTCAGAAGACTTGAAAATGAGCTGATTTTATTAATTTATTTATTCTTGACCCGTATATAATCCTGGACTTTGTCCTTCGTGCATTGCGTGGCAGCTGCTGGGATGGTCGATGAACTTGGTGACAAGGACAAGAGTCAATAAGCCCTTACAACACTACATCGTGCCGGACATTCTACAGCTTGAACTATTGATTGTAATAACGATGTAAGATTTAAATAAAGATAAAGCATGTGGCTTATGCCTTGTATTCGGAATTGTGGGTGGCGTTGTTTCAGTAACCGAAAACGGCCGGACCAAAAACATCATGTCAATCACAATGGTACAAGTCTGCAATTAGCTAGCACCAAATCCCTGCCGCTTGAGATCTGTGCATCGCAAACCAATGTAATAAAATTCAATATAGCCCCTCTGCGATTGCACGTGGCACAAGACGCAAACAGGATGAATGGGAGCCATGTCTCGGATGCTAGCAGCTGCCTAACCAATGCCTCAAAGCAGTTCAGCATCTCCTAGACGACTAGATGTGATACAGTGACTTATAAGAGGTGATTATAAGTATCAAGATCCTCAAAGAACTACGTTCCGCACATTCCAACATCGCTCTCTATTGCCGCTCGCCTTGACATGTCCCGTCTTCGGCTCGTCACTTAACATCAGCTTCGTGTCACAATGAAGTCCACGATCCCTTTTCTTATCATCGCCCTTGCAGGTTCAGGCTTTGCACGCTGGTACAAGCGCGATGAATGCGCAACTGCGTGTACTGACGCATATAACTCATGCCGAGTTGAACCAGACGCCAGCCAAGCATTCTGTGCGGAGGATTACGAAAGATGTCTCGGATTCAATCCATTCTTGGGCTCAAACTCAATCAACGCTCCGACAGCATGCTCAAGAGGCGCTACAGGGGCTTCTAGCACGGCAGCTGTAAAGTCAACCACTGTTCTCAACACACGTTCAGGCACTTCCAGCTCTTCAGCACCCGCATATGGCGGGAGTTCATCTTCTACTGTTGGTGCTGACACCATGACTCCCGCTGTCAGTACAGACACAAGTATACCTGAAACATACGACTGCGTTACCGAGTGTAACGATGACTATAACACCTGTCGTACCGCACCAGACGCCAATATGGCCAGCTGTGCTGCCCAGTACGCCCAATGTCTCGGGTACAACCCTTTCAATGGAGGGGGTTCACTGGTTACTCCTACTGCTTGCTCTGTCCCTGCTTCTGTCACCACTCAAGTGACCCAGTCGAACTCAAGCCCACAGCAATCACATATGGCTTCACAATCTGAAGCCCCTCAGCCTGATACAACAGCTGGACCGGCGACCTCTTACCAACAACCAATAGCTACCTGCAATGCTGGTACATGTATGGATGGTACTACAACTGATGGTGGAACTCCAGGAATGGCGACGGAGCCCCCAGTCATTGTTGACGCGGCTGGAGATGTCAAACCTTGGATAGGCTTTGCGGCTTTGGCAATTGCTGTCGCACTTTAAGGCTTGGCTGACAAAATTACCCAACACATTCAGCTCTTGTATTCAACTTGCTACAGCATGAATGCTGATAAGAACAAAACCTAGAATAAGACTCTTTCGTCCCCTGAGGGGGTAGAGGATGCCTCCAATGCGTCGTGCTGAGTCGGGTCCTCTTGTGTTTCCGAGCTTTCAAAACCTTTGGTAGTTGAGACGTTTTTAATTGTCTGCGAGGCGCCATCACTTGGTTGATGTTGGTCGCATGATACAAAGATTCGCCAAGTTGGTTTTGTTTGGTGTTTGGGTGAAGCTCTCTCCGGAAGTTGGCCCACTAACAGTTGAGAGGTGGCCCACTCAGTGAATTCATCGCTACCATGAGATAAAACGGAGAACTAGTTTAGAAACTTTCCTTTGTGCTGCTTTACCAGCCGGAAGCCATCTTATATTTTGACCGAGAAATGTACCTCCGACCTGCCATATCGTCTTTGTTTTAACTGAATGTTCCCATGCTCAGTCTCATTGGCAGGCAAACATCATTAATCAGCGTGTGGAGACAAGCAGTGCGGAAGACTAACCGTAACGAGTAGCATCTCACCCGCAATCTGATCTATAAGCAGGCTTCGCTATCCGCAAACAACCATGTGTTTACTGTGAACAGCAAAAGAGTTCCGAAGTCTTCCTCGTTAATCCAATCATGAGCCGGCTAGGACTGACCCGATACGAGGTGAAAGCCTGCAAGGCCTGTCAATCGTCCAAGAGGAAGTGCACCAAGCAGCAGCCCAAATGCCGCCGTTGCGACCTTCGAGGCTTGGACTGTCTCTATGAGCCTTTACCTAATACCTTTGTCTATCAAGCTACACAGAACTGCGGGGGACGAGCCTCCCCGTTGGCAGCCTTTCCAGAGGCACGATTGTTGCAGTCAGGCCAAGGTGACAGTTGGTCTGAGCTGGTAGACATAGAAGTGGAGAGTCATCAAAACACTCCGGGTACTATCTCATTAGAAGATTTGAAGGTGGCTTGGTTCCTTGATCCAGATTCCTGGAGGACAGTTCCGATTCAAGAGTCGAATAGGGCGCATCTCACGACGGACATGATTCGGGGGCTTTTATACCAAACAAGAGACTGGCTGAGCGATTGGACAAGAAGCGGAAGTAATGTGTTTGTGCATCATGAACTCTACAGAAACAGTCTCCCCGACTGCATTAGTGATGCTTTCACAACATTGTCATCATATTTGTCAAGGACACCGGAGACCAATGAGATGGTGCTCCGGATCGCAGAGCAGAACGCCGAGAGGTTATTAGTGTCTGAGGACGGCAGAAGAACAGCTGGAGACACTCTGAATAGCCTGAGTCGTGTACAAGCACTCCTGGTTTATTGCACGATCCGATTGCTGGATGGTGATCTGCGCCAACGTCACAAAGCGGAGCAGCATCTTCAAACCCTACAGGATTGGACGAAAGAAATGATGAATGATGCCCTCAAGGCGACTAATAACGGAGATATGATTATGAAGAACCATCTCACGAATGTAAGCCCTCAATATTTCACATTACCGCTGCTCCTGGGCCAGTTCTCTCCTGAGCAACTACTCTGGCATTCGTGGGTACTGTCAGAGTCTATTCGAAGGACATGGTGTGTATCCATGGGCCTTCAATCAGGCTATGAGCTGCTGAAAACTGAATCTGGTCCCTGTTACGGGACCTTGCCCATCACCACGAGAAAGGGGCTTTGGGAAGCGAGGTCGGCGTTCACTTGGACAAAGATGTGCGCGGAGAGCAACATAGGCTTTATGTGCAGGAATGATCATGAGAAGGCCATGATGGATATGGAACCCGGAGATATTGACGACTTTGCGTTATGTATGATGGAATTAGATATTGGTCCTGACAGGATAGCGAGGTGGAGATCTGAACGAGCCGTATGAGATGAGCAGAATAGAAGAACTTTGATTCAGCACTTTAGAAAACCATAATGTGTAAGTAGGATAGTGGAGGAAGAATATGGTGATGTAAGTCCAGGTGGTTCTTCCGCTCTGGCTTGCGGATTGCTTTGTTATCACGCCCCACACATCCGCAACCCTCCGCTGGCTGAGTAAACAACAAGAGTGGAATACATCTATAAACAATCAGATATTTAAACACGATTATACGCTTCCTGTTCATCCTAAACTCTCCACTTCTATATCCCAACAATAATCTCTACCCTCTCACCCCAGACGACATGGCAAGACAGTGGATACTCAACGACCAGCAGGGCTTTGAGACCTCGCTCAAGTATGAGACAAATGTGCCCATTCCATCGCAAGATGAGCTCGGCCCCAATGATGTTCTAGTGAAACTCAATGCAGCCAGTCTCAACTATCGAGACCTCGTCATTGCTGCATCAGCTGTATGTATCTAGATGTCCAGAGATGTCGACTTTGACATCAACTGACAAAGTTTAGCAATTTGGCCCCATCACCCCACCTATGGTCCCTCTCTGTGACGGAGCGGGCTTAGTCGAAGCCATTGGATGTTCTGTCAAAGACTACAAGCCTGGTGATCGAGTCGTCACTTTTCCTGCACCAAACGTGGTGGTGGAGAGAGGAAGCGATGCTGATGTCAATATGTCTGATGTGCCAACCATGCTCGGTCTGGGTACCAAAGGAACGCTTCGAACCCATGGAGTATTCTCGGAAGGGGCTCTTGTTCATGCGCCGGAGTCTGTTGACTGGCTTCAAGCTGCTACTCTCCCCGTCACCTACATTACAGCTTGGAATGCCCTCTCGGAACTAGGCAAAGACCAAGTTGGACCGCACACCTGGATCTTGGTTCAGGGAACTGGAGGCGTCAGCGTGGCAATGCTGCAACTAGCGTCGTCTCTCGGACTCACAGTCGTGGCGACTACTTCATCTCAAGAGAAGGCAGAGAAGCTGAAAGGGCTTGGTGCAACTCATGTTGTCAACTATCGCGAAAATCCTACTGGCTGGGGCAAAGAAGCGCGATCTTTGACGCCTAATGGAGCAGGCTTCGACATGATCGTCGACATCGGCGGTAATGAGACACTCAAGCAGTCACTCGAAGCAGTGCGCCCTTATGGGTCTATCCAAGTCGTTGGTGCTGTTGCGCAAGACACCCAGGCCGTTCCCATGATGGGGGCTCTCATGTTCACGTGCACTATTCGTGGGTTCCTCATGGGTAGCCAGAATCAGTACAAGGAGCTTGTGCGATACATTGATGAGAAGAAGCTCAAACCTGTATATGATAATGCGGTCTTTGAGCTGGCAGATGCTAAGGAGGCTTACAGGAAGCTGAAGGAGCAGAAGCACTTCGCTAAGGTCGTGATCCGCATCGACCATGACTAGATCTGACGTTGGGAGAACGAGTTGGAGCTTTCGAAAGAATCAGGTTCGGGAATCTTTTGGGATTACAATTACATATCGAGAAGTATGTCTATCATTATTGAATCATATGGGATCTATTATTCCATAAGTGGTCGATATCGGGTTGTCAGAAGACGGGCTTTGTCTCATCTGTGAATAGCCATTCGATGGCAGTCGACCCGTGTCCTAGTCTTCAAAACGTTGATTGCCGCGGCCTTGGTTCTTGAGGTCAATCTCCTCAAGGAACATTGACGTCAACAGCCCCAAAGCACCCAAGCCTGCCATTGTGTAGAAGATCGTGCGGAAACATTCGAGGTACACTCTTAGTACCTCATTGAGTGTTCCTCGAGAAATGCTCAAGGACCCGAGTTCTTTGATGAAAGCAACGGCTTTTGAGGCGTCTTCCAAAGGTGCAAGAGGCCCTGTAAGCTGCAAAGAGCTAGAGGCGATAGTCTTTGCAAAGACAGTGTTGAATATTGCAGAGGCGATGGTCAAACCGATCAGCCCTCCAAACATGCGAATCGTGAGGAACTGTCCGATTGCGACGCCTGTGTCGTCGACATTCTTGACGCTGGCTTGCATCGGTAGAAGGTTTAGTCGCAGAAGAGCAACGCCTGTTCCCCAGATGACGGGGAGTCCAAAAAGCATCGGTGAGGGTGAACTGAGATTGAAGAGTGCCAGAATACCAGTACCAAGAGCCAGCAATGCCCATGAGAATCGCAATAGCCAGGTATAACCTCCAAACCATGGCACCATCATCATGGAGATTACTGCAATGAATACACTAATGATGGAAGTTGGCAACAGGAAAACAGCTGACCTGATCGGCGTCTCCAGATATACTGCTTGATAAATCAGTGGCAGGTATTGAAGTAACGAAACAAGGATGGCTCCGTGAATGAAACCTCCGAGCAATGTCATGTTGGCAGTGATGGAATGGAACAATCGATGAGGCATAATTGGTGCAGCAGGCTTCGCTTCGTAAAAGACGAAAGCAACAAGAACCAAGACTCCCAGGATCATCGGAACCAATGTCTGCCATGCAGCCCATGGAAATAAGGAGCCAGCCCAACTGAGCGGCAACACGAAAACTGTGATACCAGAGACAACAAGGCTCATTCCAATCCAGTCAAGGCGTTCAATGTTGCTAGCAAGTGAAGCGTCCATCGTGACAGGCCGTAACTTGAGAAAGAAGAATACCAACGGCGTTCCAATTGCAAGAATGGGGAGATTGATCCATCCGATCCATCGCCAAGTGGCGTACGTAGAAAACAAAGCTCCGACAGATGGCCCGAGAATATTGCCCACTGCATTGGGAATACCCATCAAGCCCAAATATTTCGATCGTTCTTCGAGTGTTGTCATGTCCGCGAGAATGACCTGAATAAGAACATCGATGCCGCCGCCGCCAAAACCTTGGAGTACACGACCTACGATAATGGTCTTCATGTTTTGAGCGACGGCAAAAGCGATGGATCCGATAAAGAAGAGACAAATGCAGACATAAAGAGGTGGTTTTCGGCCGAATGCGTTTGATATGCTTGCCCAAACCGGCTGCATCACCAGACCGCATAGTGTATAAGATAGGTTGGCCCAGAAAGACTCTAGACTTGAGCCTTTGAGATCATTGGCTATTGTCTGGCACGAATGTCAGTACAAAAGCTATTATCAGAGGAGTACGAAAGCTGAGGATGATCTTACCGGCAGTGCAATGCCAAGTGCTGTTGCATCTACTTGGAATACGAACAGTGTAGCAGACAACCCAATGAAAGCCAATTTGAAGGCTAGAGACTTCTTTTGCTTTGACTGACTGCCTTCATCGTCTGGCAACGCTTCCGCATCCTTCTTCGATGAGTTTCTATTAGCGTTTTTTAATGTCTCGAGTTCGATGCCATGAGTTTGCTGTACTGGAGATGCAGAGATCTCTGGACTGCTTATTCTGGCGTCCGATTGTTCCATCTCGAGCACTTCACTAAATAAATCTAACAAGATCCATCAAGTTTATCGCGAAGACAAAACTGATGCCAATGCGATTGCAAGAAGTGTCACGTGCTGTGATGAGGCCTCCTTGAATCTACTGCAAGGGGTTTAGCTGAGGTTCCTGAAGGATCGAAGGATCCATAATATCCGGGTAAAACGGAATGAAGCAACTGATAAGATATGATCGTTCGAGCACCATAATCCCAGTCCCAGCTTACGCTGAGACCAATCGTACTGGGATCTTGAAGACTCATGATTTCATGCTATGTCCATCTTATACATATTGCATATAGAATTTGTATCTTCTTGAAGGCTCGGGCGCTGGCAAATGGCTAGGTAAGACAAGCAAACTCGCCAGTCGCTTCGCTCGCTAGTGCTTACGGGTCATTTCCCTACAGTTCCACCGAGTGTAACCACGAAACACCAAACAATGGCCTCGCGGTATGCCTTGGTAGTTCAGAAGAGAACGAGAAGTAGTGTTCCAAGGAGGAAGACAGGATGTCAAACATGCCGGTTAGTATAGTTCTCGGTTTTGCTACTAGTGATTCTCATATTAGAGAAGTAAAAAGGAGATAAGCCACTAACATCCCAGCAGCAAAAGAAGGATAAAGTGCGACGAGAGTAAGCCAAGTTGCGCGAAATGTCTTCGATCGGGATGGAAATGCGACTACAGTGCTGTATCGGCCTCACCAACCTCTTCCAAGAGTGACTTTATCCCATCTATGACATTAGGATCATCAGCTCTATTGCCCATCGCCAGCTACTCCATCCCTTTCAAAATTCCCGGAAGCCAGAAAGACCGAAGACTACTCCACTACTTCTGTGTCCAAGGATCGAATGACATATCTGGGTTTCTGTCATCGGACTTCTGGTCTCAAACTGTGCTCCAGGCTGGACATGAAGATCTAGTGGTGCGGCAGGCCTTGGTTGCAATGAGCTCCCTCCACCTGGACTATACATCGTCAAGTCCTGACAGAAAATCAGTAGCCAGTCCCGAGACCTTGAGTCTGTACGGCAAAGCTCTGCGATCACTGGGGAAGCGATTAGTTCAACCATCAGACGGCACAACAAAAACTGCTTTGGTCTGTTGCATTTTATTCTATTGCTGCGAAAGCACCATCGGTGACGGCAATGCCGCACTCCAACATCTCGGCAATGGCCTCAAGCTCCTTGTGTCAGCTCAACGCAACCAGACTGCCGACGAATCTACGGACATCAAGAGCTTGACAACTATCTTCGAGCGTCTCGACATGCAAGCCAGCTTCTTCGAGGACGATCGGATACCAATCCTTGCTTTACCAAAGTACAGATGTGAAGAGCCACATGATGGTACATTGCCGCTGCGGAAAGGGATCCTCGGGCTTCAAGATGCTCAGCAGCGACTGGTTAAACTTCAAGCATGGTTATATCATTTTGTCAATAAGAACGTCGAATTCTATCAGGAAATGAAAGAGTCGCTGAGCCTGGACATTTTGGAAGAGAGGTCATCTTTGGAACAGGGTTACAATGCCTGGATCGAAGACATCAACGAATTCGAGAACAGAGATCAACACGACGACCAAACCTTGCACGGAATTCGGACACTTCTGGTTCACTTCTACGTTTGCCGAATGATATTGCAGTCAAAGTTCCCTCAGGATCACAACGTGTTTGGCGCTTCGCCTAATCCAAACGCTCATCACATACTCGACCTGGCTGAGACCTTGCTCGAGCATACTATACAGGTTAACGCCTCTCCCATTGCTACCAAGACTCCGCGACGCAATTTCTCGCTGGAAACGGGAGTCGTGGCTCCACTGTTCGCACTGGCGATCAAGTGCTCAGACGATTCGGTGGCTACAAGGGCTGCTCAAATGCTTGCCTCATCACACCGAAGGGAGGGTCTGTACGATGCTCAGACCATGTCACATATCATTAATGAACTGAAAAGATCACGGGATGGTGTCACACGGATCAAAGAGGAGATTGGAGGCGGTATCGAAGCCGTGAGTCCATTAGAATACCATATACCTGAGCAGTACGAAGGCGGTGGGATAGACAAGCTTCTTTGGTCAATGAGTCTTTGAGAGTATTCCGTTCGAGGCCCCTTCAAGCCACGGAAAAGCAGTATTAGATACGAGATGACGCAATGAGGTTTACTGACAGAAGCCAACTGTTTCCCAGTCCTGTCGGGCTGCAATCACAATGGGGTTCCTAGCTGTGCGGCGTGGCTGAATGGTCGTAAGCCCTAGTACGAAATGAGAGTATTCTGTTTATTTGTGAGGCCCAGACAAGTTCCGGCCTTGCCTGGAGCCATAGATTGACAACTGCTTCTTACTGGTGTATTAGTGATGCTGATTTCCCCCTGGCCGTGAATGATATGCATGGTCCAATAAGGAGGGCCACTGTGGAGGAACAAGGCTGGCTGATAAGGCAGACCCTTCAGGAGTCAACCAGCGGCTGGTATCAGCCCAACTGCGGGGAAAGCCTGGATAATCTGACTTGTGACTTCTGCACAGCCGAGCAATGTTCACATAATAAATGAATATATTGGCCCAATACATGTCGCAAAGGCCGCTTTCACTTGCAGGTCATCTTAGACTCAGTTGTGGGTTTGGTACTTCGAAGTTCATTTCAACGTAACCTCTGGCTTCATCATTAAACATCCCCCGTTGTTGAAAGCAACAACAATGGCAGCCAGCACAAATGTCGGAGAGAATGGAGACACAATTATCAACGCCTGTACATACCACAGGATGGAATTCGACAGGGTCCTGATACGGACGAATGAGCGAAAGCTCGATGCACCATTTCTGCTGTCTACCTCGGATACCACCTCGTCGTCAAGCCTCGGTATCTTGAGCCGCCTGCCCGAGGAGTTGATTCTCATGATACTTCGCGAACTTGACATTCTCTCGTATCTGCGTTTTCGGGGCGTCAATAACCGTGCGCGCAGCATAGCGACGGCATCGCGCGAGTACAAAGCTGTGGTGAAGCATGGACTTCAGGGACTGAAACCATTGCTCAAGGCAGAGCTGGGACATGTCTGTACCATTGCTCACTTCTACCAGACGCTAGTCAGTAACAAGTGCGAGTTCTGCGGAAAGTTTGCAACGTTTCTATATCTTATTACTTGCCAACGATGCTGCTTCACTTGTCTGCAAATCTCTGTCGACCTGCACGTTCTCCCTGTCCCGGTACCCAAAGCGTTCGCGAAAGCAGTGAACTGTTCAAGTAAGGAGATCGAAAAGATCTGTGGACCTAAACTTCGAGTGGTCTATGGAAAATACTCTCTACAGCCATGGCCAAACGTTAAGAGACCCAGATACCTTGTACAAGCCAAGCCTGTTGTTGAGAAGCTCAGGTCTCTTGGCTCTTCTCCAAGAATCCCAAAGTCGGTACTATCACATCAACCGCAAAGTCAATCTCACGACGAAATAAGACATGACTTTTGCTACCGGTATATGGCTGCTGCTGCTTTACCATGGTATGATTTGAGTAATGACAGGATGGAACCAGGGATGAATTGCAAAGGATGTCAATTTCGCGTTGAAGAGTATGAACGCACGAACAGACGTCTGGACCCACCATGGGGTTTCAATGATAGGGATCGGGTGTACTCAGGGGAGGAGTTCTTGTGCCATTTCGGATCTTGTACGTATGCCCAGAAAGTATGGGCTGACACACAAGAGAAACGAATGGCTCCAGAATCAGATTTCACTCTCCGGGGCGGGATTGTGCTGCATTATGAACCCAGACACGAACTTCATTGACCTCGCCGTGAATAAATATGGACCATGGCGAGGGTGTCCCGGAAGGCTTGTAGGATCTCCCCCGTCATTCTCCATATATGCTCGAATATTGCATTGTGTCAGCCATTTCATTGTAACAATCACATATCAAAGGCAACAGTATAATAGTTTAGTAGTTCAAAACCTGAGGCTACAGTTCTTCAAACATACACATTGAGATCCAACGCCATATAGCAACATTACAACTACCAAGCCTTGACGGAAGCTTGTCTCCTGAGCTACGTACGTGGCTTCCTCATCCATAATATAAACAAACGCATTCAGGCATTCTTGAGGGCCTTGTGGATCTCGTTCTTATATCTGGTGTTGATAGCCCGCCGGTTCAGCTTTTGAGTAGCAGTGACAAGGCCCTGTGTAATTAAGTCAGTAGCATTCACGTGTCGGACGATGGGTGAACTTACGCTTGCCGGAGTCCATTCCTCTGGCGTTATAACTATGCCAGCAACAATCTCAGCACTCGATAGACCACCGCGTTTCCCAGCTGCTTGCAGATCCTTCAACAAAATCTCCTGGATTCGAGGATCACTGTGCATGCTGTGCTCATCAACGCCCATCTCCCGTGCCATATGGAGAAGAGAGGTCTCGTTGGGCATCACGACAGCAATAGGTCGAGAGTGGTCAGAGTCGGCATAAACCATGACGTTCATGATGCCCTGCACGCCGCGGTAGATAGCCTCCAGCTTTTCTAGGGCGACATACTCGCCGCTGAGTAACTTGACCAGGTTCTTGATGCGATCGATCACGCGAAGATGGCCATCGGTATCGAACTCGCCAACATCTCCTGTTTTGAACCAACCATCTTCAGTGAAGCTTCTCTTGGTTTCTTCCTCATTCTCATAGTATCCCAGCATAACGGCCCCACCTTTGATCAGGATCTCACCTTGCGGTATCTTCGTATCGGCAGAGTAACCGAATTCGGGGACAGATATCAACTTAACCTCGATGGACCCTGGAATTGTACCGATCGAATGGAGGGTGAACTCAAGGGGGGATCCCAACGATCCGTTCGCACAGGTTTCAGTGAGACCATAACCTGTGAACATCGGAGCAAGAACGAGGGACAGGAAGTGCTTCGTCGACAGAGAAATGGCACTTCCACCATTGAAAAGAAACCGGATTCTGCCGCCAGTCATCTCTCGAACCTTGCCAAAAACGATGCTGTCAAGCAGACAAGCACCAGGTAGCTTATGTTTGACCATGAAACTCTTGTATGCAAAGGCACGCCAGAACAAGGTTCGCAGAAGCACGCTTGCGTTGAGCCGAGTCATGACACCTTTTCTAATAGTCTCGTAGACTTGGGGAACACCGGGCATAATTGTAGGCGCCAGTTCACGCATGTCACCAGCGCAGTTTCGTACGGACGTATCAGACAGGGTCCGTGGATTGCTGTAGCCAATGGCACCGCCAAAATAGTATCCGAGATTTTCGAGAGCCATTTCCAAGACATGTGCAAGCGGAAGATAGGCGAGCAAGACGTCGTTGTGAGTCACACAGTCAGAAACGCAGGTATACAGACCGGCAACTAGAATGTACATCAGCATCGGGTATCGAGAAGAAAACGTAAGTCACCTTACTGCCTGCAATGAGATTGCGGTGCGCAATGCGCACGCCCTTAGGAACGCCTCCAGATCCTGAAGTGTACATCACACAATACAAGTCATCTGGTTCGGGATAAACGGGATCTACCATTTCGCTCTGGCCAGCCTTACAAAGATCTTCGAAGCTAATCACTTTGATCTTTGGATGTGAGGTCTTGAACTCTTCCAGGAGTTCCGACCCGCCGAAGATGGATGCTTCATTCAAGATCAGTGTGTGAACCTTCGACTTTTTGAGAGGCTCGGCTGCGGTTTTGAGCAGATATGGGTCGATGTACATGACCTCAGCTTGGGTTTGGACGAGACTGTGTTCAAGGCCACTCGATCCAAGAGAGTCGTAAGCTGTGATAATTGACATGGACTGAGTAGCACAAGCATGCGATGTAGCAATCCACTGTGCACTGGACGAACTTGATCAGAATGTGATTACACTACGTTTGAGATAAGTCCATACCTCGTGGAGCCGAACAGAAACACTTTATCACCTCGTCCAAGTCCCAAACCTCGCAAGCCTGAGCCGACTTCGAGGCAATGCTTCTCGTACTGCTTGTACGTCATGAAGGTAAAGCCAGATAACTCGAAGTAGGTCCATTCCTTTTCCACCTTCTGCACCTTGCCATCGACTTTCTTCTCGAACTGGTTTGTTCCCTTGTGGAGCTGAATCAGCTTTCTAGAACCAACAGCATTGCTGTCCGGGAATAGCCGTGCGCTGCGGCGAATGATGTCGAAAACGGTGCGAACATCCTCTGATGGGCGCTCAATCAGGCCATCGCGAGCCCGTGGATGTCGACGGGGAACAGTTTCGTTCGGCCTTTTCTCGTATCCAGGCGAGTCGATGGTGAAAGGTGGTTTGAACACCTGATATAAAGGCGTAATGCCTGAGGTATGCGCCATTCTGTCGCAAGGTTACTAGAAGGGTGCAGATAAAAAAGGCGTTATTGGAGATGATTGTAAAAGTCTGACAAACCTTCAGTGTCAGGAGGCGAATACGTCGCAAGCCGTGAGATCTGAGAACGTTGACGTTGGGACCGTTGGCTCCATAAAGGTAAGTCACAGTCATCAGCACCCAACAAAATATTTGGGGATAACATTTTGTTGGCGGCTTATCCCTGCGTCCGATCCTGTACAGATTACTCTCCACTCTGACGTGGGACCTCTGACCAACCTGCAACGCGTGGTCAATGCTGTTGTCACTCATCGACGCGTAAGTCTTCGATGTTTGCTGTGAGTGTCACACATGTGACATGGCTAAGCCAGGTTGGGTGCCTCGTCTGACGAGCTGACACAGTCAAACGTTCGGCCAACCAATTGCCTGACGGGTGATAGCACTTAGCAATGCAATAATAAGCTGACTGGCGGCTGTTTGGATTACCGGACTCCTTCGACCATAATTCGTTGCCAGTATGTTCAAGTTATCCCGTCGGTTTTTGCTTATAGACAAGAAGTGGCTGCAAAGGATGAGAAAGCCGGAAAACCCGCTTCGGCGACAGAGTATTGACCCATATGCCTAAACATCTTTATGTCGAAGGGTATAAGCATCAAAGCGGTTGTGATGACATGTAGGTCTACTGAACTCAGGCCGCTGGACGGCTGTATTACGCGTAAGCCGTTCCTTCTGACACAATCTGTCAGCCAGTTACTTTTAGTACACCATCCTCTCCGTCCTCATTCTGCCCGCTCTATACAGTGATGGCCCAGCCCTTGATCAACCGGGACAGCAAACGGAAAGCCAAAGGGCAGAATATCATGACTAACTTGTAGCAGTTTGAGCTCAGCCTCCTGTCTCAATCCCTGTAAGTACGTACATGAAGCGCTCAAACAATTCCTTCCCAAGAGCGTTCTCGAGAGCCTTCCCATAAGTACATTCATTTTCATGCCCTAGCTTACATCATAATTCGGAGACAGGTGTCTTCTATCGTAGATCATGATGTCTCTGTCGCAGCTTTGAAATCGTCGCGCCATCTCTGAAACGAATCCCGGAAGCGATCATAAATCGTATACTTGATGATTAAGGCTGCGAGCCCACCATAGGTCTCCCAGCCGATATACTCAGTCACCTTCTCACCACTCGTCGGGTCGACAGACTCTATAAACTCGTGAATGCGCTCGTTGTGACTCAAGAAGAAAGGCATGCCGATGTAACGCCAGGTAACCCGATATCCTAGCCTGCCATCATCAGTCTCAAAGCGCTCTACTCTGTCAACAGTTTCGGCCGCTGTATTTGTCCGCTGTTTCGAGTTCTTGTTCATATGGACATCAACTGTGAAATCTACCCCTGCATACAGGTAGCCAGGACGAGAGATGACTTCATGTAGCTCCGAGTCATTTGTAGTCTGATTAGTGATAGGGGGGGCTCTTGTGATGGCCCCACGAGGGGTGAGGGCGTTCCAGTATGGCCAGGTATTAGTGTCGATCAGCTTCTCGAGGCATTTTAGTGCAGGTGCATTGATCATGACAGAATAGCTGATTGAAAATGCGGATAGGGCGTTGACACCATTAATTGGGGTAGGAAGAGGAGGACCAAGAACAGCTGGCTGCCCTTTTGTAATTTTTCCATTGGAAAGTGACATCGTTGAAGCTGGAGAAAACACAAACGCCAGTTCGATAAACTAAACTAAAGTCATGTCAAAGAACAACCGTTCGAGATGATATCTCAATTCCAAAGAGGAAGGTCATAAAGGATTGAGGGGAACTGTGCAGGCTGATCCTCGGTTACCAGTATTGCGTGTGCTGACGGCACCTACATCTGCCCGCGAACGGCTCCACAGCTTGCTCGTTCTCACAGAGGAGCAGCGTGAAAGTCTTTAGAAGCCATCAGTACGTGTAGATAAAAGCCAAATTGGCGGTTTGTCCTGTTGCTGATTATACTATAGGTTCATTTCTGGTGACACTCATCCTTTTTTCCCGCGCCATAGTTCGTGCTGCGTCATATATTTATTAGCACTTTATAGATTCTAGCTTACTAGTTATTAATAAAACTTCTGTATATTAATTAAGCCTAATATATATTAAATCTTCTATTAAGAGATATAATACTTTAATAAGCTTAGTTATATGCCTTGTATAATCTGCTAATAATAAACCTAAGCACGGCTTAGTTTAATACAGTTAGTGTGACGGTTGGGTCCAACTGTGTTAAACTAAGCCGTGCTTGGGTTTATTGTTGGCAGATTACGTAGGGCGTGATGCTGAGCGGTTGTCGAAGTGTCACGTCTCTTAATGGTAGATTCAATGCGTGTTAGGCTTGATCAATGTAAAGAAGTTTTATTGATAGCTGGTGAGCTAAGTTCTATCTACTGCTAAATGAATGTATATATATACTGAGGTGGTTGCATGAGGAGCGATGCGATACAAGGTCGCCGTCGGTCCTGGAACGACGCGGTCCTGGAGCGCCGTCGTTCCTATACCTGTCGGTCCTTGTCTGGTTGGCTGTTAGGGTGGAGCCTTTTGTGGGGTACACGTGACGTAACCGCTGGGATCGTAACAGTTAGACTCTATACTATTACACTAGGTAACTTATATAATAAATAGCTTAAGGCTAGTTAATAATAAGCTAAGAAGATATTAAAAAAGATTAAGCCCTTATAATATAATATCTAAGATAAAAAAGAGGTAATTATAAGGTTTTATAAAAAGAAAATATTTTAGGTTTTATATTAGTTTTATTACCTAAAGTTAAAGGCCTAAAGTTCTAATATTATTATTAATAATATAAAAAAGAGTTAAATAAATTAAAAAATATAATATATAATAAATTAAATAAATAAATTAAATATTAATATATTAATAATATAAATAAGAAAAAGACTTAAATATATACCTTAAGTTTAAAAGATAATTTCTTAGTTTAATTAGATTTTAAAGGTTTTTATAAAGAAAAAAATATCATTCTTTAAAATTACTTAGTTATATCTTTTATAAAAGTATAAATAAATATAATTTATATATTAAATATAATTCTATAAGAGTAATATAATATAAGGTTATTATTAATCCTAGAATAATATAAACCTAGAATACTATTAGTCTTATAAGTATTAATCCTCTTCTAATTAATAAATTAAATAGAGAAGATTATAAAATATATATAATATAACTACTAGAATTATAATATAATCTCTCCCCTTTAGTAGTCTTACCCTTAAGGCCTATTATCCTAATTAATATTTTTTTTTAATAAGATTTAATTTAAACCTTTTAGTATTATATCTTATTATATTTAATTATATTTCTAAGTAGTTATTATATAAAGATTATAAAATCTATATACTTATACTTTTTATTAAGTTTATTAATAAAAAAGCTAATATATCTTATACTTATTATTTTTAGGTAGATAAGAAATATCTAATATTTACTAATTTTACTTATTATAATAAGTGTATTAAGGATAAGGAGTCTTATAATAGTACTTATATTATATCTTCTTATAAGTTATATATTATTTTTTATTACTTTCTTATTAATTTTAATAATTATAACTTTAATAAAATAATAAAAGAAATTAGAAAATAAGAAAAATAAAATAAGTAAAAATCTTCTTAAACTTTATAAGGAGGTAGTAATATTATAATCTTATTTAGCTCTAGTTATTAGTTATTTATTATAAAGTTATAAGATTTATAATTATATAAAAGAAAAATATTTTAAGGCTACTTATTATAGCCTTTAGAAAGTAAATTAATAAGATATAATCTTATTTAAATTAGATATATATAAGGATATATTACTCTAAGACCTTAAGTAAATAATATTCCTAATAATATTAACTAATCTGACTTAGGTTTAAGTAATAATTTTCTTAATACTTCTTTTTTATTTAATACTAATAGAAGTTCTTTAGGAGTTATTAGGTATTAGTAAAGTATTTAAATAGGGCAATTGATAGGGGGGCATGACGAATTGATACGCGGGCATGATCCTTAGGGGGGCATGACTTTTTGTAACACCTGATTCGTCAATTTCGTTTTTGTTAGTGTCGGCAGAATTCTGTCAGAGCTTCCTAAGTACCTCGTGTTGCATATGCCTGTCCCAGATTGTCACACGAGTGCACCACAAGAGTCAGAGGGGTGTTACAGATCTGTTGCAGGTTCGGCAGGTCTAGTATCGTAGCCTCTCCTCGTCAAATATAATGAGAACGAAGAAGACGAGGGGACAGGGATGAATCAATCAATAATCTGTTCTTCATCTTGAAATCATCATTCATCTTGACTTACCACCCTCGTATCCGACACCTCGAGCTTAGCTCGCCCTTAATCTTACCTTGGTAACCAATGCGATGCCATCAAGTTTTCTCTCCATCAGCAAGCTATCCACTCCTGAGTCTCTCAATCCTCGATGATTAGAACCTTCACCACGTCCCAATCTGAGCCTCCTTCCAGCTCAGAGAGCAATCCGAGATGCCGAACTCGCAGTCCTAGTCCTAGCGATCAATTGCACGCCCGAAAACGACGGCGGCAGAGCCGACAATCCAGGTTCAGCCCGCCGTTACTCGCGAATAGACCTCGCTCAGCGAGCAGCATTGGAACAAGTATCAGCCAATATTACGGAGTCGGCGACGAAGATACACTCGGAAATCTCTTCGCATCTTATCCACAGACCTTTTCAACCGCTCCACAGCCCCATGGATCGCAAGGGCTTCATGAGCCACCATGGGAGCTCCGTTTCGATTACGAGATACACCTTTCGAATGACTTCCTAACCCAAGGAAGACGGCAGCAGCAAGTCAGAATCCCTATACCAGGGCCAGAAACCGACCCACTACCTTCCTCCTCTCCGCCTCAATCAGCACGGGAGCAATCGTCACCCACAAAGGCCGAGTTTCAATCTGCCCTGAAGCTAGTACGAGAAGTGATTGGGACGGATCGGAAGCTTACCCTCGAGCTCGCTCGGTCATACGAGCGAGTACGCCAATGGCGAGAGAAATGGGGTTACTCGCCACTCAGTTCAGATGCGCTTGAATCGCCTCCTCCCTACTCACCGCCCCGAGAGTCGTCCACCCAAGCAGTATCCCCTCAAAAGATCAGATCTTCTCCTCTTCGAATTTCCTCGTCCCCTGCCCCCGACCCGATCCCGAACCCACCGATCCCAGGCGACCCAGCGCCGTCAGCCGAAGCTCTATTTGACTTGATAAACACCTTTGCGAAAGAGAGTGGCTTTGGTATTGTCCGACGGAACGCCTACTCATATAACGGTCGGAGGATGAGATATTCTTTCCAATGTGACAGATACGGAGAACCACGGCCTAGCAGAGGTGCAGGTCTTCGGCAACGGAAGTCCCGGAAGTGCGGATGCAAGTGGATGGTGATAGCCGAGGCTCTAGAAGAGGGCGAGTGGCTCCTACGACAACACCCAAACCCGGAACACAGTCAACACAACCATGGGCGTAGTATTAGACCGTCTGCGCACCCTTCCCATAGACGGCTGACTACACCCATCAGGGCAACCATTGAGTCGACAAGCCGTCGGGTCGGTATCCGGGCCCGTGACGTACGGGCTGTGGTCCAAGAGCAACACCCCGAATCAACCTTCACGCAGAGGGACATCTATAACGCCCGGGCTCTCATCAATCGAGACAAGTTGAATGGCTACACTCCCACTGCAGCACTGATCAAGCTATTTGATGAGATGGACGTTCCTTACGTCGTTAAGTGGGCGGATGATGAGCCAAGCCGCCTCGTTGGCCTTGTCTGGACCTTTTCCTACTGTCTCAAGATGTGGAAGCGGTTTCCCGAGGTCATCAGCTTCGACAACACATACAACACCAACCGCTTCAAGCTTCCGTTATTCCAGGCAACAGGACAGACTTGCCTTGGTTCTGTCTTCAATGCGGCTTTCGGTCTGATCGACAACGAGAGACGGGAGGGGTTCCAATTCCTCTCTGAGAGTATTCGACAACTGGCAGAGCAGCACTCCATTTGCCAACCGGACGTCATCGTTACCGACTTCGACGATCAGATGAAGGCCGCCCTGAATGATCAGTTCCCTGATGTACAGCAGCAGCTCTGTATCCACCACATCAATTCGAACGTCCTGCTCAAATCAAAGCAAAAGTGGGTCAAGGGCCGCAGTAGTAGCAGTAGTCCCGACAGCAGCGACGAGGATAAGTCTACTCCACAGGTACGGGCTGAGCTTAGCCCGAAAGACCGACAGTTAGTCCACGCGTCGACATCTGAGGACATCCCTCATAGTTATCGAGGGGTTCTCATGATGTGGAAGCTCGTCTTGTTTGCCGAGACTGAGGACGCTCACGAGAAGGCGTGGAGAAACCTCTGTAGGGAATTTGATGACCAGCGGGCTATCCTCCGGTATCTCCATGGAACCTACATGCCTGTAAGGGCCCAGTGGGCACGCTGTTTCATCCGCAAGTATCGCAACTTTGGCATCCGCGTCACCTCTGGCACAGAAGCAAGCAACAACAACATCAAGAGCTACCTTCTAAACGGTATGAGCCACCTGTATCGACTTGTCGAAGCTCTGCAGGACATGAT